CGCAGTTTTCAATTCACCAACCCAATAGATAAGATAGAAACTCTGGGAAACTCGAAAGAACACTGTAAAGACATGAATAGGCTCATGGGTTAGGAGTGAAACGTAGCCTCAAATAGAGCTTAATTTTTAAAGGATTTTCTGAGAAATTTGAGAGTCTATCAGTTGCCTTTTTTTGAGAATTGATTCCGTCGATTGTATTCATCCAAACTCTAGACCTATCCCGATATGTCGTGGCTTCAATTCGACGAAGAAGCATGGATCGGTGATGCGGCTGCTTCATTGGCTCCACCATACGTGAATATTCAATGCATTGGCATGATTTTCTTTGTGACCACCGCTGCCTGCATTGAGATTATGCCAATAGTAAGCGACTTTTCTCATTTCGATGGTTATATCGTTTTCTCTTAAAAATTTTTGAACAAAACTGACGAGTGAGAGAATTTGAGAATTTTCAGGGAATAATCCTGATCTGGCAAATATTTTATTATCTCAAAAATGCGTCGAGTTATCTGAGTGATAAGACGAGAGCGATGCACAAAAAATTCATCAACGCTCTGCTCATTCAGGTGAGTGTTTGGTGAATGATGAATGAATGATGGCATTTGTTGGCTTCGAATTAATGCACGAAACACAGTATTGCTCAGGTTGGCGTCCCCACTCTCACCATTGTCGGCCCGTTACTTTCCAGCGCCGTAATCGGTTGGGGAACGCCGGTATCGCAGGGTAATTTACCATTTGATACTTTGCCTTTAGCTTGAATCGAAAAAAATAGATAAAAAGCGTTTTGCCATGTAATTTGACATTTGGAAGACATTGGAAACTTGAATTCTGATCCATGAACGTTCGGATCCATGGAGTTCGGATCCATAAAGGTTCGGATCCATAAACGTTCGGATCCATGGAGTTCGGATCCATAAAGGTTCGGATCCATAAACGTTCGGATCCATGGAGTTCGGATCCATAAACGTTCGGATCCATGGAGTTCGGATCCATAAAGGTTCGGATCCATAAACGTTCGGATCCATGGAGTTCGGATCCATAAACGTTCGGATCCATGGAGTTCGGATCCATAAAGGTTCGGATCCATAAACGTTCGGATCCATGGAGTTCGGATCCATAAACGTTCGGATCCATGGAGTTCGGATCCATAAAGGTTCGGATCCATAAACGTTCGGATCCATGGAGTTCGGATCCATAAAGGTTCGGATCCATAAACGTTCGGATCCATGGAGTTCGGATCCATAAACGTTCGGATCCATGGAGTTCGGATCCATAAAGGTTCGGATCCATAAACGTTCGGATCCATGGAGTTCGGATCCATAAACGTTCGGATCCATGGAGTTCGGATCCATAAAGGTTCGGATCCATAAACGTTCGGACCATGGAGTTCGGATCCACAAACGTTCGGACCATGGAGTTCGGATCCATAAAGGTTCGGATCCATAAACGTTCGGATCCATGGAGTTCGGATCCAAAACGTTCGGATCCATGGAGTTCGGATCCATAAAGGTTCGGATCCATAAACGTTCGGATCCATGGGTTCGGATCCATAAACGTTCGGATCCATGGAGTTCGGATCCAAAAGGTTCGGATCCATAAACGTTCGGATCCATGGAGTTCGGATCCATAAACGTTCGGATCCATGGAGTTCGGATCCATAAAGGTTCGGATCCATAAACGTTCGGATCCATGGAGTTCGGATCCATAAACGTTCGGATCCATGGAGTTCGGATCCATAAACGTTCGGATCCATGGAGTTCGGATCCATAAACGTTCGGATCCATGGAGTTCGGATCCATAAACGTTCGGATCCATGGAGTTCGGATCCATAAACGTTCGGATCCATGGAGTTCGGATCCATAAACGTTCGGATCCATGGAGTTCGGATCCATAAACGTTCGGATCCATGGGTTCGGATCCAAAACGTTCGGATCCATGGAGTTCGGATCCAAAACGTTCGGACCATGGAGTCGGATCCAAAACGTTCGGATCCATGGAGTTCGGATCCATAAACGTTCGGATCCATGGAGTTCGGATCCATAAACGTTCGGATCCATAAACGTTCGGATCCATGAACGTTCCAAATGCATTCCAAATGCATTCCAAATCGTTTGAAATAACCTTTTCAAAAAGAGATTTGGATTTTTGGCATCGATGAAATTTGGAAAATCTCTCCAAATCGTTTGGAGAGATTTTCTCTGTTAAAGTTCCTCGTCTTTTAAAGCTGTTCAATTACTTCTAATCGTAAAAATCGGCTTAATACTATTAGAAGTTTCACGGTAAGTTCTTAATCTTTAATTTTTTTTTACTCACTTAGAATACCGGAATATGATGTTTATGTGTGCGATGTTTCACGGAAAATTGACCTCGATTCTCATCATCGCTCTCATTCAACCATATCAAAAATACTGTGTCGATAAGCTGAGGAAAATGATCGGGTATTCCATTAGAAAGTTTCGTTTTTTACCACCGAGATCTCAGCATCACCAAACGCAACAACGAAATAACAGCCGTGTCATCAAGAACTTAACGATTACATCAGAAGCGCTTATAGATTTTTCTTTTCTGCGGCTTTTTTTTTTCAATAAATAAACAGATAGCTTTTATTGGGTTGGTGAATTGAAAACTGCGGTCTGCTTTTACCAATTTTGAAGCCTCCCGAAAAGTTCTCTGAAATTCCACAACTATTGGGTTGGTGAATGGAAAACTGCCGGGGACTTTGAACTAAAATTTATTCAATTAGTTTTGATATTTATTATAAATGCTATGTGAAATTTTATAAATGTTATTTCACTTTTTATGATTAGTTTGTTGATTTGCGTTTTGCGTACATATTGGGTTGGGGAGAATGAGTCGGCGCCAAACTTTAAAGGGACTTTTTGCACACATAAAGCCTTCTTTAAACATACGTTTGGTTTCATCAAAAGGATCCACTATTTCTCTACAAAATCACTTTTGAGAGATTCCACAAAGCTTTTCTTTCGTGGAGTTTATGAACTTCCAAACGCAGCTGGTTAAAATGGCAAAGAGTCCGACTCATCATTTGAACAGTTTCTTTCACATAAACCTTCTTTGGTGTTTATATAAAAAGATAGAGCACATTCAATTACTTAAGTTGCCAAATTTGCAGGAAGATCCCACCAATGGTTTTTTCTAGATCACAGTTTGTAGTTTTTGTGAAAAAATTGCTTTTTCTTGAGCGGAGGCGCTGTTTGAATTTTCTTTTAAATGTGATTTTGTAGAGAATTAGTTAACCATTCTATGAGTATCAAACGCATATTATTTGACGAAGTCGAATTGAAGTTTTAGACATTTTTTCATTTTCGGCGCCGACTCATTCTCCCCAACCCAATAGTTTGAAATCAAAAATACGGTAAACTCAGTTGAATCGAGCCGTATTTGCATAAAAATAGATCATAGATCAATTGGAATACAGATGAATTTTGCATTTAAACATTTCATTCGTACGCGTGAGACGAGCGCGCTATCCACCGCGCCATGGGTGAAATTTGCATGGTGGGGTTTTCCCACACAGGGAATTCGTTTCTGGCAATCATTTTTACGATTTCTGAAGCAGCCGACTATCAGGCCGGCTGTTCTGCTGGTTTTCATTAAAAAAAAGCAAAGCTTGATAGCATTTCTTTTTTTTTTTTTGATCCTTTCAAGATTGTGTGGTCCAATGAAATTCTGTTTTATATCATTTAAAAGCCTCAAATCCTCTGTAGACTATAGAAAAAGTTAAAATTAATATTATTTTTCGTTAAAATTATAAAGTATTCATTTAAAAGTCAAATTTTAAGATATCAAAAGGTACTGTAGGGCAGGTCAGGGTGATGGTAGTTTCTCTGACTTACTGTAGCTCTGAGTAAGTTAGCTTTTTGAGATTTTGTAATTGTTTAGCACCAAAAATCACTTTCTGATATTGATGAAAACGCGATTCTTTTTTAGAACTATCGTCGTCGTTTCCTTCGTTCTTTGGCCTGTATTCGATGTATTCCCTTGCAATCAGATACCGTTTATTCAATCAGCAAAGATAAACCATCGACACTGAAGGAAAGAATCACAACAAAAGAGCCAAAGATATCCTCAAGTACATAAAAATTCACTATGCCTCTTTCACAGCTTAAAGCCTCTCAATGGAATGTAAAATTTCAACGAAATATGGCATAAGACAAGAAATTCACGCCTCAAAACCCAGAAAATTGGTGAATAGATGATCAAATAATGTTTTTTTGACAAAAATAGAAATTTAAACTTGTTTTTTGTCTGGTAATGACTCAAAGAATCAAATCGAATTTTGTTTTGAGAAAGATCACTCTAGACTTTAGACTTTAGACTTTGAGAAAGATTAGTCTAGACTATTCCAGATGTGCCAGATATGCCGCCTCTCAATGGAAGTAAAGTTTCAATGAAATATGGCATAAGAAAAGAAATTCACGCCTCAAAACTCAGAAAATTGGTGAATAGATGATCACTTAATCTTTTTTTGACCAAAATAGAAGTTTAAATTTGTTTTTTTTCTGGTAATGGCAAAGAATCAAATTTAATTTTGTTTTTGAGAAAGATGACTTTAAAATTTCGAGAAAATTCTCTCGAATGTTTACAAAATTGGGATTTAAGCTTTTAAAAAATGCTTTTAAAAATGAAGGCAAAGGAGGCACTTACAAGAAATGGGGAAAAAGATTACTCAAATACGGTATACTCTATTGCAATAGTACACTGCATTGTACTAGTTTTCTGTACTATAGTTGTACTGTACTAGAACTTAAGCCTGGCTATCAAACTTTGCTTTTTTTAAGGAAAATTATAGATTTTGAAAGACTTGCAAAGACCAAATTTTTGTCAAGATCTGAAGAATGCTTTTTGAAGTCTTTTGAAGTTGTGATTAGATTTGAAATAAAGCTGAAAAGCTTTGGTAAAACTTACTAGAGCTCTTACAGCTGATAGCCAAGTTTATTAGAAGATTATATTAGAAAAATATTGGAAGTATAAACTTTTCATAGACAACACCAACTCTTCCTATTTGTGACCTCCATTTCCAGTCGGAGTGCCTCCTCCAAGTGATCATCTTCTCGTTTTTGAAGGCGTCTAAAAAAAGGTTTTTTGGCGAATTGAAAAGTTCACAAAATATTTCCATTTTTCCTTTAGATCGTTCAATTTGCATAAAAGGGAATTAACATTTAAAAACTGATGTGGAGGTTAGCAATTTGGTTTGGAAATTGGATTGGTTTGAATTAGATTGGATTGATTGGATTTGGATTGGAAAAAGACTTATAGTACGCTTTTTTGTACTTAGAAAGTCAGTTTACTGTAGGAGATTTTGCAATTTATCTTTCATTTTCAAGAAATACTTTCAATAAATAGTTAGAAAAATATTAGGGCACCCCAATAATTCATCTGAGGATCGATTCCAGGGCAATCCCTATCACAGTCACCAAATTTGGACCACCCAAGGGTAGGGGGAAAAGAAATACATTTGTCTATGCAAATAGCGGTAAAAACGACCGTATAAACGACCGTGTTTAGTTTATATTGGGTTGGGGAGAATGAGTCGGCGCCGAAAATAAAAAAAATGTCTAAAACTTCTATTCGACTTCGTCAAATAATATGCGTTTGATATGAGTAGAATGGTTAACTAATTCTCTACAAAATGACATTTAAAAGAAAATTCAAACAGCGCCTCCGCTCAAGAAAAAGCCATTTTTTCACAAAAACTACAAACTGTGATCTAGAAAAAACCATTGGTGGGATCTTCCTGCAAATTTGGCAACTTAAGTAATTGAATGTGCTCTATCTTTTTTATATAAACACCAAAGAAGGTTTATGTGAAAGAAACTGTTCAAATGATGAGTCGGACTCTTTGCCATTTTAACCAGCTGCGTTTGGAAGTTCATAAACTCCACGAAAGAAAAGCTTTGTGGAATCTCTCAAAAGTGATTTTGTAGAGAAATAGTGGATCCTTTTGATCAAACCAAACGTATGTTTAAAGAAGGCTTTATGTGTGCAAAAAGTCCCTTTAAAGTTTGGCGCCGACTCATTCTCCCCAACCCAATAGTAATTTGTAAACTTTTCTTCCTTTATAATAATCTGTAAACATTTCTTTCTTTATAGTAATCGGTAAACTTTTCTTTCAAAATTTTACAAAGTACCGCAATAAGAGATCTTTAAGTCTCACTCCAATATTTGAAGATCAAAAATGATCTAATTAAAGATCAAGAAAAATTGTATTTTTAAGATTTTAATGTAAAGAATAAGTCAATCATTTTCTTGATTAATTTCCGTGAGATTTCATCTTATTTATTTACTTGGAAAGAGTTAATTAAAAGTTCTTTTTGTTCTCATTATTGAAACCTCATTTTGTTCTTCTTTTACCCGGGCTTTTGAAAGATTATGATTCATTTATTGATTCAAAAGTTGAACTAAAATATAAAAGAATGAGATTTTCAGTGTGTCCAATGTTTTTAGCTATTCAATATTGCCTTATTTGTTCAAAAATGACTCACGTGGCCATTGCCATCATACACTCATTTATGCCAAAACCCGTGTAGGCTGAAGTCTCATGGAAAAGCATTCCAAACTCTTCAGCAATTTGTCGACCCGCTTTTCTTGTCAATTCTCGTTGTTGTTCGGATGCGAAAAGATCTACCTGAAAAGCTTTCTTTATTGGTAAAGCGAAATTGATTTTGATTTTGAATTTGATTTCCTGAACCAAAGCGAATCTCTCAATGAACTATGGACTTGAAAAATTGTTCTAAAGGTAAATCTAATCTATAATCAAATGTTCTAAAAGTTTCTTTCAGGCCAGAGCTAGATACTAGGCCAGATGGACATAGTAGCCTTTTGAGATCAACTCTGTAAAGTACCAGTAATAAAGCAGTGAATGAATTGGTAGTTAAATTAAATTAAGTTAAATTTCCAGAGAGGACCGAATCCTCCACCTTTTGTTTTTCGGGCCTTTTGCTGCTCTAACCATTGAGCTATTTGGTACCTTAACTTGTCAAGGGAAAGAAGGGAAGACAAAGGGGAAAAAGAAAGAAAGAAGATGAATTCTTGCAAGCCTTGTTTACAAAATAGCTCATTTCAGAAAGATTGGGACTGGCTTGAACGCTGGAATATCTCTGAAAGAAACTCATACTTCTAGCACAAATCAAGAGCTGAGAAAGTTGTTTTCATTTTTAAAACATTTCGTTTTAATCTCAAAAGTAATTCTTTCTTTTGACTTACTTTGTTTCCGACAAGACACATCACAACATTATCATCAACGCCAGCTCGCACCGAATCAATCCAATTTCTGTAATTCTGATTTATTATTGGAAATGATAGAATGGTAACAATGAAAACTTTAATACAAATCAATTTGAATACCTTGAAATCTTTGGGTGAGTAAAGCTTTGAAACTTCATATGAAGATTAGAAACTTCATATAAAGCTTAGAAACTTCATATAAAGCTTAGAAACTTCATATGAAGATTAGAAACTTCATATAAAGATTAGAAACTTCATATAAAGATTAGAAACTTCATATAAAGCTTAGAAACTTCATATGAAGCTTAGAAACTTCATATGAAGATTATAAACTTCATATGAAGATTAGAAACTTCATATAAAGATTAGAAACTTAAAAAGCAAAGCTTAAAAACTTAATCTATTGAAGCATAAGGCTTACATAGCTTAACTCTTGTCCTGCAAAGATCCGACGAAATAAAAGGCACAATTTTGCCAGACACCCCTCTATAAACAAAATCCACAAAAATTCCCAAAGTTCTAGGGGTTCTAAAAGCCCAGAAGCTAAAAGCAGGGTTCTAAAAGCCCAGAGCTCACCTGACATGTAAAAACGATTGCTCTGAAGTGACGTCATACATTAAAACCACTCCATCTGCTTTACGAAAATATTGTTTTGTGATTGATCGGAATCTAGAAAATATTAAAAGCATAAAAGCTTAAAAGCTTGCCGATAGCAACCTCTCCTGTCCAGCTGTGTCCCACAATTGAACGGCGATCAATCGATCTTTCAATTGAATCGTTTTCACGGTGAAATCGACTCCAATCGTTGCGTTGAATAATGGTTTAAATCGATTGTGACAAAATCTAAGGTTTATCTTCTAATTTTTTTCTTAATTTCCTTGTAAACCTGTGCAAGAAACACGTTTTTCCGACGGCCGAATCACCGACAAAAACCACTTTAAAGATTCGATCAGGGACACGCATTTCCTGAGGAGTGTGAAATTTTAATTTTACTTTCATTACTTTCATTACCCTAATCTTTTGCTCCTAGAAACTCACCAATTCTGGTGGGATTCGACTGCTGCTTTGCACGCCAGCTTCGCTCAATTCCTAAAAATTGAGCCCTAAAGATTCCTCAAAAATCCAATTCCTAAAAATTCATGATTGCCAAAGGTGATTAAGAATTCTACAAGTATAGCCGATTTTCTGGATCTAGCTTCATAAAATTTCGTTAAGAGATTAAAATTTGATTGATAACTTAGACTATTTAACAAAGATACAAAGATAACAAAGATAACAAAGCTTGGAAATCTTTTTTTGATAAACTACAATGAGATTTGTATCAAATCTATCAGAGTAAATAGATTCGTTAATCATTTGGTTTTTTTTTGATCTATTTGAGCTTGAGCTATTTGAGCTATTCATTCATTGAACAGTTATTTTTGCTTAAAACTTACATCAGCCAACGATTGTCCCATTGGGTTCATCTCGTCCGTTGGTGGGCCAGGACGGAATTTTGAGTTCTAGAACGAGAACTAGGGAATGTCGTTTAGCTCCAGTAAAATACTAATAAATCTTTTATCCAAATCTACTTATCAATATGATACACAACTTGAAAAGTTTGATGAAAAAATGATTCAAAAGAAGATGCTTACAGAATTTTTTTTGCATAATTTTCATTGTTTCCTAGATTTCAAATTACTTGAAAAAGAATCATAAGAATTGTAGTAAAATTCTCGAATTTTAGAACAAGAAAAACATTCAACAACGTTTCAAAAGGAAAAATCAAGAAATTTTTGGAATCAACTTACTACAACTTTCGACTGAAAACACCAATTCTCGGCGGAGGTGGCTGGCTGAAAGTCGATCTCAGAAAACATCATTGTTTTGATTTTTTTTTAAGGTAGACTTTTAGAAATTGAATAAAATAAATCGATTTACTTCTTGTTATTGTTTTGGAAGAATGGGTTTAGCTTATTTTAGGGAAAAAGAGATTGGAGAAGAGGAGAAGAAAGGAAGAAGAAGACGAAGAAGAAGAAAGGAAGAAGAAGAAGAAGAAAGGAAGAAGAAGAAGACGAAGAAAGGAAGAAGAAGAAGAAGAAAGGAAGAAGAAGAAGAAAGGAAGAAGAAGATTCACGCGATGCGCCGGAAGATGGGGCACTTCACTCGGGAAATGAGATCCTTTTAAGAAATTCTTTTTTCGTCCACCCACCAGATTCGAGATTGGTGGGAATACTTGAAGAAAAAGATCTATTTGATCGGAAATGTTGAGGTCAAATTGGAAGCTCTTTAGGGTGCTTTGTGCTTTACAACATTTCTGGTGCATTCACTTTTAACTGATCGACAGTTGCGCCAGACAATGTATGTTTAAATCAGCATAAAGTACGAGAAACTTTGCTTGCTTTAAGATCTTTGTTCGCGACGTGGAAACGCATGCTTTCTGGTGTACTTGGTTTTTCAAGAAGCTGAAGGAAGCTTGCAAGAAGCTGAAGGAAGCTTGCAAGAAGCTGAAGGAAGCTTGCAAGAAGCTGAAGGAAGCTTGCAAGAAGCTGAAGGAAGCTTGCAAGAAGCTGAAGGAAGCTTGCAAGAAGCTGAAGGAAGCTTGCAAGAAGCTATTTTTGTCTACTAAATCTCCGGAATTTGTCAGTTAATATTTCTTGCTTCAAAAAACCCACCGAACTTTCCACCAGTGGATGACTTTGCACATAATTCTGCACGAGAGTATCAACTGATATCTCATCACTGTAAATGATTTCTTATCAATCAAAATCTCACTCAAAACCTTGGCGAAATCAATGGTGCACTTTGAAATCTGTCCATCGGTTTTTCGTCTCTTTTCTTTTCGTCAACTTTTTCATTGATTTCATTCCCAATCTCCAATACAGCCAATTCATCAGCCAGCGAGCTTTCTCCATTCGAGAAAAGAGTTGCTGGAAGACCGCTGTGAGACTGAAACTGGACAGATTTAACTGGTAAACTTTGGTATTTATTGATCTTGGGTTTTTGATTAACAAGTATTGTACAATTGTAAGTAATAGTTTTATTTTAAAGCTTTATAACCAGCCAAAGTTCTTCTAGAAAATCTTTAAACTTGAATAATTAAACCGCTGAAAGCTGAAGCAATCAGAAAATGCTTTTCAGGGTATTATAGAGAACTAGAGTTGTTTCAAAAGTACTTTTTTTCTGGCCAAGCCAAACCAAAGCTAGATTTTGGCTTGAATTCTGGCCTGCATTCTCCCCTTGTCGATCTACTTGTCTGGTTTAAACCCAATGCGAACATCTCTGTAGCCAGCTACGTTAACTCCGCCCCTTTTTCAATCCGTTTGCTGTTGCCAATCTGTTGCTGTTGTCAATGTCAAGTTCTTTTGCTTCTTTGCAAAAAATGTCTAATATGTTAACATGTTAACACTGCCCCTTTTTCAATCCGTTTGCTTTTGTCAATCTACGAATTTTACTCCTACCTTGACCGGATTTCTTTGTAAAACGTTGAATTTCATTTCTTTTAAAATTACTTTTAAAATTACTTTGATTTCAAATCGAATGAAAGCAATCTTTGAACATTTTGTCTTATTTTACCAAGTAAACGCAGTACAAAGCCTAACCCCAACCCCCAACAAAAACGGAAAAAGAAAAGGAGCAAGGGCACCCACAAGAAGATGGGGAGAGAGGACTTGGAATTTTACCAATTTCAAAAATTTACTTTCACCGATCCCTCACAATCACTCTCAATCGATCTCTGCATTAGGAGAGGTTCTGAAATTTGGAATCCTTGAATCTTGATTTTGAATCCAAAGCACCGCAAATTTCTCTCTTACCAAGAACTTTCAAAAATTGCGTCTCATCGAAAAACTTTTGTGGGGTTTTCTCGATTCGATTCTCGAGTTGTTCCACATCATAGGCTGAAAAAAGAAGCAAATACTTAGTTTTGTTAAGATAAACAAATATATTATTGGATTTTATGAAGGAAAAGAACGAACGCGAGAGAAACTCGTTTAGGTGTTCGAGGTCAATTTTCACGACAAATCCTCTTGATTCTTGATCGCATAACTTGAAGAGTTTCTTTGCCTGAATTTATTCATTCATTTTGAGTAATACTTTAGTAGAATTACTTTAAAAATTAATTTAATAACTAGTAGGTTTTTGATGGTGTTGTAAATGTCGAAATTTGAGTGGAAAAAAGTGAATTCAAAGCTTGAAGCTTTGATAGATTGGTTTTAAGCTAAGAGTGGGCTAAAAGGCAAATTTTGATTAGATTACATTCGTTTTCTTTGATGATTTATAATTAGAAAAATAGATTTGGTTATGAAAAAGGGACTGGAAAAAGGATTGGAAAGAGTTTGTTAATCGATTCAGTGAATCAACAAAGAAAAGGATTCAGTCAAAATTGAGAAAAGTCAGAAATGAAAGCTTTTTGGTAGATATTCTAAATTGTTAACCGAGAAAAAACTCCAAAACATTAGGAACTAGACAAAAAACATTGGAAGCTAGCTAAAAGTAAAGTTAAGCTAGCTACACGTTAAGCTAGCTACACGTTAAGCTAGCTACACGCTAAGCTAGCTACACGCTAAGCTAGCTACACAACGAGTTCTCTTGAACCCCAATTACCCCTTCAACCAACAAATCGGCAAAAAAAAAGAAACAAATAGGGATATTTGTCTTCAAGAGAAGCCATTTCCCATTAATTCTCGAAATGTGCATTTGAGGGCTAAGCAAGAAGAAGCCAAATCAATTGGGCAAAAGAAAAAAGCCGACCATTTTTTTTCTATGGGAGCTTTTCGTTATTTGATACCCGGGGAAAAAAGAGAAATCAATTTTGGGAAAAGATGATGTTATCTGGAATTTGTTTTCAATCAATCATTAATTCAATATTAGAAATCAATCATTAATTCAATTCATTCAATCAATTCAATGAATTTAACACTAACCTGTTCATGAACGAGCTCATCGGGAGCGGTGGCAATTGAAACAGTCTCGAAAGAATACTGGGGTAGGAAAAGATTTCGTGCTTTATCCAAAGTATTCCCATTGGAGCTCTGGAATGGAATTTTTGATCTAGGCTCTGGCTTTGGATCTGGCTCTTTCTGATCTGGCTCTGGATCTGGCTCTTTCTGATCTGGCTTTGGATCTGGCTCTTTCTGATCTGGCTCTGGATCTGGCTCTTTCTGATCTGGCTTTGGATCTGGCTCTTTCTGGCTCTGGATCTGGCTATCTAAGCATCTAAGCATCTTTCAATGCATCTAAGCATTGAAAAGTTAATTGAGCATCAAAGCCGCATCAAAGCCGCACTAGCATTGAAATCACTTACCCAATTAGAAAAATGCTAGAAAATTGCCCTTGTTACTCCATTTTTTACTCTCTTTTTATTGATCTTGGCCAGAATTCAACAAAACGTGATAACAAGAACAAATTTAGAACAATCTTGGCCTTAAAGGCTTTGCCATCATTGAAATTTACCTCATTCACTCGACTCTCCACCACTTCACTCTCCACTTTCACTTTCACAACCGAATCGACTTCCTCTGGCATCTCTTGTCCAATGAAAATCGCTTCTTTCCTCGTTTCATCCTTTCCATCCATTTTGATTCTATTTAAATTTTCTCAAAGTTCTCCATTCTTCAAAACCAATCTCCAAAGAAACCACTAAGATCAATAAAAACAAAAAGTGAATATAAAAATTTGCAATTCTTTTGCTTCTTTGCAAAAAATGTTTAATTTATCCCAAAAATTCCCCATGGTTCAATATGAATTCATGAATAATAAACAGACAAAAAGGGATCAAATAAAAGAGAAACGTTGAAGGAAAGGAAAATATAGCAAAATTGAGATAAACAATGAGGAAATGGATATTCATTTTGTTGCAGAGGAAATCTGTCAAAGATTGGGACGCCAACAAATGTACAACAGAGAAAATGGGACTTGAAAAGAAATAAAGAAATTGACAGCAAAACAAAACAGCAAAACTTTTCAAAGTTTTTTTTTTTCAAATAAAGATTAAAGCCCAGATTCTTTGTTGTGTTAAAGCCTTAAAATTAAGAATCTTAAAATATGTCCACTTTTCAATCCGACTACCAGCAGATACTCTAGAAGGTTTTTGGCAAATATTAGGCCCAGTTTTTAACTGAAAACTCTCTCCAATCTATTATATTAGGTTGATGCATAAGTCTTTTCGTTTTTTTCGTACTTCTGTTAAAAAGTAACAAATTCACCAATTAATCTATAGTTTGCTCTATAAAAAAAGTGTTTTTTTGTTCAATTTGCATCTTTTTAAATGAATTTCGGTTCACTTTCAAGCAAATTCGAGAGTGAAAAACGCCTTTTTCGTAAAAATCTATAAAAAACTCTACGGAAAAATTGGCTGAATGAATTTCTCTGAAATTTTGGCGAAATATCAAACGTTTTTTTTCTCTATCTTTTATCTATTGACACGAAGATAGGTTTTCTTTAGCTAAGGTGTCTAAACCGCTCAGGCTCAGGCTCAGGCTTAGGCTGAGGCTTAGCCTGGGCCTGAGCCTGAGCCTGAGCCTAAACCGCATCATCGAGTTAGCCCTTTTTGACTACCCGACTTCATACTCTCAAGAAAATCCAGGCATTAAATATTTTTAAACCCGTTTTAATGTTATTTTGCAGAAAAATAATTGCTTTTTCTAATGAAATCAACCGTAGTTTAATTCGTGCATTTGTTGGCTTGAAACGGCAGACGAAAAGGAACAAAAACACTTATGCATCAACCTATTATATATATACCGTAAATACTGTAATAGTACCCCACCCCCATAATGACGGTGCGGAGTGTTGTGTAGTCTAGCTTTGAGCGAGTTTTTCTCGACACTGGTTTATGATACAATGCGCGCTTAGGTATCAAAAAAATAGTGGGTGAAAAGAGGCCAAATATCGATGAAGCTATTTTCTCCGTATGGCACAAGACCGACCCTCTTACAAAAATGGTTAAAAATACTGTGATTTTAAGCCGAAAAGTTCTCTTTAAACCATTATATTCTCTAGACATTGCTTTAAATTATTTTCCTCTTTTCAAGAAATTAAGCTGTTGGTTTGGAGAGCTAGCACTTGGTCAATGATTGAGGATTAAAGAATTTCCTACTTCAACGGAGTCCAATCAACTTCCGTTTGAAAGATAAGAATCTACATTTTACCCAATAAATTGCAAGATTTTATACTTGCAAATAGTCAATAACCTAGATAAATAGAAGCCATGGTTTTTAAGAAATTGTAATGCAAAAGGGGGTCAAGACCAACCTAATATTAAGGTTTGGAGCTGGGTTTGGAGCTGGGTTTGGAGCTGGGTTTGGAGCTGGGTATGGAGCTGGGTTTGGAGCTGGGTTTGGAGCTGGGTTTGGAGCTGGGTTTGGAGCTGGGTTTGGAGCTGGGTTTGGAGCTGGGTTTGAAGCTGGGTTTGGTTCTGGGCTGGGCTGGGCCTTCAGCCAGATTAGTTAGTTTTAAATTTTAAGACAAATTCTCTTAAGGTGAAAGAACCAATCCAAAGACATTTCAAAGCTGTTATTGCAAATGCAATTACTAAATCTTGAACCCATTGTCCAGAACACTAAAAGTACAAAATGAAAGCTTGACATAGAAAAAAGTGAAAGGGAAAGTTGGAAAGTAAAAACAATAGCTACTTAATCGATATAAAAAAAGGATGAGCTGAATGATCTACATTGCAAAGTTGTTTTTGAAAAAGTTGATAGTATATTTGTGAACTTAGCATCAAAAAAAAACAAACTAAAAAAAATTCTAAACAAAATCGGTTGAAATCCATCCCGAAATTGGATTCGTTATTCGATTCATGCCTTTTTCTCTTCAGCCATGATTCGCATCGATTTCCGTTATTTCATCGACAAAGCCCAGAACAAATTTTTGTATTTGTCTCTTTTTTTTCCTATTTCACTATGATTCTCTTAATCTCTCTTTCTTTTTTTCCTTTTTCTTCTGAAACGGCTGCACAAACGTGGCATAGGGGATGAGCGGAAATTTCATCGCAAAGTTTTCGAATAACTTTTTTTTTGCGAGGAAATTGTTATTTGCTTGATTTCGATAATTTCGCAAGGCTGAGATTTAGTTTGAATCGAATTTAATACTTTAGAAAAAGCTCTGTGATAAAGGGAATGAATGAAGCCACTAAGCCAATGAAGGTCTTAAGGTGTTGGGAAAAAGCTTGCCTTTCTTGTCAATCTTCTCAACAAATCTTTCCTGGCACAGTTGATCAACAAATCTTTTTGATCTTTATTATGGAAATTTAGAAATGAGTACAAAATACTTCTGAATGATGTGGTAAATTTTAGTGTGTCGGTATGTTTAGACTTGAAAGTACAAGCCCAAAGTACAAGCGGGTTTATAAGTCAGTGTCCACAACTAAATGAAACTTATCAAAGGCGCTTTACTGAGTAAATTTATTTCTAAAATAAAAAAACATCTTTTTAGAACACTTAAATTCCTTTTGCTTCTCAATACAATATATAAATATCCTTTTTTTTTCATTAAATTTAAAAATTTAGTGCATCAAGAAGAGAAAGAAGGGATTTTTTTTAAGCACAAGATACACCTAAAAAAGAAATGGATACTGATTAAAGATGGATTATGATAATGTGGATTAAATTCTACTGTAAATACGGTGGCTGTAGCTACAATAGCTTTCGATTATGATAAGGTGAATTAAATTCTACTGTAAATACGGTGGCTGTAGCTACGATAGCTTTCTAGATTCAAAGATTAAAAGAATCAATGTACAACTTTGTACTTGTTAATGTAAATTTGATTTTTCTGCAATCTGCACTTTTGTAAATTTTTATCTCAATCATATATGTACATTTGTCACCAAATTGAATAAATATCTATACCCGGAAAATCAAAAAAAAAAAGAATGACCAGTTTAGAGAGAGATCCGATATAGAGAGATCGATATAGAGAGATCGATATAGAGAGATCGATATAAAGAAAACGAGAAAAATTGACAGAACATCATTTGTTCCAAATTAGGCATTGTCGACAAATGTTTTCTCTAAAAATTCGTGGTCTTTAAAAAGTTAATTAAAATCTAAAACCTTTTGGAGAATTTGAGAAGAATGATCGCATCACTAACATATATTTTCTTCTCAACATTGCATCATTGCCGACGAAAATGATTGGAAACATGAAAGTGTAGAGTGGAAGAAGAATGTGAGAGGATTCCTGCATGGGGATTTCAGTTAGAATAGCTTTTATGTAGTCAAAGTTATTTTTAAAATTGTAAGCTCAAAGTGGTGTAGTTTAGACGAAGTTACAGTAACTTGTTGTCTTTTTAGGACGATATGTTTACCGGTTTTTTTTTTAAGTCAGGGTTAATATTTTCTTTTATAACTTTCTCCCCTCTTTTTTTTTTTTTGTCTGTGTTTTTGTCTGTTTGTCTGTTTGTCTTTTTAGCTGTTTGTCTTTTTTAGCTGTTTGTCTGTTTGTCTGTTTGTCTGTTTCTGTCTGTCTGTCTGTCTGTTTAGCTGTCTGTTTGTCTGTTTGTCTGTCTGTCTGTTTGTCTGTCTGTCTGTCTGTCTGTCTGTCTGTCTGTCTGTCTGTCTGTCTGTCTGTCTGTCTGTCTGTCTGTCTGTTTAGCTGTCTGTCTGTTTAGCTGTCTGTTTGTCTGTCTGTATGTTTGTCTGGCTGTCTGTCTGTTTGTCTGTCTGTTTGTCTGTTTGTTTGTTTGTTTAACTATCCAGATTCACAAGTGACTTCATCTACTGGCTTAAATTTTTTAAAAAAACTAAACTCTCTCTTATAGTTAGTTTAAACTGTTTATCGAGTAAGTTTTGAGTGTAAAAAAGCTACCAAGAGGCAACTAGTTTCATTTAAAAAGTCAACTAGAGTGCGGTATTGTAAGCTCAACGTTTAGAAACGTCTTTCAGAAGATTTTCTGAATGATGCTGGATCACTCAGTCAACTAGGCCTTATTTTTGAAAAACTACAAGGTCAGTTTTAGTCCTCAAGTTACCACCATTTACATATTAGATTTTATTAAAGTAATCTTTGATCTTATATCTTATATCTTATATATTATATCTTATATTAATACCCTTCTTATATCTGTTGTTGTTTGATCTCCCGTCACCAGCAGATCCGACAACAGCGCTGTCACAAAGAAAATCAATGTCAGCAGATGAAGCGAGGACATTAGAGCACAAGTGCGCAGATTTTCCCCAATCTGAATTGAATTTATTTTGAATAACTCAAAAATCTTACTTGAAATCTGGTAGACAACGATCTGTAGTGATGTTGAATGTACTCAGTCTGGCGTTGTCCGTTCAACTAACAATTCAGAAAATTTCCATTGTATGATTTGACAAACCATTTTCAGCGCACAAAATATAGCTGTGAAGAGAAATTCACAAAGGAGAGCTATTGTGACTCCAATGTTTCTGGCGAGAAGGGATTTTGAGGAGATTTGTTTGGCACAGTGTTGAAGGGATTGATGAGAAGTGGCTGAGGAAAGGATGTGAGCGAGTGGGACGGCGATGGGAAGCCACTAAAAGACGGTTATCAGACATCAAATTTCTTAGTGTTGAGTTATCCAATTTAAATATTCTTTGTACCAATCGATAGAAAAAGACTTAACGCATCTAATCATACCAAGAATCTTCAAATTGAACAGCCCAACACCAATAAATTAGAGCTCAAAGTTAGATTGCCGATGGGAAAAGCGGCGGGCGTGTATCAAATGTTTGATAACCGGACCAGTATGTTATAAGTGTATTCAAAGCTCATTAAAGTCTAATGTGGAGCTGTTTCCTTGCAAATGACTTATTAAGCCAATGTACTCACCGTTATAAACAAAATATATCTCAATGGCCTCTCGATATTCTGTTGCTCATATCTTGAATAGTTGAGAGTAGCATAGAAACGTTCAACGCTCAAGATAATCGAGAGAACACACAGTTGAAGACATAATGAAAAGGGGATCATCTCGGCGAGATCACATGAGAGATTCTGAATTCGATTGAATTGCAGGATTGGGTAATTGAACGAACCACGTTCTCGATTGGATCCTCTGTTGGTGGAAATGAGATGTGATAGATCCCCATTGAGGCGCGCAATAAGGAGTAGACCGAAGCAAGGATCACGCAAAAAGTGAAATGCGTGGAAATCACTCTGAAACGTTTGCGGTTGAAGTTACGACATTGGAGGTACGGTAAGTCTACAGTATGTCGGTGAAAGATATTAAGGCTGAGTATTTTTTGTTTCATTTGAAATGTAACCAAATCCGTCAGCCAACTAAACACTGTAGTTTACGGCATAATGTAGTGGCTAACCTACAGTACACCGCTACAATATACGGCTACAGATACAGACAGTCTCCAGCTACAGTATACTGACTACTTGTACTCTGGAGGCAATGGGATCGGTCCACAATAGAGCTAGTCAATTCATCTAAAAACCAAAACCACATTTTACAAGGCATAAGGCCCTACCCTGGCGGCAATAGCATACGTATCGGTGTAGCTCATTGGTAGAGCGTTCGTCCGATAAGCGAGCGTTCGCCCGGTAGGCGGAAAGGTCACGGGTTCAAATCCCGGCACAGACCGTCTTTTGTATTCCCAGCCCCAACCCATAAAAGAACCAACGTGCCCAACTTGGCCTCAATCTGCTTTTTCCTTTCACAAACCTCAAATGATCATGAAATACGGAATATCTCTTCAGTGTCCACAATAGAAGAATGTTTCCATAGAGTGAAAGAAGAGTGAGCAATCCCTCCATATTGAAGAGACCCACCAAAAACCACCATCCATCCTCGTGGACTCTTTCGATAAGCACATCATCCATTATCTGAATGAGGAACTAGAGAAATTGTTATTGCAATTTTATGGCATACTGTAGTTAGATCAAAAAACGTAATAGTAAAAGTATGATGAGATCAGTGTATTTAATAATAAAGTACAAGATTTCGATAAAAGCTATTCAAAAATTAAGAAATGGATAGCCCCAGGTCAATAAAGTATATAATAGTTTACGGTAAGAATATATTTGCATCTGAAGTTCAATCAGAAGTTCATTATATCCTTTTTCAATTGAATCAATGTTCACTTGTAAAGTTTGCAGACTACAACGAATTTGTTCTTTCATTGTCTATTCAAAAACAGCACAGCGCAAGTGTGAGTTGGAGGGAGTGGGACAAATACATTTGTCCATTTGTCCCACTCCCGAGTTGGATAATGAAACCTAATAAAATTAAGAAACTAACTTATAAAAGTTTATAAAAGTTTTTTCATGAAATCAAAAACTTTTAATTCTAGAATACTCGAATAACAGGTGAAATTGTAAATTGTGAAAATTCCAATATTTTAGAAAAACAGCTGCAAGTCTGGTACAACTTGGTGCAAAATTTAACAAACAAAAAAAGTGACATCAGATTTGTAGGGGAAATGGCTTGGAAAAAGGGATTAACTCGTTTGAATCATGTGACCTTTATGCGAGAATTGAAAAGGATTTCAAATGAAAAGGAACAAATCGAATTTGTGGGGAAAATAAAGGGATCATTTGATGAGTTTTATACTTGGTGAACTTGAATTTGAAAGGATTTTTGGGGTAATTAAAAGGAATACAACGAAAGAAAACTATGCTTACTCATAAAATCAAAAACACCGACGAAAAATCTCTTCAAGAAAGAAATCTCTTCAAGCGATTTTTCGATAAATGAAGTAAATTTTGTGTGATTGGTGGTAGGAGAATTTTCGAAATTACCGAGAGAAAACAGGGACATAAATTGGCGTAATTCGGTTGGAAAATTGGGGATTTCGAAGGAAAGAAGCCATTTTTTTGAGAGTGAAACAAAGAAAAGGAATTTTCGCAAAGAGAAAAGGAAAATTGACGCAAAATCTAATTATCACAGGGAAAGGAAATAAAGTAATGGGTTTTGAAGAAAAGAATTTGATTTAGTATGGGATTTAAAAAGAATTTAGTCTAGAAATAGGTAGAGGAGAGTTGGCAAAGGATCTATTTTTTTAATGAATTGCGTCGATGGGAAATTGTGAATGAAAATGGTATGAGAAAATGGAGAGATTAAATGGTTTAAGGGCTTGTGGTGAATCAAATGGGGTTTGAAATTGCGCATGTAGGAAAAGTGTAGTAATTTTTGAGTTTCACATGATTCTGAATGATTGAAATGGTTGTTTATGATAAAACCAGTAGCACATTTAGTTGGAGGTTAAGTTGAGTAACTTGAACCGCAAGTCAGCTACCATAATACCTTTTTAGTAGACACTCAGCTGTTATATTTGCCAAATTGTAAGCATTAAAGTATATCTTCAAGCATAGATATCATAAAATCTAGTGAGCTTAAATCACGCTTGATCTACGGGGTTCCAAAAGAAACACTCTTTAATTAGCTGTCTGATATGCTTCAGACAGCTAATCAAAGTTTTGAAGCGTTGTTTAAAGAGTTTAATTTTTGATTTATATAACCTTTATAGCATGTCGAGCAGTTGCATAAAGGATTCTGCAAAGTCTATTTGATTAAATGAAACTGAAAACTAGAACTGATTGGACAAATAATAAAGTGAATTCACTAAAGAGTTAGATTAACTTAGTCCAGTTTTCTTTAAAATTGGCCGTAAAATTTAAAACTAGCGCCATTTCCCAGTTAATAACTAGACGAATAACACTTTCTCAAAGAAGTCAAATCCAATTGTCTGCCTAAAGGCCCAGACAAGTAAACAACTTTATTGCCATCCAGAAATAAACACACATTTGAGTTATTGGATTTATTCAAAATGAATCAAATTAAAGAAAACCTTTGGAATGTTCAAAGTTAAAATTCTAGAACACTCACGAATCGGAAATGAGCTGATGGATGGGTTTGGATGTTTTTTCAATCAAACATCTTGGCACTGAACCAATAAAGGAGTTGAAGGTGAAAAAAGGAAAGGGAAGATGGATTAATCGGGGAAATGGGACTCCTCTTTTTTGAAGAGAGCCGATGGGCCCACAGCGGCCAATCGATAGCCTTCGCCTTCTTTTCTTCCAAAACGCAAAGAAACACCAAAAAGAACTCCCGTCTCTTCTCTTTTTGAGCTCTTTCTGCCAAGAACACCTTTCTTTTTTGGTCATCACTCGCTGAACTTTGAGAAATTCGAGAAAATCACGTTAAACCTTTCGTGTCTGAAAATAAAATTGGATATTTTTTTTGAGAGGTGACACGTTTGATGAATGAAACTGGGTAAATTAAAGATGTTGGTTGAAAAAGAGTTAGTAAAATTTAGGAACTAACCACTTTTAGACTTACAATTATGCTTTTGGAGGTGAAAACTTACCCGGTGTACTTTAAAACTGTCACCAATCGATTTAGCATTACCGATTGCTTCAAAAACTTTCCTTAAAACCCTGTAACCTTCAAATTTGAACGTCTAGTCGATTTTTAGCATGTAAACGTTGTTTTATTAAGCTAATATTGTATAATTTCTATTCACGTGATTCTATAATCAAAAGTTATAATTTATTGTGTTTATTATTGTTTATTATGAAAGTTTTTAGCGAAAGAACGCATTTTCCGCCAGTCTGGCTTTTCTCTTTTCGACAACGTGCTGCAACTACCGTACCCCAAAATTCAAACGCGTCTCGTCTTGCGACGCGACAGAAAGTTGATTTGCAGAGAAAATTCATTTTTTCGCCTACTGAAATTCTGTCTTTGAGTTGTTAGATAAATACAAGATTGTTTTTGCTCATTTTTGATTGAAGACTTATTCTGTATCGAATTAGTCAGTGTTGGGGACCCTTCACAGTAGAGATATCATCGTTTCTTCGTTTCAATTTTGCGTTTTTTTTATTTTGAACCTTTAATAATTTTTATTTTGAGGTAAAGCGGCAAAATGGCCGAGCAAACAGAACGTGCCTTCCAAAAGCAGGCTGGAGTCTTCCTCAACACGAAAGCCCGCATCTTGGGCATCGGCAAAGGAAAGAAGACCACCCGTTATGTTCGCGATATTGGACTTGGATTCAAGACACCAGCTGAGGTGGATCTTTTTAAACTTTTAAATCTAAACGTTTACGCTTGAATTGTGACAAATTGAATTGAACTTGGAACTTAAAAGATGAGAAATTCCTAGGAACAAAAAAGTTCACCTTGCTATGATTTTACAACTTTATTCAGAGCTTTAATCTTTTAGTTTAAGTAGCATGCATTTGATGAAACGTATTTAATCTTAAAAGAATAGTCGTAAAAACAGGTTTCTACTAACACTAGAATGTTAGTAGAAACCTGTTTTTAAATGTTTTTTTGCCAGCAGCTCTCTTAACCTTTTTAATTTAGGCGGTCACTGGTAAATACGTCGATAAGAAGTGCCCATTCACCGGAAACGTCTCGATCCGAGGCCGAATCCTCACCGGAGTCGTTGTCAAGGCCAAGATGCAAAGGACGGTCGTGATTCGACGAGACTACCTCCACTACGTTAAGAAATACAGACGTTTCGAGAAACGACACCGCAACTTGTCGGCCCATTGCTCTCCATGCTTCCGGTTAGTTTTGTTGTTTCTTCTCAGTAGGCAAAGAAGCCCTCTGCATATAGTTTTACCGTTAAGCCGAGCTTTATTTATCAGTTTATGAGCCTGTCATGAGTATCGATACTCTTAAGCTAGAATAAAAAGAAATTGTTCTGGTCTTTCATAGCGTTTTGTGCGAATGATTTAGACTAGATTTAGCATCAATTTATTCTAGATACATCAAGTGCTCGTAATATCCAAAACTAGATTAAAGACTGCTAACTGGAATTAACGTGTGTTGAGTGGTTTAAAACTAAAGCAATTAACTTGATTTATGTTTCTATTTAGTGTTGATGTCGGAGATCTCGTCACCGTTGGACATTGCAGACCTCTTGCCAAGACCGTCACATTCAACGTGCTCAAAGTCAACCGAGGACCAGGAAGCAAGAAAGCCTTCGATAAGTTCTAATTATTTCATGTTGTTCCCTTTTGCTTCTTTCGTTACTTTTCATTGTTATTTGTGAGGGAAGATAAAGGATGTTCCATTTTTTTTCATTAATGAGTATTTATTCAACAAAGCTTAAGACCAATTGTTAACAAGAGACAAGCGCACAAAGTACACAGCGAAAAGTTACGAAGCAATCCAAGAAGGTACACGTAATCACATCAATCACAAGCAAACAACTATAGATCGCGAATGCAACGAAACAGAATCTGGTATTATATTCTTTTATACTCGGTCCGAATTTACATTTCAAAATATGAGTAAAGTTGTTTCAATCACCAACAAGAACGATCGCGCCACTCAAATCATTTTTTTTCTACTCATGAAGCCGCGGCCGGTCGAAAGGCTTTTTATTGTTTCTCCGGATCAATTCGTTGATTTTACAACGGTCGGTTTACATTAGAGTTGTATTGTTCATCTTGATTTGATTCAGGTGCTTGATGGGAAATTAACTGCACATTATGAAGTAAGGACCACGCTTATTGATCAACGATTTTTTTATTTAGCTCTACAATATCTCTTCAGGACGAATGGGCTTCCGTATCCAATCAAACGCATCGGAAAACTATCGCGTTGTGCCATCTTCTGGATTCATCGAGTCGGGGGTATTAAATTTTGAATTACTCGTTCTGGTGTTGTAGCTGAAACAGTACAGCTGACAGCTTATCGTGATTGCTTTTAGGCGCGACTTGTGGTGACAACGACCGTGCGAAGTGGAGGAAATGTCGATTCGCGCCACTGTTTTCGTATCCATGGTTTGGATGTGTGCGATAGCGGTAAACATTTTATTTAGTTTCTTGCATTGATTTTAAAATTAGAGCTTGATCTAACTATTGATGAGTTCTGGAAGTACCACCCCAAAATTATGAAGGAGAGTTATACGCTGAAAGTCCGAGCTCCAGGTTTGTTAAAATTTGCTTTTTCTTCACACTTGCTTGTTTAGAATTCAGGGAGAGTCGATTACGTGAACGCCTTCTCACTCAGGTACCCTGGTTTTTGAATTGTAAATACGTTAGTAAAAAATCTGTTTTATTGCGGTATAATTTTAAAAGCCGCTACTCGCGTCCTAAATCATTTTTCATAAAATGTTCAGTAATAATTGAACCGCTAGCTTTAATTTAGGTCGCAGCTATTCGACAAACCAATAGCACTCTTCGCAAAAGGATCGAAACTTTAGAGTTAAACAACAATTACGTAATTGATTCCTATAATATTTTGATATCTTTGTTCTTTAGTTGGTTGGACTAACGGACGTATCGGAACATCATGGACATGCATCACGGATTATTGTGCACTTTGCCTACTCGATGCTCGCCATTCTACTCACGTTGTTCGCATGGGATCTCTCGATGGCGATCATTTTTTCGGATGAATATGTGAGAATTTATTCCGATAGAACTAACAGATAGGAATGTAATGAGAATAGCCAATAAGTCTAGTGTAATTATTTGTTACTCACGTTAACACCAAAGACATTAAATTTCATTTAAAGGAACACATTTTTTTTATTTAAATTTTATTTTATTTTTTATTAAATATTATTAAACACATTTTATTAAATACATTAATTTATATTTATCTTCAGGAGACGATTCTACTCGAGAAAGGACAAAAACATTTGGAAACTGCCGCAAATTTTATCGAGGCTCTACGAGAAGAGCGAAATCTGACACAGGAAAACTTTGTGATTAAATAAATTGTTTGATCTTATTTATTTTGGGTGATAAAATGCATGAAACGACCAAACAAACCAAAGGACATCTGCAGGCATTTCAGATTTTGTTCTTTTCAAAATCGATTTATCAATCGACCACACGGAAGCCCAGGTTTTTGGGGGTTAGGTGGGTTTGAGGTGTCGGAGAAAAAGAAATAAAAAGATCGTAAACGAGCACGAGATGGGTCACAAAGAGGCGTTTCCTTTAGGGGTTTCTCCTCATTCTTTCCTCTTCCTCTTCTTTTGTGTAGTCTTTTCCCTCTCGAAACCGTCATACTTGACGGCACCACCAAAAGACATCGACCATACCAAAACGGAGAAGATTTAATTGGTGAGGAGGAGGAGGATAGAAAGAAAAGGAGGATATCAAGGCGGGATTGGCTCTCTTCAGAGCGAGACTCCGCCCATATTCGTGAGATTTAGAGATACTCTACCTGAATATCGATAGGAGATTGTTTCTTTTTTTTGCTTTTGAAGCTGATTCTTTTTTTGAATTTATCTATTAAGTGAACAAAGATCGAAAGTGAAAATCGAGATTTTTGAGAAGATCGAGATTTTTCGACGCTTTTCCAATGATGAAACTCCTTTTGTTACTCCTGATGACTCTGCTGCTCGAAGCGCGAAGTTGGTGGTGAGTCTTGAAGCAATTCACAGCAACACACAACTTGCTAAACTCTCAGAAATCTTGCAAGCCATAAAATTTCGTCTTTTGCCAATGGGTGATTGACTTTTGACAATTTTATGGGCGGTCTTTTTTTGGGGAGAGAAGGCGTGGGATTGGGCCTGCATAGGGGTTTAGCCCTGCATTTTTTCTTCATTCATCATTTGACATCATTTGACAATGTTGCGTATATTGACACTGTTTTATTGTTTTTCTTTGTCTACAGGATTCAAGCTATTCGATTTTTGGTAAGTTTTTTTGAATCAATTCCATCGCGTTTTAAAAGCTTCGTTCACTGTGACTTTTTTGTTTCATTTTTTTTTTGCAAAGTTGAAAACATGGTTGAAATTTGATTTATCTACTGCATAGCATTTCGATTTTGCGCAAAAAAAGCATTACAAACATTTTCTACATTTAGCGGGGTTTAGGGGAAATTTTAGGGAAATCTACATTTAGGGAAAGGGCTTTTATGTGAGTTGACCTTTTATGAGCATAAAAGGTTGGTTGAGCAAGCCTATTGCTCCGTCAGCAAGCCTATTGCTCCAGTTGGTTGAGCAAGCCTATTGCTCCGTCAGCAAGCCTATTGCTCCAGTTGGTTGAGCAAGCCTATTGCTCCGTCAGCAAGCCTATTGCTCCAGTTGGTTGAGCAAGCCTATTGCTCCGTCAGCAAGCCTATTGCTCCAGTTGGTTGAGCAAGCCTATTGCTCCGTCAACCTCCGATCCCCTTCACTCTTCACCAATCATACCTTCTTTTTATGTCCATGGGAACCAAAGTGAAATGAACGAAACTTTGAATTGAGATCTAGAGTCTAGTCTGAAATCTAGTCTGAAATCTGAAATCTGAAAAGTCGAGAAATGACGTCAAAAATCTTTCCACATTCTCAAGAACTTTGAAAAAAAAATCAAACTTGATCGACTATTTTGTGAAATAAAAATAACTACAAAGACGGGGTAGGCTGAATTCGCATTTTTTTTTGCGCAACTCGCCATAACTTTCTTCTAAGTAAGCCAATCTTTATGATTTTGATTTCATTTTGTAGATCTCAATAAGTGCAACAAAATGAAACCAAAGTGGTAAAGATTGCCTGACTGCCTGAAGAAGATAGTTATGGCAGGCAGTCAGGCAATCTTTACCATTTTGGTTTCATTTTGTTTCACTTATTGAGATCTACAAAATGAAATCAAAATCATAAAGATTGGCCGACTTAGAAGAAAGTTATGGCGAGTTGCGGAAATTAGCCTACCCCACAAAGACTATTCAATCAGATTACAAATGACTTCTATTTGGCACTAATTTAACTAAACGAGCTACTATCTTTGAACCAAGATCTTCCTTTAACCTTCTTCTACATAGCTTTGGTTACTGTATGAGTCCAGGCTTTTCTTTGTCTCCTGTCTCCTGTCTCCTGCTACATTTTGAGTCTCGCTCAAAGCTCAAAGCCAGACTAGCATAAAGCGAAGGCCTTGGTAAATGGCAATTTCATTCGGCGCAATCTTCATGACCCCCAAGAAGCTCAAAACCCGATTATGAATCATTTAGTCGTCTAATTCTAATTCTCTCTATCATTCAATCTTTGAAATCCTTTTCCAAACCATCTTCAGAACCCTTTCAACGTCCTTTATCATAAAGGACTCTTCTCTGGAGTCTTTGAACGAGTATCCTTTGTGTTTTGTAACGAGCACCGACCATTCCCCATCTCATTGACTTTATCGGGTTTTTTTTGAAGTTAAAATGTCTGATTTTCACATAACTTTTTAACCTTGTAAATTACCGGACAAGTAGAATTAAGGCGCCATTGGCATTTGTCGAGTCGATGGGAAATCATCCGGTGTCAATCATTAATGTGATCTGTTTGCCCCGAATTGACTCGGCCAGCTGGGTCAATGGACACAAAACTTTGACGGGATTTACATCGGCTTTGATCACACCGAGAAATTGTTTCGAAAAACTTTTAGTTTAAAGCCAGGACAAGGTAAAAGGAATCAAATTGATTCAAAGAAACTCAACTTAAAATCAGAACTGGTGTTCTTTCTTCTTTCTTCTTTCTTACTGTAGTCAGTCCACTAGCTTCCACTTAATTTATCTAACTTAAAATACAGTAATCTTACAATGTGGCTAATCTAATAGAGACTAAAAGTTACAGTAATCAAGTTTAGCGCTTGTTCCAATTGCTTTCTAAATATTCCAATTCTTTCAATTCCAATTGCTCATACTTTCTAAATAAAAGATCTAATAAGAAAAAAACGGGTAATTCACAAGCGAATTGTAAGCTGATTTGCATCTTTAAAGAAACGCTATAGACACCGAAATGTCTTTCTGTGATTCATCGGTGAAAATTCCAAAAGCTTGATAAATTTTGAATCAAGAAGACACATACAGTCACCCAGCAATGACATTGATATCAATTAGTCGCGCAATTTTGTCACAGATGAATCACAGAAAGAGATTTCGGTGTCTTTCCTTTTTTTGCCGGTGATTTATCTCCTTTTTCTCCTTCTGATCGCTCATCCAAGATTGTCATGAATTGCGCGACGCGTACATTAAATGGGCAACATTTAGGATTTTTTTTTTTTCGGTATTTCTTCTGATCATTTTTATGAGATTCGAGCCCAGGGACAATCGGGATTTTATTATTTTATTGTCTTATAGCACAAATTCCATTTTTTAAAACCTTTTCAGCTTACCTGATTCATTAGTCTAAATTGTCTCAAAAAGCATTTAAAACCCTTCAGTTTTCTTCAAGAAAAACGTTGAGTAAATAGTGATAAGATTGTTTTAAAGGCATTGTTCCAGACAACTCCAACGCCAGAGCAGAAGCCAGGTTTTGCTATTAGCCTATTACTAGGCTGCGTACTTGGGTCATTGTTAAGCCTATGCCTGACTTCTAGCCGGCTTCCGCTCTCTCCTGCTTGACTTACAGTATTTCCCTATTTTCTTCTTTTTCTTTCTTCCTTTCTCTTCCTTGTCTTTCCTATTTCTTCTTGGACAAAGAAGGCACCGATAGCTCGTCGTCGATAAGCAGAATGTCTCCGAGACATTCTGCTCCGAGAGCTCGTTGATAAGCAGAATGCTCCGAGAGCTCCGAGAGCTCGTCGATAAGCAGAATGTCTCGTCGAGGTCGAGGATTCAATTCCCCTCCAAATTCTTTGCCATTCATTTCTTTACAAGCTCTATGATCTGATTCCCGAAACACTGTTGGCTTACAATCAATCATTTCTAGAAACTCCTGCTTTTAGTTTGATCTTGAAGTCATCATACATCCGGTCGGCTAATTTTCATTGGTAAAGGCTTAGGTAGGTACTGGTAGCCCCATAATGCCCTTCAAAGAGATCAACAATGCTGTTCTCGATTTATTGGGGTCCTTGTGAATGTTTTGTGGTAAAGAGAGTGTTCTGGAAGGAGCCGACAATCCCATCTAGAAACAACAACAGGTTTACGATCAACCTCAGCACGTTTTCTCTCATCTTTTCCTTTTCTTTCTTTTCCCAAAATCTCTCTTTTCTCGAGTATTCTCATCTAGCCATTTTATGGTTTTTTTTTGAGGGAAATCTGCTCATTTGTGCTCTTTTACCGCCTGCTTTCGGGGAAAATTGATCTGGAGATTTTTTCTGACAGAAATATTGAGGGGAATTGTTAGAAGTTAGGCGAATAGCATTATATACAATAATTAGATTTACACAATTATATTATATATTAGATTAGCATTATATACAATAGTTAGATGAAATGAAAATCTTTCCCTGAAGCTTAAAAATACGGTAGTTTGTCTACAGTGAAACGGATTTAGCCTAGATTTAGCCTCAATAATTAAACATTAAATTCACTGGATTTTGGGTGAAAGTTAAAAAGGATGAGGTAAAACAAGTCCAGAACCGAATCCTGGTGAGAGATCAATGAAGCTAGACTCGCCTAGAGAAAAATATTGAATATTCAAATATTGAAACAACCCTGATGGAACTTATTAGGAAAACCAAATACCGTATTTTCTCTAATAGTAGTGCACCCAGAGTGTCGTCTAAATTCCTCGAAATCTCGAGAACCGCTTATCAGAACCTATCGATGTGGGGTCGGAAAATGTAGCTGCGGATGAGTTCTTGTGGCGGATTTGAGTGGTGAGCTTCTGTGAAAGCTTGGGAACTGTAAAATAGTCACCAACTCGGCTCGCCGGGGGGAGGAGGAGAGGGCACTACCATTAGAGGAAATACAGAATACCCCATTTTCTCTACTAGTAGTGCACCCTAAGCTTTGCCTAAATTCCTCGAAATCTCGAGAACCGCTTATCAGAACTTATCGATGTGGGGTCGGAAAATGTAGCTGACGATGAGATCTAGTGGGGGATTTGAGCGTTGAGCTTCTGCAAAAGCTTGGAAAACGTAAAATAGTCACCAACTCGGCTAGGCCGGGGTGCACTTCTATTAGAGAAAATACGGTAAACTAAATTGAAGCACACTCATTTCGTCGATTAACAATAGGAAATCTTTAGGTTACTCTCCGAGTTGAGCCCTGGTTTATCGTCTTTCCATCCGTCGACATGCCTTCTCATTCCGGGCTTCAACGAGAAACAAAAAGAGATTTGCACAAAGAACGCTGATGCGATGAATCATGTGGTTTGTCACTGAAAGAAAATGAAACTAATATGGGATGAAGAAGAAGATTCAACTCACCAAATGAAATGAGTAAACCATTGAACGCAGAATTTTACGCTGAATATCCGAATATCCGAATATCCGATTCGTTTTTGCAAAATGATTCTGAATTACCTACAATTTGGCAAACAAGTTTTTGGCTTTTTTTATAAGGCACGTGCCACAAAGAGTATAGCGGATAACGTCCTTGCGTAGTATAGCGGATAACGTGTCGGAATTCAAAGCTGTAGAACGAGGGTTCGACTCCCATTAAGTTTTTTAAGTCTAGACAATCCCTCTTGGCGGATTTCCTCCCTTTATAAGACTTACACACGCCTTTATAATACTTACGCGAAGTTGGCTGCGTGGTCTAGTGGCTAGTGGACTAGGTTAATGACCAGCTGATCGTGGATTCGAATCCGCTCGCTTTTTTTCTTTCTGTTTTTTGTCTTGTAAACACTTTTTATGGTGTCTCACATAGCTTCAAGCCTCTCCAATGCTATGTATCACAAATTTATAACATAATAACTTTAACAAAAAGAAACAAAATAACGGGGGTAGGCTAATTTTCGCATTTTCTTTTTGCGCAACTCGCCATAACTTTCTTCTAGGTAAGCCAAGCTTTATGATTTTGGTTTCATTTTGTAGATCTCAATAAGTGCAACAAAATGAAACCAAAATGGTAAAGATTGCCTGACTTAGAAGAAAGTTATGGCGAGTTGCGAAAAAAATTGGCGCAAAGCAAACCCTCATTTTTTTGTGACTCCATCAACTGAATATCTTGGGTCATTTAGCTAACAGGCTAGCTAACAGGCTAGCTAACAGGCTAGCTAACACGGAAATTAGCCTACCCCAAATAACCCAAACGATTAAACACAAATTAACAATCAATAAAGTGAGCAAAATGTTTAAAATTTTGATTTTCATTTGTTGCGCTTGGTCTGCTGATCACTCCTTTGTAAATCTAAAAAAGGAAAACCATTTTTTGAAGCACAAATCTAGGTCTCTGGTCTACGAATGGCTGTTGATGAGTGTCAGAAGACTTTCTCCACCCAACTATGGAATTGCTCGATATCTGCCCGACAACCGCAATCACTTCAGAGTTTGTTTTTTTTTTTGAAAATGAGTCCCGGAAATGTTTTTTTGAATCAATTTTGAATTTCAGCTGGCTCAAAAGAATCGGCCTACGTTTACGCTATCGCTTCGGCTGGCATGTCGCACTCAATAGCCAAGGCTTGCTCAAAGGTTTTGCTTTAAAGATTTAAATTTAAATTTAAACTAGAATACAACTCAATACAACTAGAAATTCATAAACTCAATACAACTAGAGCTTTAGGGTGAAATCTCAGCATGTTCTTGTGGTCCAATCCCAAGCACTCAAACGAATAAATACATTTGGGCGGGTTGCTCGGATAATGTTCGATACGCGAACACTTTTGGGAGAAAATTCATCGATGTCACTGATAAAGAGCAAAGTGATGCAAGGTGAGTGGATTGGAGGTTCTATTTGATTTTAAATTTCTTCAAATAGCCAAATCTAGACATATTCGATTGAGTCTTTCACCGAAATCCATTTAATTGAAAAAAAGTCTGACTAAAAATGCAAAGTCGGGGATCGAGCCTGTGAGGTCTCGCTCTGGAAATGAGCGTTGTACCACTCTGCATCTGGTTTGGTGGCTGCATCTAGTTTGGTCCGCAAGTTTGGACCCAAATGATCACATTTTCCTAACAAGGACTTTATACCCTTATAACTACTGATAGATTGCTATTTAACAAAAACGGAATATAGATTCAGAATCAGCATAAAATTCTGTGTTGAATGGGATTGGTCGTATAGCATTTCACCATATAGCGTGTGGCATTTCGCCGGCAAGACCCAAACGAGCCGCCTACTGTTGCGCTAGCTGTGCACTTGCCGTTTCCACTGCTGCCACAACATTTTCAGAGTCCTAACAAGGACTTTAGACGCTTATAACTCTTCACAGATTGTTATTTAGCAAAAACGGAATATAGATTCGGAATCAGCATAAAATTCTGTGTCGAATGGGATAGATCGTATAGCATTTGATCTTCCCTTTTCAGTAGAACACAGACAGGCATACAGGACGAACATGTCATAGACAAACAGGCAAACTTTGTCATTGTTGTGTCATTGTTGAACTAAAATTAGACAATAAGACAATTTTATTGATCCCACTATTCAATAAACTAGACAAATCGATAAATCTGGTGCACAGATCTATAGATTCCGAATCAGTATAAAATTCTGCGTTGAATGGGAGAGTTCGCATAGCATCTTTACGCTATTTTTTCCTTGTCTAGAGTAGGAAAGAGTTTTTTCAATTCTTTTTCTTTTCTTTTCTTTTCTTTATTTTATTTCTAGATCCCTGATGAATCTTCACAATAATCGAGTCGGCCGTCGACTTCTCTCAAATTCAATGAAAAAAGAGTGCAAATGTCATGGGGTTTCCGGCAGCTGTGTCACAAAAACGTGTTGGAAGGTGCCAAATTTTGGAAAAGCTTTTAGAAAAGCAAATGAAAATAGCATTCAATCATTTGACTAATGAAAGAAACTTTTGAAAAAAGCTCAATGATCCGAATCAAGTATTTCAGGTGGTGCCTCAATTTGATGACTTTGCCTTGAAGCTCAAAGAGAAATACGATTTCGCGCAACAGGTTTGTAATAAGAAATGAGTAAAGCTTAATATGATCTTCTAATACTTAAGAATATCAGAATATTCAGGCCATATTACCCGATGAAAGCGTTGAATTACTCCTGAAAGATCCACCAATAGTGGAGGGAGCTCGAGTCGGACGATATCTTGATGTCGATAAGGAAAGAAATCGGGTAATGAGCTAACCTGTAGTTAAAAATACAAAGCGTTCAATATTTATGGGGATTTTTGAGCTCGCAGATCGTTTAACACCTCAAAAAATTGTGGTTAAAAAATGGTTAAGAGAGCACTGTAGGAGTTGAAAGAAAAAAAATCAAAAGCGGGAGTCAAACTTGCGAGGTCTCGCTTTGGAAACGAGGCCTTTACCACTCGGCTACGGCTGCGCTGAATGTGGTCCGCAAAAAGGCCGCTAAGACTCAAATAGCCACATTTTCAGAGTCCTAACAATTTTCTAGATTATTTTTCTTGTTTAATGATGAGAAAAAAAAGTAACTTAAATTTGTGAACGTTGGGCGTTTCCTGTTTTCCTGTGTGTTTCCTTTTTTAGCTTTAAACTCGATAATCTTCACTATTGAACGGTTTTCAAAGCTACGGGACATTAAAAATGTTAAAATCACGTTTCAGTTTTGATTCTTTCAAAGAAGCTTAACGAGAGCTTGTGAAAAAACAATTTAAGCGCTTTAGTCGCTTTCCACAGGTGTTTCTAGGCAAGAAACAGCTCAAAAGACAATAATTTTGAACAAAATGCTCTTTAATTTGTGAACGTTGGGCGTATTGATAAGTGTGTTTCCTTTTTTAGCTTTAAACTCGTACAAAATGAGCTCTAAACTGAGCTCTAAAGACTACTGGTTCCCGATAAATATTGAACAGCTTGTAGTTTCTTGAAACAAGAACTAGTTTAGAAAACAATTTTGAACTCGAGTCTCAACTTTCCAATAAGCTTTAGGTGCCAAAGAATGACTTGGTTTATTTGGAGACATCGCCAGATTATTGCCAAAAATCGACTCGAGGAAGAGAGTGCACGAACAATTGTCGGACAGTCTGTTGTGGACGGGGTGAGTGCAGGGAAATGTTGAGCTTTTGTGCTTGTAAGGCTTTTCATACACTTCACAATTTGTCTTGTTAAAAAGATGCAGGCAAGAGAACAGGGAATCGATAGAATTTACAATTTTGCTTAATGCTGGGCTTTGTTTTACCCAATTTGGTACATGGGAAATGGTAATTGAATCAAATTTCTCGATAAATAAGGATATTCAAGCAATTTAAGCTTTTTATTTGACACTTTGACTCGATGACTAGGTTTTTTTGGATAGGATTGTCTCAAAGGCCTGGTCTAGCTTGGCCTGGGATTAGCTTGGCCTAGCTTGGCCTAGGCTTAGCTGGGTCCAGCTTGGCCTACGCTTAGCTTGGTCTAGCTTGGCCTAGGCTTAGCTTGGTCCAGCTTGGCCTACGCTTAGCTTGGTCTAGCTTGGCCTACGCTTAGCTTGGCCTAGAAACAACTCTGCCTTGTTGTTTTCAAAGTCAAAATCTTAAAACCAGACGAAATTAGACAAACTTAAGTCAATTCAAAAGACTTTTACCTACTTTTTACATTTCTAAAACCTTTTAAAACTAAAATTCTAGGTTGGAACACCGTTCGCGAGATGGTTGAAGAGCCGTGCCAATGCAAATTCATTTGGTGCTGTGAAGTGGAGTGCAAGACGTGTAGAAGACTCGTCGAGAAGAATTATTGTAGATGAAACATTTTTTCTTTTTTTTTTTTTCATTCATTGTACAAAACTTTGCGATTCTTTTGATCTCACCCTGTTTATCTGAAAAACTTCTTTGACTTTGAAAATCTTGCATTTGAATGTGATCGAAACGAGTGTCATTTTTACAAAAAACGAATAAAGCTTGCCTATTTTACAGCAAAGATAAACGAAGAAAACAAACAAAATAAAACATCAAACATTTTTGGGTTCAATTTTGTGCATCCCCTATCGGCTACAAATTTCAAAATTTCTTTTGGAGACACGTTAGGGACCCGGGTCCAAATCTAACCTTAGACTTGGGTAATTAAACCAAACGAGGAGACCTTTATCGCCCTATCAGTGCCGGTCGTGTGCCAGGTGCCGTTTTTTCTTACGAGAGACATCGAAGGTACACACAGTTTCTTCATCAAACATCCAAAATGTGAAACATCCGAAAGATCACTCTTATTTTATCCGCACCCATGCATGGCTCGTTGGTCTAGTGGTATGATTCTCGCTTTGGGTGCGAGAGGTCCCGGGTTCGATCCCCGGACGAGCCCAAGTTTTAGTTTTTTTTAGAAGAAGGCTTTATAGTAACGTTAGGTATACGGTAACTAAGGTGTACTGTATTTTTGGACTTACTTCACCCCTGATCAACAAGGTTAGTTTGATCAACAGCAGTTTGATCAGGAATCACTAATCACCTGACTAGCCCATATTTTCTCATTATCATTTGTGCACTTCAAGCAACCATTATGAAATCAAAGGACGAAAATAAAAACAAATAAAAAAGAATGAAAGATTTAGCTCATCTAACACTTTTTGGGCTCACTCGTGCATCCCTTATTGGGGACGCGTTTCAAAATTTTCTCGAGACACTATTGGAAGGTCTTTGGGTTAACGCTAACCTCAAACTTGGGTAATTGAACCGAGGAAAGAGGTCTCTGTCGCGATATCTGTGAGGGCCGCGTGCCAGATGCCGCTTTTTCCTAGAAGAGACACGAAGAGTACGCACAAGTCGTGTCGTCTCGTGTCTCTGCTGCTTGAAATTTCCGGCATCTATCACGGTGAAGGCGCTGGTTGAAAAGGCGAAAAATGGCAGATCGGCGTGGGGTGCTTGTGGCGAGCTCATTCTGAAAGCCAGTAAGGGCCAAAAATTAGCTCTGGCCAAAAAATCTTTAATGTACGAATGATGCTAAGAGTTAGAGCTTTCAAATGGTATATAATGCATGCTACTTTGAAAGTTTTTGGAAAAGAATAGTTTTCCAAAAACTGGTTACCGTAACAAAAACTGGTTAGTAACGGTACACTCTGTAAAATGTTTGTGGAAGCGTTTGTCTCAAATGACAACAATACAATGAAATTTGAGCAAAAGAGTGCCAGGAAGTGTAGAGGTAAGTTAGTAAGTTAAAAAAACTATTGCAAACTACGAAGTGACTTAACTAACCGACGATTGTGAAGACATACACTACTGGACAATGAAATATCATATTTGTAAAAAGATCGTCACTTTCGCGCGTCTGTAACTCCCTTGTCTTTACCGTATTTCTAAATATTAATATTACCATTGTGTAGCCCTTGAAAAGAGCTTTCAGAAAATTTATAACACTAATAGTTTAAACTCAAAGACAAGGGAGTTACAGAGTTAAGAGTGACGATCGTTTTTCAAATATCATATTTCATTGTCCAGTACTGTAAGTTAGTAAGTTAATCTGCGAATGCGAATCAATCTAATTTTTCATATACCGTGTTTCTTTGAATAGAAGACCGGGTAAAGAGTATCATCGCGTACTCCTGCGTAGCAGCCCTTTTTAAAGTTTCTTTTCTGCATAAAAGCTTTCAATCAAGTGCTATAGAGCTGGAAAATGGCTCAAAAATCTGTTAGTGAATGTGGTATTTTTGAGCCATTTTCCAGCCCTATAGCACTTCATTGAAAGCTTTTATGCAGAAAAGAAACTTTAAAAAGGGCTGCTACGTAGGAGTACGCGATGATACACTTTACCCAGTCTTCTATTCGAAGGAATACGGTAGTTATTTTAGATGAATTCCAATTCAATCCGTTTCCCTTTCAAAAGCGTTTTAAAAGCGTTTCCCTTCCACTTCAAAAGCGAATTCTTTACATTTCTATATTAAAAAATTCGAAAATCACCTCTTTTTCTAATAAATGAGTCACCGGATCGTAGTGTTGTCGAGGTTTGACAAAGGTTTGATAAAGGTTTGACAAAGGTTTGACAAAGGTTTGACAAAGGTTTGATAAAGGTTTGATAAAGGTTTGACAAAAGTGCCCACCACCATATCAGAGAGAAAACACAGCTGTGCACAGCCCCATTTCCAATCCCCTCTTCCTATCCAAAAATGATTTCTGATATGAAATAGTTATTTTAGATGAATTCCAATTCAATCCGTTCCCCTTTCAAAAGCCCACATCATATCGTAAACTGAGCTTTTTCCATTTCAATTTCCATCGATAACATCAACAACAACTTTACGCCAAATTTTGCCTCTTTCACGCAACTTTCCATAACATATTTCTTCGTTTATCTTTATGATTTTAACGTCATTTTATTGCAGCTTTGCTTTAATAAAAACATTAATATGAAAAAGATCTTAAAAAAAATGCTCTCAAAAGATTGGCCAATCTTCGAAGAAAGTTATGGAAAGTTGAGTAAAAGACGCAAAAATTTTGCACAAAATAGTTGCACCCAAAAAATTTAGAGCTCATAGCTCTCATTGAGTCACACCTTTTTTTGAGCCACGTTTTCCTCAAAATCAGCCATTTTTTTGCAGCCAAATTCAGCCAAAAATCAGCGAAAACAAAGCCGAAAATCTAGGCGTTAATTTGCGCACCTGTGAATTCCTTTTTGTTTGGCTGTTTTGGGCAATTCCTTCATTTGGCACACTTTCATTTGAATGGGAAATACGCCAAAAATCGCTTTTTCGATTGGGAAATTCGCAGAAATTGAGAAATTAAAGAAAAACGAGAGAAAAATGAGAGAAAATGATGAAATTTCAGAGTTAATTTTTAGTAAACTCAGCCCTATTTTACTATTTACTATATGTGTTGATTTGTGCAAAGTTGGCAACAAAATCCTTTTCGTAAACAAGTCAAAAATGCATATAAATGCAATAAAGAAATGTTGTGGTCAAGGAAAGAATTGCCAAAAAAAATTTGACGCTTATTCAGGATGAACGCTTGGCGTACGGTGGCTGCACTGATAAGCATCGGTTTGTCATTGGGCTTAATTAGGTCGGAATTAGGACCAATCACTAGATCTAAAACTTTAAACCAAGTAAACCCAAGTTCTAACCGTTAAGCACAATAAAATGAATAGCTCCAATCGATTTCTTGACCCCGAAAATCCCAGGGTACAAATTTAGAGTCGAATTTCTTTTTATACGATTCAAAAAGCAAAAGAACATCAGTGCAAAGGGATTGGCAGGATGTTCTTTGTGCGCACGCATAATCGCTCACTTTCTGGCACACGTCCCAGATAGATAGGCCCCTTTCGGAATAGGGAATAACTTGTGAGGGACTAGGGTAGTTAAGATCTTGTTGAGCCTAGGCATGCCCAATCCCTTCCGGGCCAATACTCGTCCTAAATTTTTTGATATTTATCGATAAATTCCACATTTCCCAAGACCGGTTATACCCATAAACGGATCGATCACTAAATAGGAACTAAATAGTCCTATTTAGTTCCTTTATAGTTCCTTTATAGTTCCTATTTGGTTACTGTATAGTTCCTATTTAGTTCCTATTTAGTTCCTATATAGTTCCTTTATAGGTCCTATTTGGTTACTGTATAGTTCCTATTTAGTTCCTATATAGTTCCTTTATAGGTCCTATTTGGTTACTTTATCGTTCCTATTTAGTTCCTATTTAGTTCCTTTATAGGTCCTATTTGGTTACTGTATAGTTCCTATTTAGTTCCTATATAGTTCCTTTATAGGTCCTATTTGGTTACTTTATAGTTCCTAGTTAGTTCCTATTTGGCTACTTTATAGTTCTACTTTATAAAATCAAAACTATTTTACTTTTCTCTAATGCTCCTTCAATTTTTAGTTGCAATGCTCACGAGTGCCTGTGTTGATATGAATAAAAGGTAAAATCAAATCATTTTCACTAAAAGCTTTTTCCTCTAGTTGTTCCACTTGGGTACGAAACGGTTTCTGTACATCGAATAACTACACCCCGGCACAAAAACAACAATATTGTGCAGCTTCATGTAAGTAAACAGGTTTTTGGCATTTTTTTTTCAATTTTAGGCAATCTTTGTGGATCATTGACGTCAGGTTGTGTGGACATGAGCAACCAGTGGGGCTTTTTTTACAGTATTCATTCTTGATTTATAGTTACAAATTAAATGTTCACAAAATCTATCGTAAAATCCCATTTCCAGTTGCGGAGTGTGGGTGTCAAACGGTTTTTGCAAGAGCTCAGCGTACACTGATGCCCAGAAAGCGCAGTATTGTTGTGCGAGTTGCCACATCACGTCGACAATGAGTACAACAGGTGAATTGATCAGTTTCTTGGATGAAACTTGAATCAAAATTGAATCAAATGAAGCCGGCCTTTTATGGGATGAGGAATACAAAAAATCACGTCAACAATGAGCAAAAAGCACCGGGGTTCGAGGTTTCGAGCACCGGGTTTGGTCAGCACCGGGGTTCGAACCGCCACCTCTCCCTTACCTCTCGTTTACCACGCGAAGGCTCTATCAATGAGCTACATTGACACTTGTCGACAGGAAAGCCTTATCCTTTACTTTGATCTTTTAACCAAGATGCTTTAATTGGACACTAAAGTAAAACCAATCAGCCTAATCTGGCCAGAAGATTAGAAAATAAAATATTCAGTCTTTTACAAATACTTCAAATGAAATTGAACGCTCTACCAATGAAGAATCAGTAAAGAAATCATTGACACGCATCAGGAAAGCCGACAAGAAAGCTTTATCCTTTACTTTGATCTTTTAACCAAGATCCTTTAATTGGACACTAAAGTAAGAGCAACTCTCCCTTACCTCTCGTTTAGATCAGCCTAATCTGGCCAGAAGATTAGACCATAATCTGGACCAAAAGTCAGATTCAAATCTGGTTTTAAGTTTAGAAGCTTAGTAGAAACTTTGAAGAATATCCAATCATAAATTGATTAGAAAAACCTTTCATCTTCAGCTTCTACCACCCATTATTCTTCCTCGAGCCACTCCCCATCAACCTCCGGCTCAACTCACTCCGGCAGCACTATGACAACTACAAAAGCTTCTGGATAAGTGAAAAGCTCTGAAAATATTTCTGTAATTATCTTGTAAGCTTTTTATATCAAACAATTTTTCTCATTTGTACAATAAAGCTTTGCTTTGACCAAAACATTAATATGAAAAAGAAAAGCAAAAGCAAAAGTTACTTATTTCAGTTTTCTCAGTGATCGGTAAGAGTAAGAGTAAGAGCAAAGTTCTCAGTGATCGGTAAGAGTTCACGAAAAGAGCTCAACACTGAAATCACAAAGCGTTCCATTGTTGTCTAATTTATTCTCAAAAAAGAAATTTATCTAGCTGTTCATCGGCTTTCATTTTTCAACATTGCCTTTTGTTTTCAGGTGTGAGACAAAGAAAAACAGCTGAACGCTGAAAATTTGAGATCGACGACTATAAAAGGAGATGATCGTGGTGGATCAGCACTTCATTTCATCGGAACATCGATAACTCATCGATCATGCAGCCAATTACCGTCTTTGTCTTGCTGCTCTCGATTGGTAAGGAAAAAGACTGACTTTAGCTACCGTAATCCCGCTTAGATCTTCATATTATATAGCTTTTCTTCTACTATCTCTAGAAGTACTGTAGTTGAGTGCTGTAGCCGAGTTTTAAGGCTACAATGACCAGGGATAATACTTGAATTACTGTAGAAATGGTTATGAGCTATGGTACCTTGTTTGGTAAGCAACAAAATGGGAAAAGCTTGCGCTAACTACCGCAACCTGGCCTAGATCTAGGGTAATAGGATTACTGTAGAATGTAGAGGATTACGGTAGTCTACGGTAGTCAGCTTCATTCTCTTTCACTGTGGGCAGCTTTCTTTTAGCTGTCCGTCTCTCCCATCAATGTTCCGACTCAAGCACAAAGTGAGTTTATTTTATTGATTTTAATTTCAATATTTGAGAATTGAAGCTAAGCAGTAGTGCTGTAAGCCTTTTTGTTTTGTTCTACCGTTTTCTACAATTGCTGAACACTTGCAGGTGTTCGAGCTGGACGCTCAATGGCTTCTGCTCATCAAGCTTCTACTCAGCTGCTCAGAAATCTCAGTATTGTGCAAAGTCATGTATGTTTGCAAAATGTTTTTTAGCTATATTTTAGCTTAGCCTTTAGCTATAGGATTTTAAAATTGAAAACAACTTAGGCAATCTCTGCGGAGCGATTGGCACTTGCTCGGACACTAGCAGCAAGTAAGCTTTAAAATTCAATAGAACATTTTCAATAGAACATTTTTGGCTTAAAAAATAGCTTCCTAGTTGTGCGACTTGGGTTTCAAATGGTTTCTGCTCGAGCACCGCGTACACCGATGCGCAAAAAGCGAGCTATTGTTGTGTGAGCTGCGGATTGGCTGGTTTAACCACGAGTGTCACTGGGTGTAAGCTCTAAGAGGAAATCGTTAGCCTACAGCCTACTGTACAGTCCAATTTTCGAGGCTTATCTTCAGCATTGTCTTTGTCTTATCTTTGAGATTGATTCCATCCATTCAAGTTACCCATTAAAGCTACCCATTTTCAGCCTCAACTGGCGCTACGGGCAGCACCGGCGCCTCGGACACCACCGGCACCACCGGCTCCACCGCAACCGCACCAACGACAACATCGAAATAAATGAAACCCTGATGACCTAAACTCTTTGTACTTTCATGTATGATAACTCGTTTTTATATTGAAAATAAATTCGTACTTTTCCAGATTTCTGTAGCCATTTAATTCGCATTTTAAAAAAAACGAATTTCCAGATTTGCCTACATTGTGAGAACTCTGATAAACCATAAAAATAAACAACTTTTTTCAACTAAAAAAACATCCTAGATGGAGGTACATCACAACATCACTCGCATCCTAGAAGTCCTCGAAGCCATCCCACAATAACTAAACGAAGCCATCCCACCCATAACCAAACGAAGCCATCCCACCATAACCAAACGAAGCCATCCCACCCATAACCAAACGAAGCCATCCCACAATAACCAAACGAAGCCATCCCACCCATAACCAAACGAGCCACCCACAAAACAAACGAAGCCACCCACCAAACCAAACGCACCCACCCAAACAAACGAAGCCACCACAAAAAACGAAGCCACCCACCCAAAAAAAAGCCACCCACCAAAAAACGGCCACCCACCCATAACAAACGAGCCACCCACAAAACAACGAGCCACCCACCCAAACCAAACGAAGCCACCCACAATAACAAACGAGCCACCCACCCATAAAACGAAGCCATCCCACCCATAACCAAACGAAGCCATCCCACAATAACTAAACGAAGCCATCCCACCATAACCAAACGATAAAACTGGTCATTAGCTGGACGCAAGTGGATGCAGAAATCTAGAAATTAGTTCTCAAATTCAAATTAAGCAAATGGCTGCAGAAATCTGAAATCGTATCAATATTTTGAGCTTCAAATTTCAAAAAAATCAAACATCAAAGTGAACGCATTGACGCACGCACAATTTCTCAAATAAACAACAAAAAAATTTTCTAAAATTTTTGCTTGACTAATTGGAATTCATCAATTTTCAGACATTTTTTCAAGACTGGAGTCCATCTTTTTCGCTTAGCTTTTTCGCTTATTTGCTTAGCTGTAAATTCTCGGCTTTTTGGTGTCAATCCTGGTTCATAAAAGATTTTTGCCAAAGAACAACTGGGTTTAATGGGTGGGAAGATTTGAGCAGCTTGTTTAAAGTGTGCGATGAGTGACGAACGGTGATCGGGGGATATAAAAGGGCAACCAGAAAGGAGATTGGCACTACTGCTCACACTTTGATCCACTCTCATCATGAAGACGATTGCCGTCATTGCTCTCATCGCTGTTGGTAAGGATTTGAAGGCTTTGTTGACTTTTGTTCTTGGTTAGAAACTTTAGCCATCAGCCAACAGCTACTATGGTAGGCTTGGATCTAGAAAAGCTTGCAGCAGGGCTGATCCTTGAGTCAAATTTTCAGGCTTATCCTGTTCCTAGGACAATGCTGGTTGTTCCAGACCAGTCTAGAGTCAAGGAGTTCAGTTTCAGAGTCAAAGTAGTACGATATGCCAGGACAAGGGATTACGGTAGATACGGCAAGGCCAATGGATTACTGTAAATCAATGGATTACTGTAGATCAATGGATTACTGTAGATCTATCAGAATGCGTAAGGTAGATATGCAAGGATCAAGGGATTACGGTAGATATGTATTGACTAGCAACTGTATTGACTCTGAGCCGGCCTTTAGAACCAACTCTATACAATAAAAACGTAGAAAGCAATATAGAGTATGCAAAGTCCTGTAAGAAAAGAGGCTAGACCATAACTCGAGTTTGAAGTCAAATTTGAATAGTATTGAAAGTTGCTTCGTGTTCAAAAGCTCACAGCAAAGCTCACAGCAAAGCAAAGCAAAGCTCAAAGCAAAGCTCAAAGCAAAGCTCAAAGCAAAGCTCAAAGCAAAGCTCAAAGCAAAGCTCACAGCAAAGCTCACAGCAAAGCTCACAGCTTTCTCCCAGTTACTCATCTCTTATGCTTTTATAATTACCGTAAATACTTTACTAGAGCGCCACCGTCTCGTACAGTCGCCTAACTTCCTTAGAAAATCGATTTCCCCGTCCCTAGATTTTCCCAAGCTACATTTTTGATACCAACAACTAGTAGATTTCAAGCGCTATCATTTGACACTATGTAGCACAGTGTAGCATAAAGCAGCGCGAAGAATGAGACGTTTAAAGTTAGCCTACGCGACTGTACGCCCGTCATTATGGGGATGACGGTAAGGGATTGACCGCAATCATATTTTGTTCGCTTTCTAAACGATTCAAAACATTCCCATTTCAGCCATCGGTCTCTCCCATCAATGCAGTGACACTACCACCAAGTAAGCCTAAAATAGATGTATTTAGCACCAGGTAAGCTAGCACCAGGTAAGCTAGCACCAGGTAAGCTAGCACCAGCTAAGCTAGCACCAGGTAAGCTAGCACCAGCTAAGCTAGCACCAGCTAACCCAGGTGCTAGCACCAGGTGCGCCCGGTGCGCACCAGGTGCGCACCAGGTGTAGCACCGGGCGCACCGGGTAGCACCAGGAGCGAGCACCAGGTGCTGCACCAGGGCTAGCACCAGCTAAGCTAGCACCAGCTAAGCTAGCACCAGCTAAGCTAGCACCAGCTAAGCTAGCACCAGCTAAGCTAGCACCAGCTAAGCTAGCACCAGCTAAGCTAGCACCAGCTAAGCTAGCACCAGCTAAGCTAGCACCAGCTAAGCTAGCACCAGCTAAGCTAGCACCAGCTAAACTAGCACCAGCTAAGCCTTATAGATTTATTTAAAAGATCCATCGATTAAGAACATCACTGATTTGAGAAATTTTAGCTGCGGCAACTGGGTGAGAAACGGTTTCTGCACATCAGCTTTCTACACCGATGCCCAGAAGACTCAATATTGCGGCGGATCGTGTGAGTACTAAAAAGGAATAAATTAAAAAGCTAAAAGCTAAAAAGCTAAAAGCTAACTCTTTAATATTTAGGCAACCTCTGCGGCTCGGTGTCCAGCGCGACAGCTTGTGTGAACTCAAATGCCAAGTGAGTTACTTATGAGTACAAACCCCAAGGTGAGGCTTCGAACTCGTCAAGCCTCACTACCATAGCTACCATAAACGCTTTTAACGGATCCCCAGCGATCATTTATCTATTCATTTCAACGATTCAGCTGTGCCACATGGGTTGCCAACGGTTTCTGCACGAATACCGCTTACACCTCCGAGCAACGAGCCGCCTACTGTTGCGCTAGCTGTGGACCTGCCGTTTCCACTGCTGCCACAACAGCTGGTAAGGCTTTTGTCTGAACTGAACTATGATGAAAAGCTTTAGAATTATACCGTTAATACTGTAATAGTACGAAGATTTGCTAAATGACAATCTGCCAGGAGTCATAAGCATTTAAAGCTTTGTTAGGACTCTGAAAATGTGTTCATTTGGGTCTTAGTGGTCTTTCTTGCGAAAAAAAAAGCAAAAGCAAACCCCAAGGTGGGGCTCGAACTCGGCAAGCCTCACTCGCCAAGCCAGAGTGCCAAGCACTCTGGAAACGAACGCTCTACAACTCGGCTACGACTGCACCGAGTTAGATCCGCAGGAAGGCGGCTAAGACTCCTACTGTTGCGCTAGCTGTGCACTTGCCGTTTTCACTGCTGCCACAATATTTTCAGAGGCCTAACAAGGACTTTAGACGCTTATAACTCTTCACAGATTGTTATTTAACAAAAACCGAATATAGATTCGGAATCAGCATAAAATTCTGTGTTGAATGGGATAGGTCGTATAGCATTTGAGCTTCCCTTTTCAGTAGAACATCGACGAACAGGCAAAGTTTATCATTGTTGTGCCATTGTTGAACTAAAATTAGGCAATGAGACAATTTTATCGATCTCACTATTCAATAAACTAGACAAATAGATAAATCTAGTGAATATACTCGACAGAACTTAAGCAAGACTGTAGACAAGTGCATGAACCTTACTGTGCTTAATCTAAACTAGAATTGACTTGAGAATACAAGCCGACTGTAATGCAATCACCTTAGTACAATAGAAGTTTACTTAAATGATTTAAAATGACTTATTTAGACACAACCGGAGCCACTGGAGCCTCAACAGCTGGCACCACTGACACTGCAGGCACAACCGCTACCGCTACCACCACTGTAACCTAATTTTGATGCAAATCCTTGTAATATGTTGATGTGACTGTTAGTCATGTTTCTATTTTAAAAATTTCTTTCTGAAGAATTTTGTTCGTTTTTTAATTGAAATAAACATTGCATACATTCATTAGAAAACAAACAAAGAAAATGATTAAAACTATACAGGGTGCGTCATAATTATTGCAACAAGATACTCAAGGCATTGCACACCAAGAAGATTTTCACTGGAAGAAGATTTTTAAACAGAAATAGCTTTATTTAACAGTAACAAATAAGGAAACAAGAGATCATTCGATATGACCGCCTTTTGCCTTGATAACAGCCCTTAATCGGTTCGGACATGCCTCCGCTGCGGCCCGAATGTCATCTTGAGGAGTTGGAGTCATCTTGAGGAGTTGGAGTCATCTTGAGGAATTCCATCATTTAGTCAAAGACTTCTTCAAGGTCAAAGAGCAGACATTAGCCCCTAAGATTGCCCAAATGGAAAAGTTCATCACATTGAGATTCGGTGAGTTTGGAGGCCATTCATCCTTGGTGATCACTGAGGGAAAGTTGGCCGCACACCAGCCCTGAACCGTCTTCTTCGTGTGAGCGGGAGCTCCATCTTGCATGAAGGTCCAATTTTGATTATTATTGGCTTTACACGCCCATGACATCACATTCTTGACATCACATCCTTGACATCACATTCTTGGCATCACATTCTTGACATCACATCCTTGACATCACATTCTTGGCATCACATTCTTGACATCACAAACGGTCTTTGAACTCTTGTTGCAATAATTATGACGCACCCTGTAGATTTCTGAAGATTCCAGACATTTTGTTATATAAAGAATTGCTTACTGAATTGAAAGTTTCTTGAAATGAGTTTGTGTAAACATTGCCTTGTCTGACGTAGAAATCAGCAATCTAAAAGGATTCATTTTTCTCAACTACCATAATTCGGGCTTTAGTTTTTCCTGAGAATTGGATCAATAGGCAAGCTTACGGTAGTTTCTGCCACGTTTTAGAAAAGCCGACTTACTGTAAAACCTATGCATTGCAAAATATAGCTACTGTTAGAAGTTTTAGAAGCATTTTGTTTCTGAATGTTTTTAGAAATAGAAATTTTGTCTCAAAGAGTAAGTGATACATGAAAAAAGGAACTATTAGGTTGATGCATAAGTGTTTTTGTTCCTTTTCGTCTGCCGTTTCAAGCCAACAAATGCACGAATTAAACTACGGTTGATTTCATTAGAAAAAGCAATTATTTTTCTGCAAAATAACATTAAAACGGGTTTAAAAATATTTAATGCCTGGATTTTCTTGAGAGTATGAAGTCGGGTAGTCAAAAAGGGCTAACTCGATGATGCGGTTTAGGCTCAGGCTCAGGCTAAGCCTCAGCCTAAGCCTCAGCCTAAGCCTGAGCCTGAGCCTGAGCGGTTTAGACACCTTAGCTAAAGAAAACCTATCTTCGTGTCAATAGATAAAAGATAGAGAAAAAAAACGTTTGATATTTCGCCAAAATTTCAGAGAAATTCATTCAGCCAATTTTTCCGTAGAGTTTTTTATAGATTTTTACGAAAAAGGCGTTTTTCACTCTCGAATTTGCTTCAAAGTGAACCGAAATTCATTTAAAAAGATGCAAATTGAACAAAAAAACACTTTTTTTTATAGAGCAAACTATAGATTCATTGGTGAATTTGTTACTTTTTAACAGAAGTACGAAAAAAACGAAAAGACTTATGCATCAACCTAATACATGAAAAAGACTAAAACACATCAAATGAACAACAGTTGCCTTATAGGCTTTAGGCTTTAATAGACCTAATAGGCTTCAATAGGCTTTAATAGGCTAAAAAACTATTGATCCAATTCTCAGCAAAAAAGCTAAAGCCCGGATTATGGTAGAAAATGAATCCTTTTAGGTTGCTGATTTCTACGTCAGACAAGGTAATGTTTACACAAACTCATTTCAAGAAACTTGAAAAACAAGAAACATTTCAAGAAACAATTCAGCAAGCAATTATAACAAAATTTTCTCGTTTAGTGCAGTAAAAGAATTGTAAAGATAGTTGAAAAGCTTTTCAATGCATCGAATTTCAATAAAGATTACAAGTTTTTACTCATTTGTTTGCCAAAGCCATACGTCAATGCAAATCTTACGCTATTTTTTTTGATGGAAATGATTTGAAGTGAACTTTGAGCAGAAATCCTTTTCTCAACAATTCAAAAATTTACAAATATTATCGAATTTTAGCAAAACGTTAAAGAAGAATGCGTTCTTTGCTTTCTTTACAAATGGCAATCTGATAAATAGACAGGTTTAACAAGTTTTCCAAGTACTTAACGAATTACTTAGATGAATTAGCAACTTGAATTGCTGTCAATGAACCAATGACTTGTTGTCAATGGACCAATGACCAATCAATGACCAATCAACCAATGACTTTAACAACAACACCTTTTGGAGATCCATCGAAAGAGCTAGATTTTTAAAGATATGAAAAACAAATTATCTAACTATAAGTACTAACGGATCTTGTATTGGGTTGATGCATAATTATCCGGACTTCTTTTTGCGTGCTTGTATCTTTTTGTTTTGAAAGCTTTTTGTCTATTTCTTTTTTTTAAATATTCGTTATTCTTTAGTGAACAAAATGCGTGTCGACAATCATATCCATCTTCGCCATATCATGCTCTACCACTTCGAAAAGGGATGGTCTGCCGCAGAGTCGTTTCGCGATCTCAAAGAACTGGAGAAGCCCCAACGGACTACCACGTCAATCGATCGCTCAAAAATTGGCAAACAAATAAGATCTACAACGATTTGGATGACTTGATAGACGATGTTAAAGCGTGGATTGCCTCCAAAGATCGTTTATTCTTCGCTCGTGGAATCGATCGTCTTCCAAGCAAATGGCAATCAGTTATTGATGTAGGCGGTGAATATGCTCCAGAATAATCAATTAAACATATTTTTCTAACTATTTATGTTATTTTTTGTTAAATAAAATCATTTATAAAAGAAGTCCGGATAATTATGCATCAACCCAATAGATATAATGTAGATACAATGATCTTTTAGATAAGCTATTCCAGTCTACGACTATAATGAAAACTTTACATCAACATAGAGTTCCAAATGATCATGTCATTCAAACGACTACCACTGTCAAAGAGAATGAGACTCTATGAAAGAATCATTGAGAAAAGAACTCTGCAATTTCGGCACAAACAATAAAAACTACTACTATAACTACTACAACTACAACTACAACTTTGCAAGCGCAGGTAAGATTGGGTCACTAATCCGACGAACGACTTCAGCAACTACGCCTCTTGGAGTTCCTGGAGTTTACGTTACGGGGCCAGCTGTACTAACAACTGTACGTAACCTTTATCCAGCCCTTTTTCAGTCCGTTTGCCGTTGGCAATCTACGAATTCTGCTCATAAATTGACCGGGTTTCTTTGGAAAATGTTGAATTTGATTTCATTCGATTGGAAATTTCATTTCGAGTAAATTCAACGTTTTTCAAACAAACCAAGATACAAACAAAATTCGTAGATTAAAATTTGATTACCTAATCGTAAATTTACAAAACAGGTGCAAAAAGGAAAGTCCGTCTGAAAAATGACGATCTGAAAAAGAGAACTTTTCAAGAACAGATGTTTTGAAATCTTCAACTTAAAGTATTCATTTTGTTAATTTTATTGATTTCTTTAAATATAATATTTCTCAAACCAATCAATGAACTATGTGGAAATCGGGAATCGAAAGATTTTCGTTTCACTTTTCGTCAATGTCACCTTTATTTCAGTGAGTGGATTTGATAAAATAAATTTTAAAAACTTCTTTTTATTTAAATTCTATAATTGAATAGAAGATTTTTCATAATTTTATCAACTTAAATGAAGCCTTTTTTTGATTTTTATTGATGCTTAAAGAATTTCTCTCCAATCAGACAATATCAAAAGCAAGATAAAGGTTTTAAATGATTTAGAAAAGCTTAGACAACTTCTAAAGCTTTGACAGCTTCTAAAGCTTTGACAGCTTCTAAAGCTTTGACAACTTCTAAAGCTTTGACAACTTCTAAAGCTTTGACAACTTCTAAAGCTCAGACAACTTCTAAAACTTTGACAACTTCTAAAGCTTTGACAACTTCTATCAACTTAGATGAAGCCTTTTTTGATTTTTATTGATGTTTAAAGAATTTCTCTTCAATCAGACAATATCAAAAGCAAGATAAAGCTTTTAAAAAATTTAGAAAAGCTTAGAAAACTTCTAAAATAATGCTTTTCCTAAAACTTGTCAGTTTTTAAAAATAGCCTACTCTTTTCTATTGTTTGTCTATCTGCTTTTGATCTACTTCTGTAAAAAGGACTCCTGAAGGACTAAGCAATACAAAATTATCGATTGTTTGAGCGAAAACAAAGCCAAGATTACTGGAGTTTTAGAAAAACGCACTATGAACCTTAGCAAACTTTAGCAAAGCGATTTTCAACCATTCTACAAAACGATTGTCTTCTTGGAATGTTTTTTCATGTCGTTGATCTTGATCTTTGCCTCAATCTATACCAATGTTTTCCTTCAATCATCCCATTTTCATCTCAATCTTCGTCGTCTTTATCTCGCTTTCACTCTAACAATCTACCCATCATTGCTCGGAAGAGTGTACATCATTTTGGTGCAATTCAATTGTTTACCTTTTCCAGGTGAGTCATATACAAAGCAGATACAAACCCCTCAAAGTTTTTAAAAAAAAAAACAAAACTCTGGGCTAGTCCGGGGATTGAACCCGGGACCTCTCGCACCCTAAGCGAGAATCATACCACTAGACCAACTAGCCGTGAGGGGGTTGGCTAAAATTTTGCTTATAGCTTCGCAGTCTTCGGAAAAGCTGGTTTTGAGGTGAAGGGATTGAAAATTAGAGACAAAGAGACATCAAAAAAATCATTGAGAAAAAGCAAGAAAAGCCAAGAAAGAATCTTTCGAAAGATCTTGGATCATTCACTCACTTGCCAGAAGGCGAGCGATTATGGGCTCCCCCAAAGTACATAAAATCAAACTTGGGTAATTAAACCGACGCTGAAGCTGGCTTTCTGGCTATCTATCTGCTACGTGTGCCAGAAGGCGAGCGATTATGGGCTCCCCCAAAGTACATAAAATCAAACTTGGGTAATTAGACCGACGTTGAAGCTAGCTTTCTGGCTATCTATCTGCTAGGTGTCCCAGAAGGCGAGCGATTATGGGCTCCCCCAAAGTACATATACTCAAACTTGGGCAATTAAACCGACGTTGAAACTAGCTTTCTGGCTATCTACCTGCTACGTGTGCCAGAAGGCGAGCGATTATGGGTACCTAACCCACCGCAAGTCCCTTATTTCAGGCTATTGTAGGCAAACTGAAGTCAGATTCAAATCAACTCTCAAAACCTTAGAGTTAGAAAACTTTTACAAAATCATTAAGCCGAAAGATCTCAAGAGTACACCAGTGCCACGCCGAAGGAAAAAAAGCAGCGGCGGTCTAGTGGATAGTGCGTTAGGCTATCAAACTAGGCTATCAATCAAAAAAACTTTCCTCCCGAGTTAGATTCCTCTAGCTCCCCTGCTTTTTGTAAACTTGCCGAGAGTTTGCTGAAAATGGCCGAAACTTTGCATGCGCTTTTCTTGAAAGCCAGGGTGAGCAAAAAATAAACACAGGATTGGATTCGTCCATTCCATTTCCCTCTTCGAAAGATTCCCTTGTAAGAGTACCCAAATCCATCTCCTGAACAGTTCAGGTCCAATCCCACTTCGTCTCCTTTGCCTCTTCGCGACTTATGGTCGAATCATCATGATTGTTTGGGAGGTTCTCTTTGTGTCAGCTGTTGTTATTGAGAGAGCGGCAGCCACTTTGTGGATTGATTTTTATGAAAGTATGCAGTTCACTGAGCTCTCCACCCTTCTCGTTGTTCTCAAAATGGCCATCTCGTTGATCACCATCACTCTTATCACTCAATGTAAGAAATGTTGAAGGTTTAGATTGGGTTTTCGAATGGCAGACAAATGATTTAATGATCAGAGTTCAGAGAAAATTGTTATAGCGATTAGTTCTAGTGATGTATGAGTGGTATTTCTTGATGCTCTTCACATTGATGCCCGTCGTTTTACTTATCGTCATTCTATCGTTTATGGTGAGTGATCTTAGATGTTGATCAAATTTTTATTCTCGAAAAACTCTCAGCTCTATCATGCCCTTTTTGTGTGGAATGTTCGTCAATTAAACAAAATGAAAGCTTTTGGAATTCAAAAAGAAGCAACAGAAAGATATTTATCGACGAGATTTCAATTGGAAGAGAATGTCAATGCGTTGACGGTGATTTTAGAAAAGTTTCGATAGTTTATGAGCTTTTAATTCTGAAGTAAATTGAAATGGAAAAGAAAAGGAGTGAAGTTAACCTAACAGATACTACAGTATTTACAGAAACGATAACCTAACAGATACTACAGTATTTGCACAGTACAGGTTGAGAAATTTGCAGTTTCTGCCATTCTAAACCTACCGTTTCTGCCATTCTAAATCTGGCAGTTTCTGCCATTCTAAACCTACCGTATACTCAAAGAATGAGCCTTTTTAAATGAGTCTCAAGTTGTATTTTTGGTAAAACTTTTAAGGCAAAGGCTAAAGGCAAAAGCAAAAGCAAAAGCACTTAATACCTGAAAACAGTGTTCATAGAAAAGCAATTTTTAAAGCCCCGCGTATATAAGTCCGAATTAGCTTTAGCTTTTGCTTTTGCCCAAAAGTTTTACCAAATTACAACTGATAAAGCGAAAACTTATTTGCCCAAAAATACTATAGTATCTGATGAGTTAACGTTTCCAAAAACCCCCACATTTCAGCTCATCCGTGCAATCACCCTCTTCCACGCGTTTTGTGCGCCATTCTGCGCTCTATTCTTAGCAATCCCTTTTTATTACATGGATCTGAACACTGATTCGGCACAAATATTGCTTATTCTCTTTGATCTATCGATTGCCGTGTGAGTTTTATCAAATTCAGACTTTTTCAATCCAATTTAAAAAAGATAAAAAGAAAGTTCTTGAAAGACTGCGACTTTTCAATTTGCCAAAAGGGAAATCCGTTTAAATTCCTCCAAACTAACATTTGACAATTCTCCTGACATACTTTTTGGGAGCTCTCGGCTAATCCTAAACTTAAACTTGGGTAATTAAACCGACGGTGGAGCTAGCTTTCTGGGTATCTATCTGCTACGTGTGCCAGAAGGGGAGCGATTATGGGCTCCCCCAAAGTACATATACTCAAACTTGGGCAATTAAACCGACGGTGGAGCTAGCTTTCTGGGCATCTATCTGCTACGTGTGCCAGAAGGGGAGCGATTATGGGCTCCCCCAAAGTACATAAACTGAAACTTGGGTAATTAAACCGACGGTGGAGCTAGCTTTCTGGGTATCTATCTGCCACGTGTGCCAGAAGGGGAGCGATTATGCGCTCCCCCAAAGTACCCCATCGCTGAGAAAAGATGATAAAAGTTCAGCACGACTCTCGCCTATTTCGTAATCGTTTTCTTTTCCGTGGAACCGTGGAGATTCGACTTCATCGAGATTCTCAGCAATTTCTCGCGCGTGAAAGCCTTGTCACATCTCGGGAAACGTGCCACCGTTGTCGCTCCGATCGATGTTGTCGGCGAGAGTGAACAGTATTTCCAATTTTATGCAAATGCTTGGAATTGAATCATATCTATTTTGTTTACATAAATTTTTCAGCTCAAAATCTAATGCAAAAGAAAATTTTGTGATCACACTGCTATTGATTCAGCCGATTTTTTTTTCATTCAACTTCAGTCAAAAAGTGATAGAAATTTGAAACTTTAACAGGATAACCCTTGAAAGCTACCCCGTGCCATCCAAAATACAATTGTCCATGTCCGTGCCACATCCATGCTCACCCAAACCGTTTCCACATCAAAGTTTTTTTTTTGGCAAAATTTACTGGCCAAACTGGCTTAAATTCAAGCAAAATTTCTTTTAATAATATATTTATTCTAAAGCACACTTTTATCTTATTAAACAATTCGTGAAATTGAGTGATTTGAAGTCGAAAAAATCTGAGTACTGAGTTGAGTTTGTGAGAATGCGTTCGTTCTCCTAAACTTGAAACTCCTTAAACTTTCCCGAACGATTCTCGAATGACGACTCGGATAGTCGCTTTTAAAGCAGCTATCTACCGTAACCTTAGAGATTTGAACTTTATAGATCTTTGCTTTCGTTTATGGTAAAGCAATCTTAGAAATGATGGAAACTAACTACTAACTATTGGGTTGGTGAATTGAAAACTGCCGGCTATTGTCATATGTGACAGTTTGAGCACTTTCTTCAAAAGAAACCCATTTTGGTGTCAATGGAAAAGTTGTAGAGAATCGAAAATCAAGCTTATATTCAAATTTTCAGAACGATTCAAAAAATGGTTTTCAAGAAATGCCAAATTTACGAATTTTCACAAAACTTGCATTTTAAGCGAAACTACTAAGTGTATCTTTTTGGAAATTTGGCTATAAGCCTAATTTTTGATTCTCTACAACTTTTCTATTGATACCAAAATGGGTTTCTTTTGAAGAAAGTGCTCAAACTGGAACATCTCCTCCATTTTTGAGTCTCACACTTGTCTCACACACAAACCAAAATCCAACTACGAAAGAGGAATCCGCAAACTGCCTGTAAAATGGGCAGAAGTCGTCAATAATAATGGAAATTATTTGGAATGAATTCATGATTTTATGTTGAATAAATTTTAGTTCAAAGTCCCGCAGTTTTCAATTCACCAACCCAATAGCTACTGTTTAGGGTTGCCAAAGCCAAAGCCAAAGCACTATTAAACCAATCAATTCAATCAATTACCTCAAGTTCGAATTCAAATTGCTTGTCGTTGCTGCAACGATTCTCTGTCGATGGATTTTCTTGAAAATCTTTGTCTTGACAAATTCTCGATAGGGTTTCATCATGACAATCGAAATGAGGCAGCTGATTGTCTAAAATTTTCTCATTTTTCGCTTTGCTGATAAAAGATCTGTTTTTAGATTTATTGAGTAATCAAACCGGATAAAGAATCAGCCCCAAGACGGCCACATTCTTGTACAAATTCGACGCCAACATTGCCGAGTTATTCGTGACGAAACCGATTCCAGTGTAAGCGACAGGCAAAACCATGATTATCAATGGGTAAATGTTCTAAAGTTTTTCCTTTTTATTCAATGAAATTGTGTTATTCAAGTAACTTGTGTGATTAGCATGTACAAGACTGAAATATGCGTCTTGAATGAAACGGCTGACATGTGGCTTTGAAGAGATCTCAGTTGACGATAGAGAATGAGAGCAGACAGCAGATTTGCCATGTAAATAGCGATTAGACCAAAGACGACAACCTGAAATATTGGGGGAAACAGAGAACGCTAGATTCTAAGCCTTGTCCCCACACCGATCGAATGAAGCCAACTCGAGAAGAAACCCACGCCTTACTGCTCCTACGATTTTCAAGAGGGATTTCAGCGGCCAAAGCAACACGAGAAATCAATAAATTTTTTTGGTAATATAATTGTTGGAACTAGCACAGGAATGGTTTCACAAATTCAAGAGCAACACGAGGATCGAACGGAAGAGAGGAAGCGGACGATCCCGGAAAATGGATCGATCGACGATCGCTTCTGGAGTCGACGATCGCTTCTGGAGTCGACGATCGCTTCTGGAGTCGACGATCGCTTCTGGAGTCGACGATCGCTTCTGGAGTCGACGATCGCTTCTGGAGTCGACGATCGCTTCTGGAGTCGACGATCGCTTCTGGAGTCGACGATCGCTTCTGGAGTCGACGATCGCTTCTGGAGTCGACGATCGCTTCTGGAGTCGACGATCGCTTCTGGAGTCGATGATCGCTTCTGGAGTCGATGATCGCTTCTGGAGTCGATGATCGCTTCTGGAGTCGATGATCGCTTCTGGAGTCGATGATCGCTTCTGAGTCGATGATCGCTTCTGAGTCGATGATCGCTTCTGGAGTCGATGATCGCTTCTGGAGTCGATGATCGCTTCTGGAGTCGATGATCGCTTCTGGAGTCGATGATCGACTCCTGCGAAACCCCGATGAATCAACCCGAATCAACCCGGAAATTGGCTGAACGTTACTTTGGACAAATGACTGTGTGGCGATGGTTGCGAAAAGTGGAAAGAAATTGGAGAAAACAACGCCAAATCCCATACAAAATGTCGGAAACAAGCAAAAAGAGAGCGGAAATGCCACCACTTGTGGCGCGAATACTGGCATGGTCAGCTTCCCTTTCGAACATCATCACTCACGATTAAACGTGGGTTTTCTACGATGGTCGAGTGTTACAACGGCAGGGGTTGAAGAAAGGACAAGCGTGTAAAATGGTGCCAAAACGGAACATCGAAGAAAAGAAGCGAATGTCGTGTGTCGCTTAGTGTTCGACAGGCGACCTTTTCTGGGAACTTCTTAAACAGAGGCAAAATTTCAACACTGATGTTTGTCATATGCAAAAAGTGGAACAAAAAGTCGAGAGGTTGCTCTATAGAAAGAATTAATCAAATTCAAAATCTCTGAGTTTTTATTGGATAACCTAATACTGTCTTCGTTGGTGAAATCTCTAAATCTCTTTGATCTGGGCTTTCGTTATCTGGCTAAGCATAAAACCACTACAATCCAGGCTTGCTCATTGATGAAATTTCGCGGAGTACGATGGTTTTTCCTTGGCGCACACTTTAGAACTTTAGAAAACGTTTTCCGAGAATCACAGTAGCTTTCACAAACTTTTCCCAAAACACAAGCTCTCTGGTGCACTTAATTCTTCAATTTTTGCTTACAGGATAACTCTTGAAAGCTACCCATACCATCAAAAATACAATTGTCCATGTCTGTGCCACATCCATGCTCACCCAAACCGTTCCATTGTCCATTGCATAATACTCAATATATTCCCATTTTGCCAAAGCTTTCATTCGAGGGACAAAATTCTAGACTTGCTTTGTTTTGAAAGAAATTTTAGGTTTTCAAAGCCTCAGTGTTTTCAAAGCTCATCCACATTGTGAAAAACATCGGAGCCGCGATGATTCCCTTAATCGCTAATGTGAGGGGAAGTCCTGGAAATAGATGAAATTTGAAATTTGAAAATACTTTTATACTTACCAATCTGTGGCTTCACAAGAGCTTCAACCAATTGATGCTTTCCGTGAAAAACGAGTGATCTCACGTGGACACAGTCGTTGATCGAGATGAAAATTGACATACCGAAGAAGAATGTGCCGGCTACCTGGATTACCGGCTATCGGACAGAATCTATTAGGTTGTTCGGATACAAACGTTACTAAACTTATTGTTGTGAGAGAAGCTTTTAAAACATGTCTTTCTGTATTTAAAAGTACATTATTTTGTGTATATTTGGAAACTTTTTAAACGGATAATTTCTTATTTTAAAGATCTCGAGGATGATGCCCCGACTTCAAAAATCAAGTTCGCGTCTGCCTACTTTACGACTTCAAATTGGGCAAAACAGTCGCGGAATCCCATCGAGATTTGGTCAAAAAACATTTGGGAATGATGTATTGTTCGAAAGCCGATTGAAAATGATGTATTGGTCGAAAGCCGATGCCGAGCCTGGTTCCAACGCTTTCGGAACGGTGATGAAAGTCTCGAGGATCATGAACACGACCTCAAGCGGTAGACAACGATATTTTGAGGGCTGCAATCAAATCGGATCCATGTCAAACGACCTTGCTCAACAGTTTCTATATTCAAATTCTATCATTAATGAGCATCTGCACACCATTGGAAAGGCGATCAGAAAAGATTTAAAGAGATAGAGAACGAAATTTAAAGAGATAGGGAACCAAATCTAAAGAGATAAGGAACCAAATTTAGTCAGATAGGGAACCAAATTTAAAGAGATAGGGAACCAAAGTTGTTAAGATAGGAACCAAATTTAAATAGCTTCCTCACGAGTTAAGCAGTGCAAACGCTCATTTATATCCGAACAACCTAATCGTTTGCTAAGATTTTATTCAGAAAATTTCAGAAGTTTGAAAACGAAAACTAGCTTACCATTTTGTTGGAAAGTAAGCTCATTGGATGCAAACTTATTGAACAAAGGCTTTACTAATGAGCTTCACTAATGAGCTACCCCGTCGGGGTAGCTCATTAGTAAAGCCTTTATCCAATACGTATCCCATTGCCAACAAGGTAGAGCATCGGCCTTATTTTAAAGTATTTGATAGAATCTTAAAATAGCCCAGTCTAGCCTTAATCCACTAACTATAAGGTAAAGGTTTGTCTTGTTAACTCACCGCAAACTGGCCACCAATTGGACCAAAGTAAGAGGCCAATCCAAGAACAACCGCCCCTTGAGCCGGGAAAAGACAATCGGGAAACAGAATACCGCCCATAAATGTTGAAAAAAGCTCTTCCATTAACTAAAAGTTGGTTTAGATTGTTAGGGTTTAGAACGTTTTTCAATTATTCTTGCAATTTGCAAATTTGGGACAAGACAAACAAAGCCAAAGCCTGCCCAGAAGTCGGGTAAATGATAAGGCAAAAAAAGGTTTTGTTTCAAAATCTGAATTCTGAAAATTCTAGTGTGATATCCAGATAGAAGAAAAAGCGCAATTGCAATAAAATTGCTCTTATCAATTCTTTGGAATAATCGCGAACTCTCAGCAATGCGATGTAAAACTAATTTTTAGACTTTTTTTGCCTCAAATTGAGTCAAAATAACATCATTTCTCTTTGAATAATCAAAATGAAATGCTATAAGAACCAAGAAATTACTTCTTGACAAGCTAAAAGAGAAGAAATTTCGACAAAATTGACTGACAAAGTCTTTTTACTGCTTTCTTGAAAGTTGTCGAGTTGATTTTGTTGCTTAGATTGCTTTTGCTTTCATTTCAATTTCATTTTTTGTTTCTTATAGAATTTTATTTTGTTATTTAGACTTAATTTGAGGCAAAAAAAAGTCTAAAAATTAGTTTTACATCGCACTGCTGAGAGTTCGCGATTATTCCGAAGCATTGATAAGAGCTATTTTATTTTAATTACGTTTTTTCTTCTATCTGGATATCACACTAGAATTGCTAGGATTCAGATTTTTTGATTTTCAGCAAAACATTTGTACTCGTGGGATTGGCTAGCTTTTGCTTTTGCCTTTGATCTAGCTTTTGATCTAGCTTTTGATTGGCCTTAAAAACTTTAAGGCCCTCAGACTCTAGAGCTTTAAAACGCTTTACTTTAGAATCTCAACCTTTAAAACAACCCTGGTTTTCTAAATAGAAAAAAAAGGTAATTGATTGTTAGTTTTGTCTAGAAAAGTTATACTAATTCGAAAGTATTGTAGCCGTTTGATTTCGATTTATGTTTTTTTTAGCTTCCCCAGCTTTCTTTGATTGCTTATTTTCATTCTACTTGGCGCCGTCGGTGGATTTCAATTTTTATGTTTCAATCTACGCAATCTACGGGCTCTAGCTAAACTAGTATCACGATTTTTTTTTGATCTGTCTTCGCACTTAGGTGTTCCTATTTGCGTATCACAACCTGCTTCCACATTTCTCTATCCCTTGCTATTGTCATCCAGTCCCGAGATTGGATCGCCTCTCGGCCTTTACTTGATCCCTCGACGCCGGACGGAAGAAAGCAGGAAGGCCGTGCGGGGTACTGAGGCAGAAGTATAGTTGTCGTAGCCGATGATACTCCGATGGCCGGGCTGGGGCGCTCGGAGGGGAACCCACAAAAGTCGAGCCCACGACTATTCCGCGCCGACGTTGCTTAACTTGTCAGATTGAACGGGATAGGCCGCAGGCCCTTCCTCTTCTAGACCCCCAGCCGTTTGATTGTCGTGTTTAAATTTGAACGAATAGAAAAAAAACTTGTGCAGAAAATCTATAGAGTGAATTTCTGATATTTCTTTAGATTCATAATCTCTAGCTTATATTGTGCTTTATGTGTCTAAATCTTTTCCACTTTCTCTATCAGATCTCTTTGTGTAGATAAATGAGTTTTCTATCATTGAAGTCGATGTTCTACCATTGCATTACCCACGCGACGAAAAATTGCAAGCAAATATGTAGTTATTCTTATTTCCCACAACCCTAAACAATTAAGAAGACCATAAATTGACTGATACGTTTTTTAGCTGATAGTTTTAGCTATTCCATCACTTAAAACATCTCAAAACCGACCGCCAACTTCAGCAAAATCCATTTGAAATCTTTCATCTCAATCGGCGAATATTTCACAATGACATACATCCAAAAAAGAGCCATTAAAGATGATAATGAGGAAAAGAAATGATATGCGTATCTCACGTACACATTCTCGAACATACAAAATGAATCTAGAAATTGTTGATCAGTAAAAAATGCCTATTTGCTTATTTTGTTAAGAAAAAGTGTGACTTTTGCAGGTGCATTTTATGAAAAATTTATTTTTAATCTGAAATTATTATTACTAACAAGTAAGTTAATTATTTTAAAAGTACTGTACTGTGTCTGTACTGTACTGTGTCTGTACTGAACTGTGTACTGCACTGTACTGTGTCTGTACTGTACTGTGTCTGTACTGTACTGCACTGTGTCTGTACTGTACTGTGTCTGTACTGTACTGTGTCTGTACTGTACTGTGTCTGTACTGTACTGTGTCTGTACTGTACTGTGTACTGCACTGTACTGTGTCTGTACTGTACTGCACTGTGTCTGTACTGTACTGTGTCTGTACTGTACTGTGTCTGTACTGTACTGTGTCTGTACTGTACTGTGTCTGTACTGTACTGTGTACTGCACTGTACTGTGTCTGTACTGTACTGTGTCTGTACTGTACTGTGTTTATACTGTACTGTGTCTGTACTGTACTGTGTCTGTACTGTACTGTACTGTGTCTGTACTGTACTGTACTGTGTCTGTACTGTACTGTGTCCACAAATTTTTGCTTATTACAATACCGATAAAAAGTCGTCAGATGATTGAATAGCTTTAAATGGAATTAAGAGAAAGATCAATTCAATCTTGTATTTTCACTACTTTTTAGGAATTTTTAAAACAATTTTAGAAATCATTTAATTAGAAATGATTGAAATTACAGTATTTTCTTCAGTATTATTATCCATTTCCTCTCTATTTTTCGTTTCTAGGAGTAAACGGATCTGGATATGGACTAGAATTTGGGTTTTGTGAAAGAGAGCGGCAGCATCAGAGCATCAGAGATGCGAATGATCTCTTCTGGCTTATTTGGCTATATGCGGATGATGTCAATGCGGATGATTCTTACAGTATTCCTCTTGACAAAGGAATTTACAACACTCTTGCCTCTTTTAAAAATGCCCAGAACGATTTATCTTTAGTTGAAAAAAACATGTACTCGCTTGTACTCGAAATGGATAGAAAAAGCCGTTAAATGCAGCAGCACTTATTTCGGATCAACATCCATCCTGAGATGAATTTGTTTTGTTTGTTTGAGAATTTGTTAAGAATGGGACAAATGCGACCTTTTTTTTGCGCACCTGGACACTTGCGCACCTTTTTTTTTGCTGGAAAAGCCCTTAGGAAAAATCGTAGAGCTTCAAAAATGTTTTCATAGAAGGGAATCGTATGCGTAGATTCAGAATTTCGACAAATCACACCTCGCTGACACGTCAAATTTGGGCTAAAAGGCAAAAGCTGCGGAAAAGCGTTAAGTTGCGTAGTTTTTGCCTTTTAGCCCAAATTTGACGTGTCAGCGAGGTCTGATTTGTCGAAATTCGGAATCTACGCATACGATTCCCTTCAATGGAACTATTTTCGAAGCTCTACGACCTTTCCTAAGGCCTTTTCCAGCAAAAAAAGGTCGCATTTGTCCAGGTGCGCAAAAAAAAGGTAGCATTTGTCCCACCCCCCTTTTGTAAGACTTTAAACTTTAAACTTTAAACCAGCACAAAGCAAAAGCTACATTTTGATAGAATTTTTATTTCATTTAAAGCTTTAGAAGAATTTAAAAAGATTTAAAGTTATCTAGAAACTCCTTCATCTATCCTAATTAAAGTCCGACCTTCCAACGAAACCCATCTCCTCAAAAAAAAGCACACTCAATTCTCATGATATCACTCGAAACTTCAATTTCTCTTTCCATCCGTTGACCTTCAGAACTGATTGGCTATTTCAAAAGATATCATTTCTTCACTTCACAAAATCTTCCTTTATTTACCTTTTGCTCTCAAGAAATCCTCAAAATCCCCCCGACTTTCCAATTCTTTTTCTTTCAAAAGTCCAATTGAGTGACCCAACTTTCTCCCAATTTTCCCTATATTTCCCTATATTTTTTTTTATGAAATATAGGGAAATATAGGGAAATATATTTTTATTTTTATGAAAACATTTTTGAAGCTCTACGACCTTTCCTAAGGCCTTTTCCAGCAAAAAAAAGGTGCGCAAATGTCCAGGTGCGCAAAAAAAAGGTCGCATTTGTCCCACCCCCATAATTTTTGTTAAAAGTACGGTAATTTTTTCCCAATTGTGCGTTTTAAAAAAAAGCATTAGCAAAAAAGGCATTACTCGCGAGGAACACACTCGAGTAAAACCAGCACTTATGCAGCAGCACTTATTTCGGATCAACATCCATCCTGAAAATATATTATTAGCAGACATAATTTAATCCAAGATAAGAAGAAAACAAAAAAAAATCGATTTTTAGCTACAAACAACTGTTTGTTCCAACTGATAAACGGATATGGACTAGGATTTGGATTTTGGGAAAGAGAGGCGGATCCTTTTGATATCCCGCCATCTCTAACACCCCGACAACCCAACTCAACTCCTCCAACGTATAGAGGGGAGTGTCCCTGTGAAATGACCGACCTGAACTGCAGTTGCATAGACCCGGAAGATATTTATCTTTATTTACAGTAGTACGATAAGACGAGTAGATTACAAATGAGTGAAAGGGGGACTCCAAATGAGAGCCTCACTTGTCCTCCAAGGCAATCCCAAAGAGCCGCCCCTTCTCGGCGATGAATCTGGGATAAGCACAGGGGAGAGCACATTTACATAAGAATAGACAAATCATTCAATAATAACAATAGACTAAAATAACTAAAATATCAGTTTGGCTCGGAGCTGACACTAAAAAGCACTCGGCTTGTACTTTGCCCAAACGGTCATCCCGACGTGCACAAAACCGTCCGTGTTTTGAGCAGCCTAAATTCCATTCTTTGTTTGGAATAATAGAAATCATCTATTTACCAGAAGCTTCCCAGCAAAGAAATTTTTAAAGTAAAAAGCAAAAGAATTGGCGGCAAGAGGAGGCGAACCCGTGACCTCTCTCTTCTGTTCGTTCGAAAACCCGCGCGTTAACCAATCGGCCATGCCCTTTTCTGATGGCGCAGTGCGAGCGCACTTGTCTCTAGCCCACATGACCCAGGTTCGACTCCCGCCCGCGTCAGCACTTTTAGTTTTTTAAAATTTAAAAACATTTTGCACAACTACATGAAATTCTACGCCAAACTAACTAACTAATAACTGATTTTAAACGGTCCTCTGGGGGCACAAACAGACAAACAGACATCTTAGTCCCTTTATATATACTAGGTCGATGTTTTAGAAAGTACAGTAATCCGAAAAATACAGTAATTTATTTTATTAGTACAGTAGAATGATTTAGATTACAAGAATTATTTCTTGCAACTAAGCTTTTTGTTCATGTAATTCTTCTAGTTGTGTTTCTATCGGATAATGCGTTTTCTAAAATGCACTTATTTGAGAAAATTACCGTAGTCAAAACGTTAGTTTACATGCAATCATTTCGATTTTGGTATCATTCGATGAGGAATTACAAGGCTCAATCAATGATACCAAAATCTTGTTAGTGACTTTATGGCCGAGTAATCAATGATACCAAAATCTTGTTAGTGACTTTATGGCCGAGTAATCAATGATACCAAAATCTTGTTAGTGACTTTATGGCCGAGTAATCAATGATACCAAAATCGGACTCATTACATGTAAACTAACTTGTAAACTAACTTGTAAACGGCTTGACTACGATAGTTTTCTTAAATAAGTCTATTTTAGAAAAGGCATTATTCGATAGGAACAAACTTTACTTCTAGTAAACCAAAAGATTCAAACTTTAAGCTTTAATCTCTTATTTTCCAATCAAATTCTTAGCAAGAAAGGTTTAAAAAAAGTTTAGCGATCAAAAAGTGATAAATTTTCACCTGAACACCAAAGATTGGATGTCGACCAAGAGATTCCAACATGTTTCCAACAGGCATTCGGAATCTAAAAGGGCAAAAGATTTAAATCAAGTGATTACTAAAGCTTTATAAGTGTACTTTGTAATTGAATTTGGAAAAAACCCTTTCTCATGTGCTTAATATTTCATCTTTAGCGAAATCGAGCTGCAAGAGAAAGACTAACGGATTGCCGGAAAAGGTTTGAAGCACAAAGCAAAATCTAACTACAATCAAACCTCGATTTAACGATTCTTTCGATTTAACGATTCTTTCGATTTAACGATTCTTTCGCTTTAACGATGCCAATTTTTGATCCCTTGAAAGCTATTTACCTTATAAAGACGGTCGATTTAACGATGGAGAATCCGGTCCCTTGAGAATCGTTAAATCGAGATTTGACAGGATCTAGCAATCTAATAAGCCTAGTAACTAGTACAATAAAAGTCTAATACTGTATCTAGTTTATTTTCTAAGCCATTTCCAAACGAACTCTTTAAGTTTTGCTAATGGTGGAGCTTCTTTCATCTTCAGTCCAGTCTTTGGATCAACGTCGATCTCGACACATCTAAAGTTTTGATTTTCAATGTAATTTGGGTATGATTTGAATACTATTGTTATGCTATTGAAAGCTATTGTTTTTAAGGTTTTTAAGAAGTCGTAACCAAGTAAAATAAATCCTTTTCACCATACCTTTCACACGGTTTCATGCATTGAATCTCAGTGGAGCCTTTGATTGGAAGAGGACCGAATCTAGAAAGAGGAAAGTTATTGAAAAGTCGAATATTTAATCAAGGAAGATTTCATTTTATAATAATATAATATAATATAATGTAATACATAATATGAAGCCTTCCTTTCACCTCAATGTGTCCCATTTATCCTCATCCCATGCCGGGCATCCTTCAATGACGATGTTTGCACGGAATTGTACGTTTGTTAGCTGTAAATTATGAGATTTAAAACAGAAGAACGGCTTTAGAAAGGGTTTTTACATAAATAAATCTATCTATCTATCTATCTATCTATCTATTTTTCAATTTTAGTTGAAACTTTTCAGTGATCTGGATAATTCAACCGATTCAACCTACCAGTTCTCCTCCGGTTCTCTTTGAGAAATCATTTAACTCGTCGAGTGATCCTTGTGTCGATAACATGTGTGGAGTGAGATTTGTGTAGGCTTGCTAAAATCAAGAACTATGATTCAAAAAGACTCCAAAATTAGGTACTCACTTTAGTCACACGATGTGGCACCGGATTGTTATTCCACCATTTCGGATTCGAAGTTAAAACACGACCATTAAAGAGATCGGAAGTGTACAAAACAAGACGAGCGGCTGAAAGTTTGTAAATGATGGAAAAAGATCAAAATTCAACGCTTGACCAACGTTTTCTAAAAGATTCGTTTAATTAACACACCGAAAAGCTACCGTACTCAAACTTCCAACTCAGCTTTTAACCTATCCAGCTATTTTACTCTAACTATCCACTTTTACCCACTCAAGAGCAGCTAATGAGCTCCCGTAGCTACTGTAGCTACTGTACTGTACTGTAACTACTGTAGCTTAAAGATGAGTAAAAAGCTTTTTACCCATCTGTAAGTGACAGTATTTCTTTCGGTAATCTCTAAGCCAAAACATAAACGATTACAGAAAAGCGTACAGTAGCTTTATTCTAGGCCACTTTTTAGAAAATGCCTTAAAATTATTGAAAATACGACTCGTAATCCACTCAATAATCAAATTTTGAATATTTTTGATGCTCACTTTCTCCAACAATTTTCGTAATGAACTTCGCCGCCGCTTCTCCACAATCCAATCCATCATGACGCTTTTCGAAAAACATCCTGCAAATTAAATCGAATTAACTTTTTGCAAAACTAGATACCGTATTTATTTTAATAGAAGCGCATGTACTTGTATTTTTTTCATTTCACAAAATTGCTTCTATTTTTCGATGACTAAAAAAAATTTGTGTAGTTCGTAGAAAGAAAACCTTTAGGTAACAACGAAATAAAAACAATTCAATCTTCAAAAACAGCATTATTCTCGATTTCATTACCTTTGCCGACTTCGAGAGGTCACAATCAATGCAAGAAAATGCAAGGAAAGCTACTGATCAAGCAATAATGAACTTTAGCAATGATTTCTAAGTAGTTCATGCGAGAATCTAAGAAAAAACTAACAATAAGTAAGAAAGATTCTTTGCTAAAGGATTGGATATTAAAATATAAAACATTAAAATGTTTAAAGTTTTAGAATTTTATATAAGTTAGCTTAAGCTTAAGCGCTGTTTAAATAACCAGTTGAAGTTATTTGATTTGTTAATTTGATTCAAACAAGTTCACTACCTAATTGCAAGAAAAACTTATCAAAATTACCAATGCTTATGCACAAGAAATGATAAAGAATGCTATTTTTCTCGAGGAAAAGCTTATATATTCTTAAAGATTCAAAGCTAAGGGTATTCGGTCTACTACGCTCAATATCTATAGTTATTGCTTCTATTAGAGGCTGCGCTTTTATTAGAATAAATACCGTATATCTTTTTTAATCATAGTTTCAGGTGAACTCGCACCTGGACATTTGCGCACTTTGCTGGAGGCCTTAGAAGTCAGAGCTTCGAAAATGTTTCCATGCTAGGAATCGTATGCGAGATTCCGAATTTCGACAAATCAAGAAATCAGACCTCGCTGACAAGTTAAATTTGAGCTTAAAGGAAAAACTACGCAACTTAACGCTTTTCCGCAGTTTTTGGTTTTTGCCTTTTAGCCCAAATTTGACGTGTCAACGAGTTCTGATTTGTCGAAATTCGGAATCTACGCATATGATTCCCTTAAATGAAAACATTTTTGAAGCTCTACGACCTTTCCTAAGGCCTTTTCCAGCAAAAGAAAGGTGCCCAAATGTCCAGGTGCGCAAAAAAAGGGCGCATTTGTCCCACCCCCATAGTTTCAAGTTCTCACGTTGCTTGTAGCACTTTGTTTTGCTCAATGACGTCTTTAATCAAGAACTCCATTTTATCGTCTCCATATGAGAGATGAGCCACACCATCACTGAATCTCACTTTATTCTATAACATTACAATGAACTTATTAAGTTGCATGAATTGAATTTAAACTTGAAACTTTTAAGCTTTCATCTAAAACTTACAAAACATCGATCAAGATTTGAGTGAGCATCGGTTTGACTCGGCCGGTGAAGAAACTACAAATGGAACGATTCAATGGAAGAAATTTGGATTTAAAGCTTTTTAAAATTCTAATTTCTGACCCAATTACTGTATTTTTTGGAAAATTCTCCCAACAAAATTTTTTTTTTTTTTAAAAAAAAAAAAAAAATTCTTCTTCAACCTTTTTTTCCCCCAAAAATCCCCCAAAATCCCCCCACACCAAAAAAAAACAAAAAAAAAAAATCCCAAAAAAACTTTACCCAAAAAAAAAAAAAAACAACCCCAAAAAAAAAAAAAAAAAAAACCAAAAAAAAAAAAAGAAAAAAAACAACCACCCCCCCACAATATGCTTATTTTGAAATTTTTTTTTCAAAGAACTTACTGTCCATTGGGGTCAGTAACCATAAACATTCGATCTTGATTCTCTTTCTCAACGCATCCCGTTTGGTTGCAGTACAAAGAGAAAACCTGAGTTAAAGATACTGTAGACATAGACAACGAATCACTTTCTGCATCGTAGCAAGCAGCTTTTCTTTTCTAAAGTGTGGATCTACAGGGCGCGGAAAAAGTATTTGCCGCTTTGATAACTAGTAAAACTAGTAAAATTTGCGCGAAATACATATGCAATGGTTAATTCTTGTTGATAATCAAATTCTACACATATTTCTGATGAACTTCGCAAAATTTCATGAACGCCTGTAGAGAATAAATGATTTTGTAAGCTCTTGAAAACAGCAAGTCTTTCGTTGTTGTAAGACGTTGTATGTTGTAAGTTTTTAGATCTTTCTACCACGCTCTATGATTTAGTCAGAATCAATTGCTATTTGAACAACTGATTCTGACAAGTTCATAGAGCGTAGAAAGATCTAAAAGCTTTTCAAGTGACTATTACTATTATTTTTTATATGGAAAAACATTCAGTTTCCAAATTATCTTTCACTTTGATTAGATCTTTCACTTGCAAAAAGTTTTGAGTTTTATGGGACCAAATGAGGAAAACATACCATGTTTATGAGCTGCGGGACTAAATGAGAAAAAAATACCATTTTTATTTTCCAGAAAATGTAGTCTTTTGCCAAAGCCAACTACGAAATTTTACTTTGAAAGTCGAAATACAATGCAGATTGTTATTATCAAATTGCAAATATCGCTTAAACTTTTAGCACTTTTACATTAAAGGCGGCAAATACTTTTTCCGCACCCTGCATGATAAAAGAAATTTCACACGGTTATCAAACATTTAATAAAATGTCCGCCCCTTTTCCCATTAGCAATTGAACTCAATCTAACATTGAGTTCAAATTTCTTGGTGTTGGGTTGTCCAATTTATAAATTATTAATATCATTGGATGCGCCAAGTCTTTCTCTATCAATTGGTACAAAAACTACTCACATTGGACAGCTAAACAACAAGAAATTTGAGCTCAAAGTTCGATTGCCAATGGCAAAGCGGGCTGGGACCCACAATCATTTCACTCTTTAGAAAACAAACGTTGTTTGCAAAATGCGGAAAGTAACTCGTTGTCTATGTCTATTGTAGCTTCTAGTACAGTAGACATAGGCAACGAGATTATTCTAACGAGATTTCAAAGATTATTTTAGTTTTTTCTCACTACGGTCTGCCGTTACAAGAAAAGTTTTCAATGAAAAAATTTCAATAAAATTACCGGTTTTCCTTTTCCGGATTTTAGAGGGAATATGTAAAGTTCTTTGATTTTTCCGATTGGAATCCATTCAGCTGATGGACGGAAATAGTCGACGAGGAGGCGAAGAGCCTGAAAGAGAGAGAATTTTTAAATTTAATCACCAAAAAATTTAACTTGATTTTTCTGATACACGGCTTAGAACAAGTATTAGTTGGCAAGCCTTTAAGAAAGTTACGATGATTTTTTTTTTGTTACAATGTTTTAGGAAATGAATTACCGTAAATACTGTAATAGTACCCCACCCCCATAATGACGGTGCGGAGTGTTGCGTAGTCTAGCTTTGAACGAGTTTTTCTCGACACTGGTTTATGCTACAATGCGCGCTTAGGTATCAAAAAATAGCTGAAATCCAGAGCTATTTTTTGATACCAAAGACGCATTTTTTGAAAGTACGGGTGCTTTGCAAAAAACGAAATACTAAAGAACTTTTGCGACTACCCGACTGTACGAGGGCTGTGGGGTACTATTACAGTATTTACGGTAGTTAAGAAAAGCAGACCAGAAAAAACCACAAAAGCAGAAAAAAGCAGACGTAATTAGGCTAGATTTTTTTTGCATAAATCCAAATTTTTCATTTCAAAGATTAGCCAAAAAAAAGTCTTCATTTTTCATTTTAAACTTACATGATATGATGCCATCGATCCACCAATGCATGTAGCCAACAAAACGGCATCGTCCTTTGAAATTGGTGGCATTTTGAGGTAAAATCTGAAATTTACAATATGCAGCAAAGAAATCCCATTGAAAATTTTCAAGAAGTACAAAAATTCCCTTTTGAAACAGTGGGAAAACAAGAGAAATCCGCAAAAATATCGATACGCCAGGGTTCATTCAAAGTGCGCATTATCAGTGTAACCCCCATAAATGAGAAAAAATGAGAAATCGGAGTGAAAGAACACTACGTAAACAGACAAACCCATAAATGGCTTTTTTTGTCTCAAAATTTCCCAATGATATCTATATCAATCATCTCCGTCTCGCGATCTTGAGACGATTATGGGAAGAGAGAAAATTTGTGCAGAAAGATCAAATGATCATTTAAGCAATAAATTCGATGAAGCAAAATTAAAAAATTCAAAAATTCTGTAGTTTTTAGCAGCTTTTAGCAGTTGCAAAATGTCAAGAACCGCTCAAAGTGCTATTCAAGTGACAAGAAATTAGCATACACAGGGTGTCCGGAAAAAAGTGGTCATCAGTTTAAGTCTGGAAAAATTTTCTCGTTGATTTTTCAAGGCTCATCTTGGTGTCAGAATTGGTTTTGCCTCAGGCGCCACACAACAAGATGAAGTTAGTTTTTTTGATGATTTTGTGAATAGGGCCCGGGAGCTCAAAATCCACGTATACATGAAAAACACACTTTTGGATTCCTCTATTTCACCACAAATCTTTTTACTTTTTGTTTCTATACGTGGGTTTTGAGCTTCCCGGCCGATGCATATCCGACCCTATTCACAAAATCACCAAAAAAATCAACTTCATCTTGTTGTGTGGCGCCTGAGGCAAAACCAATTCTGACACCACGATGAGCCTTGAAAATTCAACGTGAAAATTTTTCCAGATTTAAACCGATAACCACTTTTTTCCGGACACCCTCTATGTCGAAAAATTTGGATACATCTTTAAACCTATAAAACACCACTTTCGACGCATAAAATCATTCGTCATCAACTTTTCTGTTGGCCTGTTCGCCGTTGCTAGAGGTAGTTTTTGATGTTTGTTTTCTTTTAAAGATTCTTTTTTTGAATTGCGTTACATAGTTATGGTTAGTTACTAGGTCCTTTTTTTGAGTTGGATGGTTAAAAGCTGCAATAGTCTTGGTGGTGTGAAAATATTGTTGCGGTAACGTTACCTCAGTAGAGTGTTTGATCTTGACCGTGTTTTTGTTTTTAAAATCAAAACGGAGCAATTGGAAAACAAAATGAAATGGTACAAATGACAAGTACTTTTTAAAAGAGGACAATTTAGAAGTGTTTTTTGAAGACAAAATGAAATCAGCTATGAGAGTATTAACGAAAGCTAAGAATGTTAGTAAGCATACTGGCGGAAGGCAATTAGTTCCAGCTTGCATTTTTAGCTGCTTTTTTACAGGAAATGCTACACGATGAGCAGCCCGGATAACTCGAAGACGGCGATGATGTTGATGATGATTCTTCGAAGCAAGACAATAATGGCTACAAGACGATGATGGTTAGCAAGACAATAAGGGCATCTTCGGAACAAGACGATGATGGTTATGCTTCTTCGGAATAAGACGATGATAGTGATGATTCTTCAGATCAAGACGATGTTAGTGTTACACGAATCCGTCGTTTAATGATATTTTTCTAGAATACGGCAACGTTAGCCCGAAGAAGAATCATCCGATAGTCGCGGCTCTTATCATGGTTTTCTTTTAATTCAACATTTATTATTTGTGAAACTACTAGGGATATACCATATTGTATTTCTTGTTTTTCAGATCTTTGCTTTTCTCTCAGCTCGGTCCCATTATGTACGGTGCGCTTTTAAACGTTTAGCGAAATACGAGCATGTTTTGCTATTGTATAACGGGCCTCCGGTTCTGTATGCTTCAAAGACCGAGGTATATTGGTATTATTGGTGCTACTTAAATAATCAATGTTTTAGCATTTGAACGCTTTTTTGTTCGGGTTGGTTTAGATGTGCTTATCGAAATTTGCTAGGCTACAAAAAACTTATTGCTATCGAAATTTTGTGCTGATATTAACAGCGAATAAATTACCTAACTGAAATTCGTGATTAATTTATTGACAAATATTAATTTCGCTAAAGAGTTTTATCGAAGTTCGATGAGCAGGTATTAGGTTATTATTAATGTATTGCGTAACAAAGGCTTTGTTAAGTGTCTTCATCATTAAGCGATTTCACTTCTCTGACCCAGAAAACTTGAACGAGGACGATATTCGGGAGACTTTTTTTTTCCATTTCTCTACCTATTCCATTCAGCACTGGTGAGAAAGTTTTTTGTTTTTAAAGCATATGATTTTTAGTGTCTTCATGAACTCTGCACATTGTGACACCATGATCGAGCTTTTCGCGCATGTTCAGCCTCATTCCAACATTTTGACGTTGGTGCTTTTGAATTATTTCTTATTTATAGACGAAAATCTAAAGCTGTTTTTTTCGACCTTGAATCTGATAAAAGTCTGCTCTTTTAGGGTGACTGAATCGACGCAACTTCTAATGATATTCGGAATGATTTTTTACAATCAAAGGGCGTTTATGGAAGTCATTAAAAGCTAACTAAGACGCCCGAAAGCTACTGGCTAGATGGATAAACGCATGTTTCAATTTATCGCTTCTCTCAGTTTACTTTAATTAATGTCTTTCATTCTTTAATTAATGTCTTTAATTCGGTTTTAAGCATTTTTCTATTTCATCGTAACTTGTTTTATCTCGATATCCTAATAAACTATTGGTGTGATGTTTATTGACGTAAGAAACAGTATATTCTTTAGAAATTACCTAACGCTTTTATTCTCAACAATCTATCTCTCATTGGAAAAGTGAAAATTGGTTCGCACGTCGTTTGTGCTATGTACTTGGATAGATTCGTTTTCCTTCGAAAATTCCAATTTGCCATTTAAGATCATTTCGTGAAAATAACTTCGGATGGAAACAACAGTACAACAGGTAATCTTTGACATTTTTTTGTGTGTTGAAGTTTTTTCCAAAGCCGGAAACATTTCTAAAATCTTGTGAGCTTGTTAGCTTGTTTTTGACTAATCCGAGCCAGATTTGCATCTATAATTATTTGGCTTAAGGCAGTGCCGCAAGACGAGCCCCGACTCGAAGCCGCTGATGTCGATAATCCTTTAGATCAACAAGAAGACAATGAACTTGATGGTAAATTTATTGTTTCATAGCTAGCTTATAGTCGCTTTTTTCACATCAACCTTATCATTCTGATAACATTTTTTAGAAGTCGGTGATGCTTTTCCGAAGAAACCCAAGAAACATCCAATTGTTGTGGTCATCATCATGGTATTTTTGAGTCAAGAAGTGGTCAACATATCTTTTTTTCAGATCTTTGCTTTTCTCTCACAACTCAGCGTCGTTGTCTACTGTGCGCATTTGGGAAAGCAACACGAGCATGTTTTTTCGTGGGATCGCGAGCATTCGGTTACGTATATTTCGATCACTGAGGTAACCATTACATTGTCGCTTAAATCGTTAATTATTTAGTATTTGGACGCTATCGTGTTCAGTTTGATGTTCACCGTGTCGCCATTGCTCTGTTTTTTTGGGACATGGTTGGTTAAAAACTTGTTGCTCAAATGATTTTGTTAAGCGTCACGCCCGTCTACATCGTTGCACCCTATCTCTTCGCACCATTATACGTGGAAAAACTTCAAAGGACTATCTGCGTACTATTTCGAGCGACTACCTACATGATCCTTCCAGCGCTGGTAGAAAATTATTGTGCTTAAAGTCTATGGTCTTTAGTTGTTCCTAGAACTCTTTGCGTTTTGTGACACCATGGCCGAGCTCTTCGCGCATAAGCAGCCTCATTTCACCATTTGGACGTTGGTGCTTTGAATTGTTTTTTTAAGTGTACATAAAATCAACCTAACATTTTAGTAAAGTTATCGATTTGTGGTTAGAATAGTTAGAGATGTGAATAGGGTGACGAATTCTCTTTTTAGGGTGCTCGAATCGGCGCTTCGCTTACTGCTCTTCGGAATGACTTTTTACAACCATGCGCTGTTTGTGAGAATCGCTAAAACGAAGCTTAAAATACCGTCTTCTGACTGGTGAATGATTAAATATTGTTTTTTTTTGTTTTTGCTTACGAACTAACCAAGTATTATTATTATTTTTTATAACGTGCTCTTTTCTTGTTATTTCACCGAATTATGATTATACTTATGTTATTTCGAATTACCTAATAAACTTTGTTAGGAGTGGCTATCATTTCTTTAGTGGTTTAATAAAAACCTAAAAGCTTATTTTTGTATAACGTCCATTTATTTTATCTAAAGTGATGTTTTTTCAGCTTTGCGCTCGATGGACGACAATCCATGTGGAGTCGACAAGGTGTACGCAGAACTCACACGGCTCACGCCAACGATGAATAAGGTCAAAGAGGAAAACGCAGACTTGGAGGCAATTCGAGAAAAGGACTATCAATTCTATTGTCCTCAACAACACTTCATGGAAAACGATACCTGTCAGGCTCTGTACAACGATGCGGAAGACGTTGATGGTTGTTTTTCTCATCTCGAAAACATCAAGAAGGAATCGAGTGAATTCATCGATGTGGATGGATTTTCCGAGGAGAACATAAAGGATGGCTTTGACTTGTTCGCAAATGTGAAGCAAGAAGTGCATCCTTCTGATGAACACGACGAAATGAAGCCTCGGATTATCGCGAGAAATCAACTCAAGCATTTTCTCGAGGAGGAATTTGGCCAAAAGGAGGGCGGAAAGTGGCGTTCACTCTTTCCAGAGTTTCCAACCTTTGAGGAGTGGTTTGAGCTTGGCGATTTTACGAATCGGCACAAAACGCGGGATCATGACTATTGCTTGGCGATTGATGACACTATCAAATCGGTCGTTATGGTTCAAATGAAAGATTTGTCAAGACAATATTTGTACATTAGTGACGTGCCGACTCGTTTGCGCAACTCGTTCATGTCAGTAAATAGTGTCAAGGAGGAAGATGACAATACGTATTGTTGCTGCTGCCACATGTACTACCGACCTTTCTGTCTTCTTCATCCAATGTTTTTGATGAGCACACCAACCATACGTGGTTCTGACGCTAAAGCCACTTGTCCACCTTACTTGAAAATCAAAAAGTCGAAGATACCTGGAGCCGGACAAGGAGTGTTTGCAAAAGAGCATTTGGCAAAGAATCTCGTCTTTGGGCCGTATGAAGGAGAAATTCATTTTAATCGTCGACGCTCGGATCGGAGTTCATATTCGTGGGAAGTCCGCATTGGAGAACAACATTTTTTTGTCGATGCTCTGGATCCAATGAAATCGAACTGGATTCGTTTCATCAACTCGTATTCGGAGGGATTCAAGCAGAACATGGTCGCTTTCCAATTTCGTTGGCGCATCTATTACCAAGTGATTGCACCGATCAAGCCGGGCGAAGAGCTCCTCGTCTTTTATGGAGAAAATTTCAAACTCAACAGAAAGCGAAACGCTCTTTGATTATTTCAGTTTTCCTTTTATTAGATTTGACTTCATTTTTGTTGAATTATTTTATACATTTGTTTTGATATTGATGGTTATGTTTATGCTTATGTTGGATTCATGCTGTTTTTCTTCTGCAACATAAACTTTGGTAGTGAGCAGTGAAAAGTTTATTGAGATCAAAGAGTTGTAATAAGTGGGTCAAAAGTTCACAGACAAATTCAGTTTTACTATTCAATGGGGACAATTACATCGTCTCCTTTATTTTTCGAGTCAGCCGCTTGTAGTTGTCGTTCACTCGTTGATGGTTGTTTGCATAGGAATCGGGCATGCACTTTTGATGGGTTCCGCCAATTCCATAATGTTGAACCGCAGCCCTCGTCGTTTGCGATCTGGAATTCGACACTAGTTTTTTGGGACTTTATAGACCATTCATATGAACAAAAGTCTCTAAATTCAGTACTGAAAGTTATATCAGGTTGAGGAAAAAGTTCTGACTCAGCTGCAAAAAATTCAACTTTTATGCATTTTTTTTGCTGATTTTTGGCGCTTATAGTGTTGTACCAATCTTGATCTTTGTATTCCAGATAAGTTTGCAAGAAAAAGAGCTTCAAGTTTTGGTCCGCTATTGCTGGAAACGGAAGCATTTTAAGAAGTTGAAGAAGCTTGTCAAGAGTTCTTTGATTCGAAACCGAAGGAGTGGTACTTCGACCAGATCCGAAAGCTTGCAGATCGATGGCAGAAAGTCGTAGATAATGATAGGTTATACTTTGCGGAATAATTTTTGTTATTAAAGTTCTCATAAAAATTGAATTTTTCGCAGCTGAGTCAGGACTTTTTCCTAGTAGTTACAGTACGCCAAAACTCACATCCCAAAGATAGATTCCATCGGCAGTTCGAGCCGACGAATAGTCAAAAGAACTTCCATCGATCCATTCGTTTCGATTATCACCCAAGTGCCCATTTCCCGTTAAACCGATCCAAACTGGGGCGTACTCGCAAATCTCATTTCTCTCATCCTCATTCTTCAACTCAGTTGAGTTCTTGAGATTTGAGGAAATAAGCTCTGAAGGTTGTTTTTGTCAGTGCATTTGATTTTGCTTTACCTCTTATAAAATCTTCCTCGTTTTTTGAGTGAATCGAAGCCAAATGTGCGTTGTGATTCTGGCAGAAATGCTCGGCCAAATCCCGAGCATATGTGTGGAATTTGATCCCGTCGGAGTGCGTGAAATTCTGAAAGGTTTTAGATAAAACAATGAGCTACGATATTTGTACGACAAAGCGTACAAATTTGTCTATATCAATTCATTTCGTAGGCAGACGATATTACGGTAGTTTTTGAAAATTTTTTTGAAATGGTAATGCGCAGGTGTACTTTGGGCGACTGCACAATCGTTCTCCTTCTGGCACACGGAGCAGATGGATAGCGAGAAACCGTCGTGAAAAATCGGTTTAATTACCCAAGTTTAACGTTGGCGTTAGTTCCGAGAATTTACAGAAAATGCCAAGAAATTTTGGAAAGGATTTCTCTTTTGAAAAGTCTTTTTCTGGCTTGCATTCACCTGGAGAAAGTAGCAAGCCTCGGTCTCTTTATTGTAAATCCATTGCTTTGGGCATTGAGCACTCGACTCATTGGAAAATTTCCTAAAACAGTAAAAATTTTGAAAACCTTTCAAAACTCACAAATTTTCCTCACATTCACCAAATTTGAATTCGAGCTTTAATCTGAAATCTTTTTTTCCTTTGAATTTTTCAACTTCCGCCCACCTTTCATCCTTTTCTTCAACCCATTTAGCGATGATCAGCTCGGCTCGATCAATTTCGGTTTTCAGTGAACTCTCGAAAGTTTTGCGATTTTCATTACTGAAATTTTTGAGGCACAAATGAATTTCAAAGTTTTCAAAGATTCAAATCCGACTCCAAATTACATTTCGACGGTGATCACATCGATTCGCTCTTGTTTCCGCGTGAGTTCTACGCGAAGAGTGGCCGCGTTCATTTCGCTAAATTTCACAGTAATTTAGTTTAGTTTTCGGGAAATTTTGAAAACCCAACCTCACAGCCAATTTGTTTTTCAGGGTAAACCTAAATTTCCTTTGATTTCCTTTGATTTTCTTTTCTCGTTTTGCGAAAACTCACAACTGTTTTCGGCAAAGATCCAAAGGAGGCGAGATTTTGGGATCGGTGAGATCGGTTCTGCTGAAATTAGATCAAAAATTCAGAAACGGATTCTATTGGGTTGTCCAGTTATGAATGCGCGTTTTTTACTATTTTGTAAATTTCTCAAGATACCGAAATCAAGAAAAAGATATATATGAGTATGATTCGAAAGCTGAAGATCTTCTCTACATTTTGATATAAAAAGCTTTTGAATTTGTCCAGCTTTTGCGCAAATTGACTGCACAGAAGAAGAGGTGGCCAAAAAAATGGAAGGGTGTCTTTGGATCAAGTTTTGGCTCCGCTCAAATTGAATTAACCGTTTGATGTTTGGCCAATAGATATATCAATACAAGTTTTTTAAAAATATAACAATTTCAGAGCATCTTTACTTTTCTGGGCGGTTATTTTACACCATAAAACTTGAGGAATAGCTAAGCTGGAATGAGTTTTTTCGAAAACGACCTCTCCCTTTGTGCAGTCAATTTCCCAAAAAGTTGAATGAATTCAAAAACTAATATACATCTGTTCTAATATACAAAAACTATAACACTCATATACATATTTTCGATATCTTGAGAAATTTACAAAATAGTAAAAACGCGCATCCATAACTGGACAACCCAATAGATCAAAAATCGAATTATCAAAAACGTAACCTCGATCAAATAAATATAAAGCCTTCTGAGCGCTTGTAGTTTAAAGTTTCCCTAATGTTAATCAAATTTTTTAACGGAAACTCACGATTCGAGCTCACGACGAGCGCGCGAGAGAGCCCCTTGATCACGTGGGGTTTTAACTCTGTAAACCTTATTTGAAAATCAAATCATCGAAAGTAAACGTACAAAACACTGAATATAATGATTTTTATTCATTTCTATATTCATTTCATTTCATTTATTTCATTTTTTATTCATTTTATCTCACTTACAATGAACTGACTTACAATTACAATCTCACTTACAATGTATTGACTCCTAAAGTCACGCAAACGCCAGCCAGAAATCCGATGAATAGAAAGAAAATCGAATTCTTTAGGCTGTGATTGCTCGTTTTGACACTGAAAATGTAAGATTGAGATGTGAATCGATTCTTTTGCCATTTTGTGGAAACAAACTCCTTCTAGCAGACTTTTTGGGAATTTGGGCACCGTTTTTAACAGAAAAAAAAACGATAAATGATGAATTAAGGGAGCATTTCCTTTGGTATCGAATGAGAAACTGAAAAAAAAGACCAGAATTACGATACGGTAGAAATTACGTTAGAAAAACGACTACAAATATTAGAATATTCAGCTTACCTTCTGTCACTGGCACTAATTTAAGCAATAAGCAAGTCTATCCATATACAGTGCCGGACAAAAGTTGAAGGAAATGACCTCAAGTTATGGAAATAGCTGGATGTCTTTTAGAAGGTCAAGAATTTCATTTAGGTCTTAAAAGCATTTTTGTTTGTCTCAATTTCAGGAATTAACCACATTTTATTACAGGTCACAAATCTAAATACAAAAAAGTCTTTGAGACTTTACAGGAAAGAGCCGGCATTCTAGCCGGACAAAAGTTTAAGAACAAATACTTTTTAACAAAGGTTACTAAAAAAAATAACAATTAAAGCAACAAAAGTGATTAACAAGTTCAATACTTACTCGGAACACCATTAGCTTTGACCACTGCTTGACAACGACGCGGCATACTTTCGATCAACTTCTCAATGAAACTTTTTCGGATCTTGTTCCATTCTTGTTGAATAGCCTCAAAAAGAAGATCGAATCTCACCTTCTGATGTGGATACCATCGTCCGAATGAGGGAACTACAAAGCAAGACCTTTGAAGAGATCGCTACGGCAATAGAACGAAAAAGGCACTCTGTTTGGCAAACTTATCAACGTTGAAAGAAACCCGAAGCCGACAAAGAAGATGGGAAGACCTCGAAAAGTGACAAGTAAGTTTTTTTTGAGATTTCCTTTTTAAATATGCAAAATATTGCTCAGGATGAATCGACACATCACACTAGCTTTCAAGAAAAACCCGTTTTTGACCGCTCCTGAGGTTCGTGAAGCTGTTGGAGCGTCGAATGTTTCATTAGAGAACAATACAAAGACGTTTGAACGAAAGTCAACCCTTTGGTCGAATTGCTGCTCATAAACCGTTCGTCTCTGCCGAAAATAAGAAAGCCAGACTAAATTTTGCTAAGACACACGAGCATTGGACGGTTGCCGAATGGAAGAGCGTGCTTTGGTTAGATGAATCCAAGTTCAACATAAGCAATACGGACGAAATCAAATATGTTCGTCGCCCGCCGAACACCCGAAATGACCCACGGTACACTGTTGGTACAGTTAAGCATGGAGGTGGCAATGTCATGGTGTGCGGATGTTTTTCATATGACTGCCATGGACCTTTGGAGCGTGTTCAGGGGATAATGGACCAATTTCAATACCGTGATATCATTGAGAGAGTGATGCTTGCACATGTAGCCCAAAACACGCCGTGAGGATGGATGTTTATGCAAGACAACGACCCCAAACACACAGCAAGGAACATCAAGAAATGGTTTGTCGATAATCATGTTGATCTTTTAGAGTGGTCAGCTCAATTGCCGGATCTTAATTAGATTGAAAAGATATGGAGTCAAGTGGACTAAAAGATAAAAAAATTTGCGACCGGCGATCTTCTTTTTGAGGCTATTCAACAAGAATGGAACAAGATCCGAACAAGATCTCGAACTGCCGTTGTCAAGCAGTGATCAAAGCTAATGATGTTCCGACTAAGTATTGAACTTGTTAATCACTTTTGTTGCTTTAATTGTTATTCTTTTTAGTAAACTTCCCTGTAAAGTCTCAAAGACTTTTTTGTATTTAGATTTGTGACCCGTTATAAAATGTGGTTAATTCCTGAAATTGAGACAAACAAAAGTGCTTTTAGGAGCTAAATGAAATCCTTGACCTTCTAAAAGATATTGAGCTATTTCCATAACTTGAGGTCATTTCCTTCAACTTTTGTCCGGCACTGTATATGGATAGACTTGCTTATTGCTTAAATTAGTGCCAGTGACAGGCGATAAGCTGAATATTCTAATATTTGTAATCGTCTTTCCACCGTAATTTCTACCGTATCGTAATTCTGGCCTTTTTTTTTTCATTTTCTCATTCCTTTTACTTGTAAACAAGTCAGTTTTGAGGCAAAAAAGCTCAACTTAAAGAATTTTTCGTAAAAAGTTGATTGAATAAAAAGTTGATTGAGTATAAATTGTATATATTTGTAAAATTGATAAAATCAAATCAAATAAACCTTTTTTCTTGAGCCAGGAATGGGAAATGATCGTTTCGCTGTGGGCAATTCATCAGTGGGCAATTCATCAGCAATTCATCAGCAATTCAGAAAAAACCTTTAAAAAGAAAAGACGAAATTTCATTCACAATTCAATTCTCAATTTCGTTTAATCTAATTTAAATAATAATAAATAATAATAAATAATAATCAATAATAATAAACCATTTAATAAACCAAATTTACACATAAAAAGTCTTTAATAAATCAATAAAGTCAAGAAAATCTTTTACGAAACTATGGAAAATATTAAAAAAAAAAATACATTTATTGAAAACCAATAATGTGATACAAACAAAGGGTACATAATAAGACATAAAGGTTAAACACACAATTTTATGGCACTGCGGCCGTTCTCACCCCTATTTACCCCTATTACCCAAATGTTGTGAAAGAAAAAACCCACTTGGTGGGAAAAAGAAACATTTTTATCTTGCCAGAGTGATTGAACCCTCGACCTTCCGCTTAAGAGACAAGACTCCTAACCGGTCGGCCATCTGGCCATATTGCACAATAAAATTGAAAAACCGGTTCGGAAAGGGGAAATATTTTGTTGAAATATCACAAAACCAGCAGTTTTCAGCTGCTAACACAACTGAAAACTGCTGCCGGTTGAGATCTCGCGTAAATTTATAATCTCTCTTGTCGTGCAAATCAATAGTCATATTGTCTTCGTAGGCAGGAATCTTTTTTTGGCTAACGCCGCTTTTCCTGTTGGACAGTTGGGACCGAAAGTAGTCGGCCATCCATTTATTTCATTTATCCAAGCTGTTTTAAACCTATTCCTATAGTTAGCTCATCCCAAATATGGGAATCTCCAGGGAGGACCACGCGGAGGTCTAGGAACACTCATGACCCAGATCAAAGGTCTGTGGCTGGGGGCCATAGAGCCCTAAAAAGGGCTATTGGGTTAATTTTTCCATACTTTATTCAAGAACTTCTTTTAGACAATGTTGCACACCATGTTATTTGAACAGACGGACGTCTCTGCCCTTTTATAGATAGTAGAAAGGTATAGAAATTGACTTTCCAACAGTTAAAATCCATTTTCGAAAGAAAAGCAAAACTAGTTTTCTCGGAGGAGGACCAAACCCACGACCCCTCTTTCCCACTCTCGTTTGAGAGACGCGCGCTCTAACCACTCGGCCATCTGTGCACGGAGGGAAAGTTAGGCAACATTGGGCTCGGCTAGTTTTTCAGTTTTTGGACTTTTTAAAAAGATTGCTTTGATGGATTTTCTTGATTTTTTTTGGGGGGCGGAATCAGCATAAAATTTCCTATCAAACAAAAAAAACTGCATCTCGAAATTCGATCTGGGCGTCGAGAAAAGTGCCTGTGACAGACATACAAACAAACAGACAGACAGACAGCCAGATATACAAACAGACAGACAAACAGACAGACTCTCTTCTGCTTTATATATATTAGATTTCAAAAACTAATGAAAAACAATAACAAAATTTAATTTTTTGAATAATTTTCAAAAGATTTAAAAGAATAAGTGAATTTCGGGAAAATTCGTTAAAAACAATCGATTCGTGGAAAGATATCGAAAAAAAAACGCACGGGAATGAGAGAAATTTCTTGGAAAAATCACGGGCAAATTGCAGTCTCATTCCCCCAAATTCCCTGTGAGTTCTTCATTTTTGACTTGTTTTGTTGAAATTTGAAGAGTTTTTCTTTTTTTGACATCTTCGTGAATGTTTCGTTTGATTTCCAAAAAATTTAAACGAAACTCTTTTTCAAAATCCTTGATCTGAATGAAAAATAGCTGTTGTGTTAAAGAAAAATTTGTGGAAATTTGTGGGAATTTTGCATTTTGAAAGTTTTACGCTTTAGTCGCCGTCGTAGCCGACCGGATAGGAGTCTTGTCTCCTGGTCGGGGGGTTAAGGGTTCGATCCCGGCGGCAATTGGAAAAGAAAGATGGTGATAATCTTGATAATAGTCCGATAAAAACGATAATCCGATCCGGTTTCACTGTTTCACAATTTGAATGAATCGCCCGCAATAGTCGATTCTTTAGACTCTCACTTGAGTGCTGATTCGGGTTGCTTTGATTGACGCGTTAGAGGATCTGAAAGTTTCGCTTTTTGTTGAATCCTGTTTTGAAGTTCTTCTCAAACAAATAGTTTCAATCCTGCAGTAACCCTACAGTAACTCCACAGTCCTACGGTAATCCTGTAGCACTCCGAATGTTGCGTCGTATCGTCATTTCTTCCGCAATCCACGAGCCTAAACAAAGAAATACGTTAATCTGTTAATGGTTAATTGTAAGAAAATTGTAGGCAAAAATGGCAAGAAACGGCGAAAAAAGATGCTATTGGTGGAAGATATCATAAAACTAGCAAATTTACACATTTTCATCGAAAAAAAACCTTAAATACGAGCTAACCTAACAAACTTTTTCGCGCATTTGGTGCCTACGGCCGTGCACATCCGCGCGAAATAAGGCAAAAAAAAAACGTTCTCTATCAGAATTTCACGTTTGAATATCCATTTGACGCAGAAAATTGTGCTGAATCGAATGTCGAAGAAATTATCGAAATCCCTCTGACTCGATTTTTTTAAAACGCCTTTTATCGAAAAAACCGCACTTTTACAATGAACTCGCTCGCCGCGACCAACTTTCGGTGGCCCGTTCTCAGCGTGGTCGAAAGATTGCGCCCTCAAAACCTCAAATTCTGATAGAGAACACCATTTCGCGCGGATGTGCCGTGCCCTAGGTCAAATGAGTGAAAAAATTGTAAAAGTGTAAAGAAGCAAAACCCTAAAAAAAAACATGTAAAAGCAGCGTAGAAAGCAAAAATATTAAAATCTAGTCGCGCTGAAATGATCGTTTTCCAGTCACTGTAATGAGCGCGCGCCGAATCGTTGGCGCTCAAATGAAGGGCGCTCAATTTTTGGACTACCATGTGACTACCTCCCCATTTCTTGGGTCTTCGTCGCCAAAAGTTGACAGCTTTTGGTTTACGGGAACAAAAACTGTCTTATTGTCTTATTTGTCTTATTGGAAAATTTATTTTTTTTTTTAATTTAACCTCTTTTCGTTTCCCGCATCTCTCCTCGCTCCATGTAGCGCCAAAAAGAGATCACAAAGCACCGAAGACATCATCGATGACGCATTTTCTGAGATACGGCAGAAGTGCAAGCCCAATTTTCGGTCATTGATTGAATTCTGAATTCTGGGATTTGATTTGTTTCACGCTTTAGAAATGATTTGAATGAGCTGATACGGCAAGCGATTTTTAAGCAACAAAAACCATTCTTCCGTCTCTCCAATGTGACTTCAAATGAGTTTTCGCTTGTGGATTTGAAATTCCCACAGATTCACCGACGAGGAACATGATTGCGAAAAAACCGGCCACTGCAATGTGGAGAGAATTAAAATGGAGAAGTAGAGGTGTAATTTCATAGTTTCGGCAAAAGTCTGAGTATCTTTTTGCAACAAATTTGCTAATCCCGTTAGTTAGTCGCCGTCTTGTTCTGCCGTCAACCGTCACGTCAACCAGTTCTCCGCCCCTCTTTCTAGCAATTAGCATCAGCGGTAATTTTGCGGGATTGTTCTAGTTGTTTTGACAGTTTGGCGGCGAAAACAGACGATTTCGCGTAGCAAGATGGAGGATATTCTTTAAAATTGCCGGCTTTTGGTGCTATTTTTTCAAAGTCGGCATTTTGATGGGAAATCGGATAAATTTGTGAAAAATATCAAACTATTACCTCCAATATCTACCCAAAATCCAAAATTTTATCTTATCGAAGCAATTTTGCTTCCAATAAACACTTAAGCACCATAAAAAAGAGATCATGGCTACATAAAACACGACCAGTAAAATCACAAACGTTTTGAGATAGCTTTTGACGCAATCATAAACTGATGATATCTAGAAGAAAAACCAAACATAAACCCAAGAAACCCAACAATTGGAACACATTGCATAAATGGAAAAAGTGGATCGGTGAAAACGAAGAGAGATGATCACTCTTCCTGACTGCGACGCACACATTGGGCAACTCGTTTCTTGAATTCAGGCAAATCATCACGTTGTTGCTTCTAAAATGTATTCAAATCATAATTTTTAGCTAATATATGCATTTTAAACAATTCTTCGTAACTTGCAATATTTCAAAATTTAATAGAAAGATTTAGCAACTCGTCTTACCACCTAATATACATTTGAACGTTAGAAAAATAATACTTGAGCTTGCTTTTAGTTTAGCTAAAACATGTCATTTTATCAAACATAAAGTCTTCTTTCTTCTCATGTAAACCCTTACAGCAGCATCGATATTGGCTGGTGACTCAAAATTGGGATCGGTGAGCATCGAGATGACGGAGAGAAGAATTGTCTCCACCGTATGCACGGGCAGCCACCGCTCCTCAGCTTTCTCATATCCATAACTAAAAAATAAACATATAGAAGACAATTTAAATATTTATCTGGTAACTTATGCATGTGCCAAAGAAATAGTCACGCAACGAATTTAAAAGGCAAGCGGTCATTGACAAAGATTCCTTGTCAAACAAATTTTGTTTTAGTGAGACTTTTAAAAGCTTTAAAACTGATACCGATCATCGCCAGGCTCGTGCAGAATTGAGATGCACACATTACCGTCTGTTCCAACTAAAATTTGAATATTTTTCATCAAAACAAAGCCACAAACTATTTGGGTGCCAGATCTGCGAGACGAAACGCATTTTCGGCGGACGTTGTGGGTAATCCTTTGGGAATTCAAGAGTCGCCTTGAAAAAACCGCCCTCACTAAATGAAAAAAGTTTGAACCATAGGTATAACTGTTGATTCTAATTTTTAAAGCAGATTAGTGGTACTAATAAAGCTTGGGGGGGGGGTCATATCATTTCTAAAGCTCTAAAAAGTCTCACATTAAAACAAAATTTGTCTGACGAGTAACCAGATTGATGATCTGATTTGGTCAGATCATTTTTTTGACCGTTTTACCAGTTATTTCATTTTTTTCTTGGGTAATCAAACATGTTGAATCTATTCGTGATATTTTTAGAAAGTTTTGAACAATCTTTGTTAATGTTTTGTTGAGCTAGCTGAAGAATAGCTGTCGCAGTGCCGCAACGCTAGAAAATGAGACAAGGGGTAAAATACAAAGTGAAAACTATTCAAAGCACTCTAAAAATATCACCAATAGATTAAGCGTATTTGATTACCCAAGAAAGTGCAAAAGCAGACTAGAAAAAACGCGCGTAAAATAGGTTCTGGCCGGGTCAAGTCAAGGTGTCCCCCCCGAACTTTATTAGTAACCCGTTAATTACTTCAAAGCATACTTTAAATAAAAACAAAACTTACTAATACGAATCAGGTGGACCAATCACCAAGACTTCCCACTTGTAGAGATCGTCATCGTTGACAAGACCGGCACTGAAGCCTTCGACTGGGTTCCTCTTTAATTCTAAAAACAAAATATTCAATACGATCGACCAAATAACCCTGAAGACAGCTTTTTAATAGTCGTTTAAAGCTTTGAATGATTGAATTTTATCAAAAACACTCCTTATTTTTAGTTTTGAAGCAAACTTCTGTGTATTTTAAGTGTTCTCACGCCACATTTCTCATTTAAGGCTATACTTTGCGAAGCAAAAAAACAAAAACACTAACTCAGTGTTATTTAAATGCCTTAAAACTAGAACATTTCAATCAAAGTGGCTATCACTTATAGAAAATCTAGAAAAAAAAGCTAGTTTACAGCTTTACCTAAAGTATAATAAACCCAAAACGTAGTAGAACAAAAACTAACCAGATAGTTGTTTCCTGAGCAGAAGGGCTGACTGTGATTCGGCCATGTTGCAAGGAAAAGCTTTCTGTAAATTAAAAAAAATATTGAAAAGCTGAATAAGGTTGAAAACACAAAAATAACAACAATTCTAATGCTTAAACTGCAAAAATGAAAGCAACATTTATTTGTTCCCGCGAATTCACCAATACGCGCCGCGACTTTGTACAAACGTTGTTAGTTTTGGGGGTGGGACAAATGCTACCTTTTTTTTGCGCACCTTTTTTTTTGCTGGAAAAGGCCTTAGGAAAGGTCGTAGATCTTCAAAAATGTTTTCGTAGAAGGGAATCGTATGCGTAGATGCCGAATTTCGACAAATCAGACCTCGCTGACACGTCAAATTTGGGCTAAAAGGCAAAAACTACGCAACTTAACGCTTTTCCGCAGTTTTTGCCTTTTAGCCCAAATTTGACGTGTCAGCGAGGTCTGATTTGTCGAAATTCGGAATCTACGCATACGATTCCTTTACAGGGAAATATTTTCGAAGCTCTACGGCCTCGCCTAAGGCCTTTTCCAGCAAAAAAAAGGTCGCATTTGTCCCACCCCCTTAGTTTTATATAAATTTCCGTGGTAGGCTAATTTCTGCCATTTTATTTGCGCAATAGGGTCATTTACGCACCTCGCCATAACTTTCTTCTAAGTGGGCCAATCATTTTGTTGCACTTGTCGAGATCTACAAAATGAAACCAAAATGATAAAGATTGGCCCACTTAGAAGAATGTTATGGCGAGTTGCGCAAATAAAATGGCGGAAATTAGCCTACCGCAAATTTCCGCATTAAAATTTCATTCTTGTCTTCCTTTCGTGCACTTGGATTTTTGATCAGCTACCGCTACGCAAGTTGCCAAAATTTTTGCAAAAAGCTCCTGAAATTTGCGTTTTTTTTTGTGGTGATCGGAAAAGATAAGGATCAGTTCGCGGTGAACCCGGCAATAATTGCTTTTTGTGATCAGAAAATGGCAAAAAGGCAGGGCACAGAGTTTAACAATATCAGATGAGTACTTTGACAATAGTAGAATTTTTAGTTGACAATTTTTGGGGGTGGCTAATTTGCGCCAAATTTTTTTGCGCAACTCGCCATAATTTTCTTCTAAGTGAGTCAATCTTTATGATTTTGGTGTCATTTTGTAGATCTCGACAAGTGCAACAAAATGAAACCAAAATGATAAAGATTGGCACACTTAGAAGAAAGTTATGGCGAGTTGCGCAAAAAAATTTGGGGCAAAGCAAACCCTCATTTTTTGTAACTCCATCAACTGAATATCTTGAGTCATTGAGCTAACACGCTAGCTTAAAGTCTCCATAAACTTCAAAAGTGCAAAGGACACACAAAAACTTAGAGAATTGTCTTTCAACCTCTTGACTAAATCGTTTTCTAAATGATGCGCTTTAAAAAAACTATTATACCCCGTTTCCGTTGCCGTTTTGATCATCGTACGGTAGCTTTTTTCTTAGCGCACCTTTTAGACAATAATCTATTTAAAGTGAGTAATCTTTCCACACAAAAATCACAAAAGTGGTAACCAAATTCACCGATCTAAAGGGTGCGCTCAAGAAACAGCTACCGCATTTCCTTTTGGGGAAAACAACACAAAAACAGTCGGATTACGGTAATCTTTTTTCTAGCGCATCTTTTAGACAACTATTTAAACAAGAGAATCGAAATTTTACCACAAATATTACATTACAGTACTGTAACCAACTGCAACTTAAACTTTGACCAATTTTTCTCATACAATCAGCTACTTTGACCTTTGAAATGTCCAGTTTTCGGTGAAAATAGAAAAAAAAATGTCTGCTTTCTGGATCTATGAGCGAGTTTTTTTTTTCGGGTGAAAGGCTTATCTTTTCGGCCAAGACAAGGCTTATCTTTTCGGACTGATATCCTGCTTGTTCCCTCTAAAAACCCCAAGAATTACAATCAAAGCCATTTCCTACACACAACTCATCAAAAAATGAGGAAATTCGTTGTGGTTTTGTTTTTATTGTCAGCAGGTGATTGTTTTGGTAGCTTTGGTAACTTAGTAAGTTAACTTCAATAGTAAGATTTGTTGTTGAATCTTGAATTGTTCGAAAAGACATTTAAACTTTCGAAAACTACCCTTTCACTTTACATTTAATCAACCCAATTTTTATATAATTCCCTGAGGCATTTGATTCCTCATTGAATGATACCAAAATTGGGTTGATCAAAATGAAATTGACGGTTTGATGGTTTCTGAAATTCTGAAATAGATGCGTTTTAGAAAGTGCAGAACTCGATACAACAATATTGACAAATTCAATAATATCTTTTTTTAATCTTTAATCTTTAATCTTTAAAATATATGTTTAAAGAATAAGTGATTCCTTCAATAACCCAATTTCAATAACCCTCCAACAACCCAACCCAATTTTCAGTCGACGCCTATTGCCCATTAACGTCAAATCAGAGCCCAAGTCGACCGAAATGTTTCACATTCTACAATTGGAATAAAACTTTTGCCGAGGCTGAGGGCTTCTGTACAGAGTGAGTTTTATTTAATTCGTTTAAAATAAATTCAATAAAAATTCAATAAAAACTTTTTCAATCAATAAGTTGTAATCAAATTTGTTAACCATCAAATTTCTAGTATGGGTGGCCATCTCGCCTCGATCACCAACGCGTTTGAGGCTAATTTGTTGACAACAGTAGCGCAAGGAAAAGTAAACATAAAATTTGAATATTCAAGTGAAAAAAATCACCTCTACAGGGTGTTCCGGCTGGTTTCTGGTTGGGAGCCAATGACATCGATCAACCTGGACAATTCGCTTGGTTGGATCAAACTCCGTGGGCGTACACGAGATTTGCGTCAGGTGAGCAAGTTTTGGATAACTTTTCAACCGAACAAAGTCAACGAACAAGTCAACACTTTTTGTACTAACAGCCGAAAAACCCTGGCTGAATGCTTTGCGGCTGACGCATAGTTATCCGTATAACAGCGGGTTTTTTCTGGTCGGGTGTTTTGTCACTGTGGCACAGTCGGGAGCACGCTCGCCTAGGTTTTCTTTGATCTTCGAACTTGGCAAGACGCTGAGGCTCTTGGCACAACGGTTGGCGCACATTTAGCCTCTGTTCACAGTGACAGCGCGAATCGATTTGCCCACACAAGCTGGGTTCGACTCCCGGCTGTGTCATGGCTTTTGCTTTTTTAGAAAAAACGAAATTTGAGATGCACAACTATATAGAATTCTAAGCCTAAAAAGCTAGGGAGCCGAGAACTCGCACGTACAGACGGACGAACGGACGGACGGACACACACTTCTTTTTTATATATAATAGATTTGTCTAGGCGAACCATCAGCTCAGAAGCAATGTTTGACCGTGGGAAAAAGCGATGGGACATGGGTGACAGCCGATTGTGAGACAAAACTCGCGTTTGCTTGTGCTGCCGATATTGTCAACGTGGCTCAACCTCCATGTGACTCTGAATGGACGTGGAGCAAGAATTTCTCGTCTTGTTACAAGGTTACAAACTTTGGATGTCAACAAAATAACTAGCAAAATAACAATTCTAACTACACAAATATCCAGCTTTCCAGTTTCAAACTGCCAACTGGAAATTAGGGATTTAGGACCAGTAACTCTCTATTTCTACTTCTAGAGTTCTAGAAAATAACATTTAGATTTAAACGAACAACTCCCTTTTCAGGTTTTCTTTGATCTTCGAACTTGGCAAGACGCTGAGGCTCTTTGCACAACGGTTGGCGCACATTTAGCCTCTGTTCACAGTGACAGCGAGAATCGATTTGTAAATGGTAATTGAATCAACATTTATAGCTTAAAATAGCTAAGAATTTTCTTTTATAGCTGTCAAATTCTATATTTTAATTGAAAACTTTACAGTGTTGGGCAAAAGCGGTTTAACCGTCAACGATGATGAGGAACTCTATATTGGATTGACGAAAAACAGTCAGGCACAATGGGTTTGGACTGATGGAACACCAGTAAGTTATAGGAAATTTAATAAAACATAAGAAATCTTTATTTCAATAGAGCTTTTCAATAGAGAGAGAACACAAATTTCAGACTGATTTCTTAGCTTGGGCCCCGGGAGAGCCAAACAACTCAAATGGAAAGGAAAGCTGCGTTGAGGTGAGTTGAAGTCGAAGTCGAAATTCAGGCAAAGGCTTTGCACTATGGCATAAAGTCACTATGGCATAAAGTCAGCCTAAACACACTATGGCATAAAGTCGGCCTGAACACACTATGGCATAAAGCCAGCCTAAACACACTATGGCATAAAGTCAGCCTTTCCAACTGACTTTCTGCTATATTGTGACTTTGCAGTAACATATCCTCTATTTGAATCCAGCTGAATACATTCACTCACTCTCAATTCCAGTCCTACGCTGATCCTCTTCACAAGCCGCCAAAGAATGCGGACTATGTGGAAAGATGGAATGATATTGAATGTGATGACACAATGAGGGCAGCTGTTTGCAAGAAAGCGCAAAATAAATAGATTTGATTGAATAAAGATTTGATTGAAAAAGATTTATCGATAAATTTCGTTAAAATGATGAAACAAAACAAGTTTTAAACAAGTTTCAAGTGAACATTCGAAAGATTTGATGGTAGTGTTATCGTTTTGAATTCGTGAAGCTTTTCGGTGATCCAGTATATCTAATGCGGTTGCATTCTGATCTGATTCCTCAGCCATTTGTTATCAGAGTGTAGCCGGGGATCGGTTAGAAGAAAAGCGGTTCTCTTGTAATAAGCATAGAAAATGATGGCCACTAAATGAAAAGCTTTTGAGCGATAACAAGAAATCTTTTTTCAAAGATTCTTTACAGACTTGAGCACGCCAGAAAAGAAATGTTTCTATTTTGAGTAAAAAGTACAACCAATGCAATATTCTGAACAACAAACTGATTCTTTGCAGAGTGTACAGCCCAGTCAACCATTCAGAAGTCCACGGGATATAATCAGGCGCTCTCCAGCGAGCTCCCTAAATGAATTGAAATTCAAAAAGTCGACATAACCAAAATTTTATCGTAATACCTGTATTTTCTTTCTATTAAGCTTTCCTTTTTCTTTCTATTTCTTTCTTTTTCATTAAACTATGACCAAATATCGTAGCCATTCCCCCAATAAATGTTACAGTAACCCAAATATTCTACAGTGTTACAGTAACCCAATAAATGTTACAGTATTCTACCGATTGTAAGGATTACTGTAACAGTAACTAATTTCGCATTACTATAACCCATAACCCAGTTAGTTGGTGTTACAATAGCCTAACAAGGAAATGGTCCAAATTTAAGGTGCAGGATTGGATCGGCATAGTGATTGGCATAGTGATCGGCATAGTGATCGGTCAGTAGCCTAGGTACCCAAACTTGTAAAGCGTTTTTCTTGAAAACTAGGGGTTTAGGCCAAAAACAAAATAGAAAATCGGATTCTCCATATCCGAAATACCTATTCGATCACTATGCCGATCCAATCCTTTACCTTAAATTAGGACCATTCCCTTGTAAGTATTCTACTGATCGTAAAGATCACTGTACCACAACGAACGGTGCTCTATCTATAATCTAAATGGATTACGGTTTACGGTAGCTTGGAACATGTTTTAGAGCCAATTTTCATACCAAAGTGAAAACATGAAGAGCTATAGAGGCGATCAAGTAAAGAACCGAAACGAGAAGTGTTGGCGAGAATTCTTTCAGTAAAAGCGAGATCAAACCGGCCTGAAAGAGAGTTTTGTAAATGTAAATTTTCAAATTTACACTTTTTCAACTAAATGATTAAGTCAAGTTAAGTAAAAGAATCTTTTCCTCTGCAACGTCGTTCACCTGAAAGACGAACGTCGAGCTGAACGAGATGACCAACACAATAATGCAAAGCACTAGATTTGTGCCTTGTAAGCTAAAAAGGTTCTGAATTCTTGAAAAAAAAATTGAGATTTCTCACATGTAAATCATTAATAAAATCATATTATCGGCATACAATAGAACATCAGCCAAATTGAAGATCAAATCAGCGAAAATCATGCCCAATTGCAAAGCAATTAACAAATCCTTAGCACCAGTTGCCATTTGCGAAAATTTTACAATACTTTGTTGAATTTAAAGAATTTAAAGACAACAATAAAAACAACAAAACAATAAATGATTTATCTATTTATTGGGGTAAAAGAGATTCCCTTGGTTGTCATGGTAACGGTGCTCTGGAGCATTGAATAGAAAGCACAAAGATTTGAGCAAAGAGAAAAAGAGATGAAAGTTCATGTAAAGCTCATATTATAGATAGGATTTAAATGTTAAATGGGATAAATCTTTATTAGGTAAATCTTTATTGGTTGTCATGGTAACCGGTGCTCTGGAGCATTGAATAGAAAGCACAAAGATTTGAGCAAAGAGAAAAAGAGATGAAAGTTCATGTATAGCTCATAGTATAGATAGGATTTAAATGTTAAACTATAGAAATCTCTATTAGGTAATTAAAATTTGCGATCTCGAGCACAACCTATCAAGCTAATCATCTAATTTTCATTCCAAAACATTGACACTAAGAAAAAGAAGAAATCCTAAGTACTAAGCATTAGATTTTGATAGAAAAGCAGGTATTCTAGAGATTTTTCAATTTTTCTTGTAAAATTTCTTTTATTTGATGATAAAACAGTGCTAAAGTGGGCCAAAATGGCGCTAGTATCGCGAATTCTAGCAACAACTTCTTGGAAACGTCGCTGGGAAATGTTTAATTTATTTCAAAGTGATAAGCGTTATGTAGAGAATTGTAGCCCTAATTATTAGCAATATTTAGCTACTAAAAATTCCCCGATTGAACTTGTACAACTTATTTAAAGAACGTTTGAATGAGCGCTAGTCGACATCTCTCAGAATCTGTCATTTGGCTTTTCTCTGTTAAAAATTGTTAAGAAAAGCTTTTCAATATTTTTTAAATGTAAAAATACATCATACAAAATACAAAAACTAATATCTCCTATAAATAAAGTAAAACGGGAATGCGAGAGTTTATAACAAGTGCCATTGATGAGGATACTGTTCGCACGGAAATGCGACAATTCCCCGCAAGAGGCCAACAGGAAACCGATCAGAATGAAGCAAATCCACTAGAATAATATTGTTTATATTGTAAGATCATGTTAGGATAAATCTGTCAAGTTACTCACTTTTAAGTTACAGTAATTGACTCTATATAAAGCAGAAGAGACGTCTGTATGTCCGTCTGTCTGTGCACAAACGCGACACTCCGTAATTACGTTTGCTCTATCGGTTAAAAGGCAAAGTATTCAGCTATTTTGCTCTTGAGGGTTTTCGGCTATGGGGAATCTGACTTTTAGGTCCATTTTTAAAAAGGTGGCAAAGTTTAATATGGGTTACGGTAGTTTTAGTCATTTGAAAGAGATTTTTGTGCTAAAAAGTCGTTTTGTCTCGTTTGTCGCTCGACGAAAACAATTCTGTAATAAAAAAAAACATAATAATAAAATATTTATTATAACTAAAAGATTTGTACTTGAAATTTACGATATTAAATGAAAAAAAAAGAAGAACGATCAATTTTTCGTTTGAACCCGTTTCCTTGAGAAGTAGTAAAGCGTTGGGAGAGAAATTGCGGTTAGAAGAAGAGAGATCTGAAAAGGAAAATGGATTTTGAACATTTTAGCTCTTAAAAAAAGTGTTTAAGGTTACAATTTTGGAAGTTACTGTAAGTTTTTGTCTTAAAAAGTAGCTATTTGCAAAGATACTGTATAGCTGCAGTACTAAAGTACTAAAGTTAAAGCATTTGTACTAAAGTTTTTGTCTTGCAATATACCAGAATGATATTCCAAAATGCCAGTTGATTTTCTGTAGTGAAATAAAAGGGAGTTGCTAGACTAGGCAGCTAGCTAAACTGCTGTAAAGCTAGAGTAGTCTGTACTACAGTAATCTGTACTACAGTAGCCTGTACTACAGTAGCCTGTACTACAGTAATCTTTACTACAATAGCCTGTACTACAGTAGCCTGTACTACAGTAATCTTTACTACAGTAGCCTGTACTACAATAGCCTGTACTACAGTAATCTGTACTACAGTAGCCTGTACTACAGTAGCCTGTACTACAGTAATCTTTACTACAGTAATCTGTACTACAGTAGCCTGTACTACAATAGCCTGTACTACAATAGCCTGTACTACAGTAATCTGCTAAATAGTACTACAATAACCTACTAAATATCCGTCAGTTTTCTTGGATTAAAGCTCAGTATTGTTGGTTACTGTAATCAGCTGAAAAACCCGTCTAACGGGTTTTTATCGGGTTTCTCTTCTTTTCCGCTGTTTGTCGTCGTGGCGCAGTGGAGAGCGCCTTTGTCTACCGCCTACACGAGCCGGGTTCGATCCCACCTAGTGCCGCTCGGTATCAAATTTTTGAATTTTTTATTTTAATTGCACAACTACAATAGATTCTAAGGTTTTCTAAAGAAGTTTTAGCTTTATTGATCAAAACAGGGACAAGAAAATGCCCGTACAAACAGGCAGACAGACAGACGGACACTGCTCTTTTATATTTAGTAAATACTGATTCTAGCTACATTCTAAAGCTTAAATATCCTTTCAAAATCTACCGTAAGACCAAACGCGAATTCCCTCCAAGCAAAGCCAAGCTTTTCGTCGGCCATCAATGCGACTTGGTGAGCTTGGAGAAGTTCGGGTAAAGTTGCCTGAAAAGTGGATAAAATTTAGACATCAGATCTATGATTACAATAGAAAAACGGTCGTTTCCTCAACTCACATTTATTCTTTGCAATGCTGGCACCATTTCTTGCCAAAAATAGTAGGAATCCTGAGAAAATGTCTGATTTTTCATCGTTTCGCTGGAGATCAGAAGGAAATTCTTGCCATGTGGGCCATATTTTAAAGATTTCCGAATCGAGCTGAATATTCATTTAATTTCGAATTTCGTTCTCATTTTCGCTTTCTTACTTATTATGCACAAAATCTGCAATCAATTTTGAGAATTTTGCGACAAATCTCGAGCCTCTTTGCTTCATTTCATCACTGAAATTGATTGATTTATAATTGATGATATTTAGCTAATTGTAGAGCATTGTAAGCTGATCGTAATTGTAAACCAGCTTTGCGAAGAGCTATATTATTATTTGAAAGCTGAAATCAACCTGAGCACAAGCAGTGGATTGCACAAATGCGGCTCGTCAAAGAGGAAAACCATATCCATACAGTGCTCCGAAGCCAGTGACATGTTGATACCACCTGCTTGTTTACTTGTTTACACCTCTATTTGCACTATATTGATTGTATAGTGGTAAAAGTACTGTAAGATAAATAGTACACAACTCAAGTACTGTACAAAAAGTAAAAGTAAAAAAGAAACGGATGGGAAAGAATTTGGAGCCGAGAGGAACTGAATCCTTGCTCTTCTGCTTACCGGACAGATGGGTAAGCACTGAACCCTTGCCCTTCTGCTTAGATTGGTAAGCATTTGGTCTACGACTGAGCTATCGGTACTTGTTTTCCGCAAGAGGAAATAGGAAAGACAAGAAGTTAACTCCCTCTAAAGCAGGGGAGATCGGGTCCATTGTGGTGTATTGGTTAGCGCATTTGTCTGGCAAGCGAAAGGTCGAGGGTTCGAGTCCCGGCGGCGCCCAAGTTTTGGTCTTTTTTAGTTGCAACTAAGGAAGAAGGAAGGAAGAAAGGAAGGAAGAAGAAAGGAAGGAAGGAAGGAAGAAAGAAAGAAGAAAGAAAGAAGAAAGAAAGGAAGGAAGAAAGAGATCTTAGCACTATAGATCTTCCTGCTCCTCAATGACAATCGCTTGTCAATCAAATAGAAATCACTGATAATATTTCGATATTTCGTATTTACATTTATTTCTCTTTCCTACTGTAACTTGTTTCCAATTCTGCACTTCATTTAGCCAATAATCAAACCCTGTGGTTCTCCAAAAACATCGTTCACCACCATGTACACATTATTCCCTTTCTCCGCATAATTCATTCCCTCTTTTTCTCCATCCGAAAGTAATTCATCTAAAAAATAAAAAAATCAATTTCTCAATGTTTTCTGTGATCATTCTAAACCTTGCACAAGATTTGTGAGCAAGCGAGTGATCTCTGTCAGATTGTAAACATCGCCAAGGGGTATATACCTTAAGGAAAAGGATTTGAAACTGTAAAATCATCTTTAATGCAAATGCAATTGATGCAAATGCGAACCTTTCCCTTAACACTTTCCGTATCGCTCCAAAACCCGGAGTTTTCGCGTAAACCATCGCATTCACATAATGCGAAGCAGGCAATTGACTACCCCAAACTAAATTTTATATAGATTTTCATGACTATTATCTAATTTAGATCCAAGTTAAGAATTGGTTTCTTAAACAAAAAAAAAGAAAAAAAAACCCCACCCGAGTACAGCATTCCAGTCGCTCTCTCGTGTGCAACGTGACTAATCAGAAAGCTCACATTCTGTGCGCTGCTTTTTCTGAACATAGAATTTATATTGAATATCTAGATTTCATCAAAGTTTACTGTAATTTACAAACTTCACTAATTCTAGGGGATTTTTTGGTAGAACAGCTCGATCTCCTCGATATCCATCGACAGTCGGAGTCGCTAAAGTGAAGCCCATTCGGAGGATCTCGTACATTAGCTGAATATCGATAGACTGTCGACTAATGTCAATAGGCTTAAAGATTACTGGAGTCCAGACTTTTTACAAGAAATCTAGCATCACTTTACATCACTTTTACACTCTTGACTCGATTTTACGCGGCCCCGTTCAGCGACAGTCGTAGTCTAGTGGATAGTGTGACACTAGCTGGCCTGAGTGGCTTGATGTTGCACACTAGCTGGCCTGAGTAGCTTGATGTTGCACACTAGCTGGCTTGAGTAGCTTGTAGTTGCACACTAGCTGGCTCGAGTCCTCTGTAGTGGGTTCGAATCCCTCACTTGCTTTTTCGCTTTGAAAACATGCTTTTTATTGTTCACAATAATATTTTGATTTTCAGTTAGACCTAGTTTAGCCTGGCTGTCTGGCTCTGGCCTGGCTCTGGCCTGGCTCTGGCCTGGCTCTGGCCTGGCTCTGGCCTGGCTCTGGCCTGGCTCTGACTTACAGACCCTAGAGTGACCCAGTACCCTACGTTCATTGCTTCTACTTCCAACCATACTTTCTATTGCATTTCCCTTTAAACCTAATACTTGACTAGAGTTTTTTGATCTTTCCAAACCCACTCTTTCCGGAGAATCCCATAGAAATTCCCATTTCACGTTGTAGAGATTCTCTCGATAGCAGCTTGCATTCACCTGAATTGTAAACTTAGAAAAATATAAACTAAACTGGTTACTGAGTAGTGTAATGGAGTTGCTATGAAGTGTAATGCTTAGAAATAAAAATACAACCTTTCTTTTTGAGATAAAGCCTGGTTTCTGCAAGTAAATTGAGGAATTTAGTTGAGAAAAGTTCAAAAGTTCAAAATTTCAAACTAGAAAAGTTCAGCGACAATTTTGTCGTTCAGCGACAAAGCTAGCTAGTGTGCAACATCAAGCCACTCAAGCCAGCTAGTGTGCAACATCAAGCCAGTCAAGCCAGCTAGTGTCACACTATCCACTAGACTACGACTGTCGCTGAACTTGTCTAGTTTGAAATTCAGGGAGGGTGTGTTTCTATTTCTAAGTACAAAGAATACTTTAAAAAGAAGGATTATAATAAATGTTGACTATATAAAGTCTTAAACAATGTTTTTTTTCTTTTCACCTTTTTCATGCACTCTTTACTCTCAAATGGATCGTTTCTTGTGCAATTGCAATGAGCAATAATCGTTTCGGAATTGCTTCTCTGAAAAGTTCAAAATTTGAAGTAGTAGAAGTAATTTCTTTCAAAAAATTAATATACTACAATATTATAAAAGGATTTTAAAAGAGAATTGACTATATTATTCAAAAATTTTCAAATCTTAACCGTAAATTCGTTCCTTTGCGCCCAACTGGTGAGTGAAGTGCCCGAGAAGAGCATCGCTCCCGAGATCAACCCTAGAATTCTCGGAATTTATTGAATTCTTATCGAAATCTTTCTACTGTAAGAGTTTCTAGTTGAAAAAAATGACCTCTTGCTTTTGGACTTGCAGCTAGCAAACCGGCCAAACTTCCGCCAACACTTTCACCGCCGAGAATGATTCGATTCGGATCACCGCCGAAATTCTCGGCATTACGCTGGGAATTTCGTTTGATTTCATTTGATTTCATTGTTTTTAAATAAACATTTCTTTCAGTTTTCTAAATTTCTCTTTCTACCTTGACAAATTCAAGTCCGAAAAGAATATCCTCAAAGCCGAAATTCCCGCTCAACTCCGGGTGAAAAAGTGAGAGAAAACCTGGAATGAACAAGGATAAAATCGATTTAAAACCTTTCAATCAAAGCTTTGATATATTGAAGAAATAACGACTAATACCCATTATTCTTTTGGATCCTAGAATGTGCTTTTAGAAATCTTCAAACCAAGCTATAGGCTTCATGAAAGAAATCAGAAGTCAGTCTCTGATCAAAGCTAAACCTAAGCCTGGCTTTTTTTGGAGTGAGCGAAAACCTGGAATGAAAAAGGATAAAATCGATTTCAAACCTTTCAATCAAAGCTTTGATATATTGAAGAAATAACGACTAATACCTATTCTTGTTTTAGCTTCTAGAATGTGGTTTTAGAAATCTTTAAACCAAGCTATAGGCTTCGTAAAAGAAATCAGAAGCCAGTCTATGATCAAAGCTAAAGCTAAGCCTGGGTTTTTTTTATTTACGGTAAATCTAGACCAGAAGCCAAGAGTTCAGATTTGGACTTTGCCAAAACTAAGCAAAACTTTAAAAGTTAATAAAGTAAGGAATGACAAAGAAAGGGGATTGAATCCTTGATCTTTTGCTTTCCGTTTTTGTTTTTGCTTACTGCTTTAACCACTAAGCTATTCGGTATCTTACTGGCAGAGAATGTCAATGAAGAAGGGAAGGGGAAGAAGGGAAGGGGAAGAAGGGAAGGGGAAGAAGGGAAGGGGAAGAAGGGAAGGGGAAGAAGGGAAGGGGAAGAAGGGGAAGAAGGGAAGGGGAAGAAGGGAAGGGGAAGAAGGGAAGGGGAAGAAGGGAAGGGGAAGAAGGGAAGGGGAAGAAGGGAAGGGGAAGAAGGGAAGGGGAAGAAGGGAAGGGGAAGAAGGGAAGGGGAAGAAGGGAAGGGGAAGAAGAAAGAAAGGAAGAAAGGAAGAAAGGAGGAAATACAAGGCGGAAGATAAAGAAAGAAATAGAAGGAAAGCCAGGCTAGATCTGCAAAAGATCAGTTCGAAAAATTCTCTTCTGAGCAATTGTTTCAACTTTTTTACAGGTTTACAGTTTTCATGATTGTAGTTATATACAAATAAATGCTTAATAAAGCTTAATAAAGCTAATTACAAGTTTACATTTAGTTATAAACAAATAAATTCTTAATAAAGCTTTCTAATTCTAATATATTTCATTTCTGACCAACCATCAAAACCCAATCGATAATCGACAGCAATGAAAATGATCTTTTGACTCGCAAAATTCTTGATTACTCCAGAAGAACGATAGACGTATTTCCCTCCCTTCTAAAGTAATAATCATTTATTATTATAAAAAAAGAACAATTTTAATTGTTATTTCTTTTTATTAAGTGAATTTTTCTCAATTTCTTCTCGGAAATCGGTTAAGCGGAACGGAAAGTTATCTCCAAAAAAAAAAAAAATTGATTCAAAAAATCATTTGAAATTTCTCTCTAAAACATTCAAAATATACTTTAAATTCATAGATTTTTTGGTTTTAAATTGAAATTTTATATATAGGTTTTAAATTTTAGACTTTTAACTTTATTTAGATATGGGTGTTTACACGCAACTCGTCGCTTTGATGCTTTTGATTTGCTATGCTGAAGTGGCTTCGGGTAAAAGCTTCAAAAACTTATAGATAACTCTTGAATATTTATATTATCTAGAAATTTAGCATATTAAACCCTAATCTAGACTGAATACCGTAATCCAGATAATCTAGACTGAATCCCTTAATCTAGACTGGATACCCTATTCTGGACTGAATACCGTAAGCCAGCTAATCTACACTGAATACCAATTCTAAACTGAATACCGTAATCAAGATAATCTAGACTGAATACCCTAATCTAGACTGAATACCGTAACCCAGCTAATCTAGACTGAATACCGTAACCCAGCTAATCTAGACTGAATACCGTAACCCAGCTAATCTAGACTGAATACCGTAACCCAGCTAATCTAGACTGAATACCCTATTCTGGATTGAATACGCTAATCCAGACCGAATACCGTAATCCAGATGATCTAGACTGAATCATTTGAAATTGAAGTTTTATATGAGAATTTCTCAGGTGGCCGCCTTTTGAACACTCTTGGCGCTGTGCTTGGCCTTGGAGTTGGAGGTTTGAAATCAGAACATTTCTAAATTCATTCAAAAGATCAGACTAAAATTTCAAAAGATCTATTCAGTTAATAGATTAGATTCTAATGTTTATATTGTAAAATTCTGATTCCTTTCTTTTTTTCAAGGAATCCTTGCCTACAAAGCGCTCAAAGGCGACCAACACAACAACCCGACTCCACCACACTGAGCAAGCAATTTACAGCAAATTTACAGCAAATTTACATATCAAAAATGCTTCTAATCTTTTATAAATCGATTCTTTTATAATTTTTGTTTAAGAATTCACCGTATACGACATTCCGTGAATCCAATAAACGATCGGCAACTTCGTGTAACGCTGAAAATTTGATTTCACAAATTTCCTCTCAAAATTCCCCGAACTTTCTTATCATTTCTCAACGGAATGATCACTTTGAGGAATAAACAATTCTCGCTTTCGTTCAATGAAACTCTAGAAATTGCCTGAAAGTTCCATTTTTATATTCAAATTTGATCCAAATCACCGGCACGATGTGATACTGTGGACAGAGCACCTCGAAATTCGTCTCGAATGGTCGCTGCCATTTCGCTGGCGCTTTTGGAGACTGAAAAATTGGATTATCTATTGATTGGATTTCTATTCAAAGTCTATTTAGATTCAATTTCCATTCAAAGTCTATTCAAAGTAACAACTAAGAGTGTTTATAAAGCTATTCTACCCAAAACCTGTCTAAAAATCGATTTTCTTTCGTTTGAACTTGATTTAAAAACGGAAAAAGCGGAAATTTGAATAATTTTTGATTTTGATTTAATTAAAAATTGAATATCTTTTGATTCAGATGGGAAAATTGTATATCTTTTGATTTCCAAAGAAACTTAGAATAATAGCTACGCACTGCAACGGAAAAAGCCGAAAATTGCCCCCTTTGTTGACTTTTTCTTTGAAAATTAAAAGAGATTCAATTTACCGCTTTTTTTCTCTGCTTGCAAGCTTGAAACTGATCAGCAATGTGGCTTCTAGAACTTTCTGAGTTCACGCCTGGATAAACTCTGTCAGAAACTTCACATCGACTCAGGTTTAGTCAGAAGCCAAAAGATTGCATAAAGCCAAGCCAGACTAGTCCAGAAAAAGCTAGGCCAACGCTGAAGCTGAAGCTAGCCTAGAGCAATTCTTGGCCTGGTTGTCCTAGTCTGAATCGGGTTTACAAGGGAATGAAGGGGCTCGAGGGGCTACAAGGCCTCGAGGTTGAGAATCGCTTCGTGCCCGAGGGCATCTTATAGAATCGGCTATGCTGATTCTGAAGCTGCAAAAATCAACTCCAAAAACCCACGCAAACGCAAGAAATCTGCCATAGAAGATTTCCTTAAATTCCCTTTCGGAATCTTCATGACGCCGCCACAAGGAATGCTTTTAACGGCTTTGATGGTCTAGTGGATAGTGCGCTAGCCTTCAAAACCTCTCTCTTTCTTCTGGCTTAGGTTCGACTCCCAAAGGATCCACTTTTTTTTCTGGGTGTTCGACAAATCATTTTATGAGTTTGCAATCAATGAATGATGAGTTTGAAATGAATTTTTTAACTTTATATACCTATTTATAGAAGCTGTCATTCCATTGTTAGGTCTAGAACTGATTTGGAGCTGATTTGATCAGATCGTTCATTTCTCTTTTAATCGATATTGACAGACAAACCTAATCTGATTTGTCAAGTCTGTTCTAACCTAATCAGATCTGATTAGGTTAGATTCAAATTGATTTTTGACAGGTTAATTCAAGTTTAACATTAAAAATCTGCTCTAGACTGTTTTTCTTATAAGTAATTCACCTAAAATGCACTTATTTTCGAAAAATAGCATCGTGAAATCGTTATTTTAAAACTAATCAGCCGGATTTCAGCCGGATTTTGTTATGATTTGGCTGAGCCGTCGCATTCCTCATCGAATTAACGAAAATCGAATGGATTGAATGTAAAATAACGATTTGATTACGGTACTTTTTAAAATAAATGCAAAGAAAAGATTTTAGAGAAGATTTTAGAGAAGGTTAGCTTGGTTTAAAAGCTCAAAATATAGCTTACCTCAAATCTCAGATCTCCAGTTGGATTCGCCGCAAATGGCACCGAATTGTACACTTCAGCAAAGGTATTCTCATGCTTTAAAGAGAAAGTTATTAATATTAAATCAAAAAATAATAAACTTAATCAAAAACAGATCAAAAACGGATCAAAAACTAATCAAAAACAGATCAAAATCCCTTTGTTACCTTTTCGATTTTCCCCTGAATCACTCCATACTCAGTTTTCGCAAAAGCGAAACTCCCGAAATCGGGAAAAGTCGGCAAAGCGTTACAATAGGCAATGAATAGAATTGAGATTTGTAATTGTAGAAGCATTAGTAGAATTATAGAATAGAATTATAGAATTATAGAATAGAATTATAGAATGGACTTTAGAATTATAGAATTATAGAATAGAATTATAGAATAGATTTAGGACTAGAGAGAAATTTTGCCTAAAAACTTGGGAAACTTGGGAAACTCGGGGAAAACCCGGAAAATGCCCCCTTTTTGACCGTTCCCTTATGATTTCTCTGAACTCTCACCCCCCGTTTTCCCTTCTTTTTCTTCTTCAAAAATATAAACCAATTAGTGAAGGTCAATCATTTTTACACAAAAAAAATCCCTTTTACCTCTTTTTTTTTTCACAAATTTCCCTCAAATTTTAGATTCCAAGAGCCCCGCATTTCTTTTTCTTTTTTTCTTTCTTTCTTTTTTTCTTCTTTTAACTTCAAATCGTTCGACAGAGATTGACGATCAAGATACCATGAATGAGACTGTATTTTGTGGTTATCAAGATTTATGTTTTACTGTTTTACTGTTTTGCCCATTTCGAACTTTCGAACTAGAGATTTTTTGAATTTAAAGTAGAGAATTGAGTAAAGAAATTGGTACCATGCAACAAGTGAAAGATTTGATCTCATACAGTTCAAATATCAACTAAATTGAAATTGATTGAGTGCTCAGTGTAATGTTGTGACGTCTTTGCTGTGATTGGATACTTGCTTCACGAAAGAAATGAAACGTTTATCGCTAAAAGATTCAATGTCGATACCACGGAAATGAAACAAACAAACAAAACAAACAAAACAAATTGAAACAATCACCTTCACTTGGGCTGGAGTTGAGCGGGAATTTCGGCTTTGAGAACATTCGTTTCGGACTTGAATTGAAAATGGTCTAGGTTTACTGTAAGTTCAAAAGAAGCCAGGCTTAGGTTTAGCTTTGATCAGAGGCTAACTTCTGATTTCTTTCACGAGCCTATAGCTTGATTGGAAGATTTCTAAAACCACATTCTAGAAGCTAAAACAAGAATAGGTATTAGTCGTTATTTCTTCAATATATCAAAGCTTTGATTGAAAGGTTTGAAATCGATTTTATCCTTGTTCATTCCAGGTTTTCTCTCACTCCAAAAAAAGCCAGGCTTAGGTTTAGCTTTGATCAGAGACTGACTTCTGATTTCTTTCATGAAGCCTATAGCTTGGTTTGAAGATTTCTAAAAGCACATTCTAGGATCCAAAAGAATAATGGGTATTAGTCGTTATTTCTTCAATATATCAAAGCTTTGATTGAAAGCTTTATAAATCGATTTTATCCTTGTTCATGCCAGGTTTTCTCTCACTTTTTCACCCGGAGTTGAGCGGGAATTTCGGAAATTTTCGGAATTTCGGCTTTCAGGATATTTGGACATGAATTTGTCAAGGTAGAAAGAGAAATTCAGAAAAACTAAAGCAAAGAGTTATTGGAAAACGTCAAAATACAAAATTTCAACAAATTATCAAAGAAAACTCAAAAATTGAGATCAAAGAAACCTTTTATAGCTTTCATTGTAAAGCTACTTAGCCAACGATCGAGTACGTTTTAAAGGACACTTTTTAGAAATGCAAACCGTTAGTTGGAATGAGAGACGGAACAAGCAAGCTTGTTAGTTCAATCAATTCAATCAAATCAATCAATTCAATCAATTCAATCAAATCAATCAATTCAATTCAATCATATCAATTTTTCTAGGCCAGACTAGAAGCCAGGCTTTTCCCGATATGCAGAATTCATGGATGAGCCTGGCTTAGTCTAGCTTACAGGGCTCGCTTGGAAAATCTCGAATGACATAAATGCTACTAACATTTTAACACTGTTTTCTCCGTCTTTGCATAGCTGCTTTTTTAAGTTTAAAGATGAGAATTAAGATAAGGAAAAATGAGATCAATTGGATGTTCTAAAATTGAAAGTATTCAGCTGAAGGATCCTGTAAAACTGTAAAACAGGATCCTGTAAAACCTAATCACTTATTTCACTATTGAAAGCTATTCGTTCCTAGATCTCTTTTTTCAATTCTAATCCTTTTCTAACCATTGAATCAAGGCAAATTTCGAAAAGATTTGGTTGAAAAAACGAAAAGTCTAAAAGTAAAAAAGTAAACTTAAAGCTTTCTTAAAAGAATCAAAATTGAAATTTAATACTGTAGTAGTATTAAATGTACTATTACAGAAAGTACTTACCGTAAATACTTTAATAGTACCCCACCGCCCCTCGTACAATCGGGTAGTCGCAAAAGTTTTTTAGTATTTCATTTTTTTCAAAGCGCCCGTACTTTCAAAAAATGCGTCTTTGGTATCAAAAAATAGCCCTGAATTTCAGCTATTTTTTGATACCTAAGCGCGCATTGTAGCATAAACCAGTGTCGAGAAAAACTCGTTCCAAGTTAGACTACGCAACGCTCCACACCCTCATTATGGGGATGGGGTACTATTACAGTATTTACGGTAGGAAAAATGAGCTTTAAAACCTTCCAAGATTGGTGGCATAAATATTGTGAACCTTCTATGATTGAAAACAACTTTTAAAACATACGCACAAGCTTTACTATTCACTGGGATACTTACCAAAGACGTACTTTCAAAAAATGTGTCTTAGATATCAAAAAATAGCCCTGAATTTCAGCTTTCATTTGATATTTAAACGAACACTGTAGCATAAACCAGTGTCGAGAAAAACTCGTTCCAAGTTAGACGACGCAACGCTCCACACCCTCATTATGGGGATGGGGTACTATTACAGTATTTACGGTAATCACTTGTCCCACTATTGAAATCTATTCGTTTCTAGATCTCTTTTTTCAATTCTAATCCTTTTCGAACCATTGAATCAAGGCAAATTTTGAAAAGTTTTGGTTGAAAAAATGAAAAGTCTAAAAGTAAAAAAGTAAAGAATATTTTACGCGAAACTAAATTTTTCGAATTTTTATTTAAAAATTATTTTTAGAACAATTAAAGGCTAAAAAAAGAAATAATTAACAAAAATAAAGGAAAATTCGAAAGATTCGAATAAATCAACACATCTGAACAAATAAAAGATAAAAATTGAAAAAATGCAAGCCTTTCAATATCGATGAAAAGAGAAATGAACGGAGAAAAGCTTTGATCGATTTTGAAGAATCCGAGATTTCTCCGAAAAACCGGATTTCTCATCGCTTTTTTCGTCTCTCACACTTTTCTAATTGCAATTTCTCAAGTTTATTTTCTCTAGAAACTATTTATCCAGTTAAATGTCGACTACGGGTACGATTTTTGGTCTCCTTGGAAGTTGCATTGGATGCATGGCGATGATTGAGGATATGAGGAGGTGAGAAGTTAAGAATGGTCTCAGCCTAGCCTCAACTATTAGGTTGATGCATAAGTCTTTTCGTTCCTTTTCGTCTGCCGTTTCAAGCCAACAAATGCACGAATTAAACTACGGTTGATTTCATTAGAAAAAGCAATTATTTTTCTGCAAAATAACATTAAAACGGGTTTAAAAATATTTAATGCCTGGATTTTCTTGAGAGTATGAAGTCGGGTAGTCAAAAAGGGCTAACTCGATGATGCGGTTTAGGCTCAGGCTCAGGCCCAGGCTAAGCCTCAGCCTAAGCCTGAGCCTGAGCCTGAGCGGTTTAGACACCTTAGCTAAAGAAAACCTATCTTCGTGTCAATAGATAAAAGATAGAGAAAAAAAAAACGTTTGATATTTCGCCAAAATTTCAGAGAAATTCATTCAGCCAATTTTTCCGTAGAGTTTTTTATAGATTTTTACGAAAAAGGCGTTTTTCACTCTCGAATTTGCTTGAAAGTGAACCGAAATTCATTTAAAAAGATGCAAATTGAACAAAAAAACACTTTTTTTATAGAGCAAACTATAGATTAATTGGTAAATTTGTTACTTTTTAACAGAAGTACGAAAAAAACGAAAAGACTTATGCATCAACCTAATAGTAGACATACAGTACTGGACAATGAAATATGATATTTGAAAAACGATCGTCACTTTTGCGCGTCTGTAACTCCCTTGTCTTTAGCGTATTTCTAAATATTAATATTACCATTGTGTAGCCCTTGAAAAGAGCTTTCAGAAAATGTATAACACTAATAGTTTAAACTCAAAGACAAGGGAGTTACAGGCGTGCGAACGTGACGATCATTTTTCAAATAACATATTTCATTGTCCAGTACTGTTCGATTTATAAATTCTTGATATCATTAGATGCGTCAAGCATTTCTCTGTCGATTGCTATAAAAATTATTAAAATTGAACAGCTCTACACCAAGATATTTGAGTTCAAAGTTGGATTGCCAATAGCGGACACGGTTGTGGGGCCTTTTATACGCGTGCTTGCCATTAGCATTAGCAATCGAACTTTAAACTCAAATTTCTTAGTGTTAAGTTGTCGAATCTCTATATTCTTGATATCATTATATTCGCCAAGTCTTTCTCTATTGATTGGTAAAAAAACTATTTCCATTGAAGAGCTAAACACAAAGAAATTTGAGTTCAAAGTTAGATTGCCAATGGCAAAATGGGCGTTTTCAAAATCTTGTTTTTGCCTGTGAAAAATTGTCACAATGTATCTTTTTTCATTGTCTTAACTTTAGACAAGAAGCCCAAACAGTCCAATTGATCAATGTGGCTGGTTTTGGTGTTTGTGCTCTTTATGGCCTCATTTGGACATCGAAATTCTTCACGGTTAGGAATAAAATCCCAATGAGGTGAAAGCAGAAACCCTTTTTTTCTCATAGACTTCGAAAACATCTTTAAATTAGAAATTTCAACGCCATTTCAGTGCCTATTTCCCTCTAGTGATCCTCTCTTGTTTCACCAATCAACTCAACATGCAAGCGCTTAGCTTTTACTTGCCATTTCCTCTACATATTGTTTTACGATCAGTAAGAGATTCTTAGATTCTTAGATTCTTATCAGATTCTTATCAGATTCTTAGATTTTAAAGGATTATCAATTCCAATTCAGATCAATTCCAGGGTTCTCTAATCACTTCACTAACTCTCGATGTATTTTGGCTGAAAAAACGATACTCATCCAGGAAATATATCTCGGTTTTTCTTCTAACAACTGGAATAATCACTTGTACATTAGCTTCTTCACAAAAAAGTGTGAGAAAAGCTTTTTTTTATCTTTATTTTTATCTATTATATCTATTATTTCTTTTCAGAAAACGAATCAACAACTGCATGAACATTTTGGGGAAATGCTATTTGGTAAAGATTTTTTGCATAAAATTTGTCTACGAAGTTAACGATGAGTTTTTGATTTCTATTAAATATAATTTCTCTTGAAACTAGAATCATAGAATTCTAGAATTCTAGAATTCTATAATTCTATAATTCTAGAATTCAATGACTAGCTTCTAGTAAAATTGAAATGTTCAATTGAATTGTGCTTGGACTTTTGTTTATCCTCAAAGATTACGATTACTATAGTTGAAAGGCTCTCAGCTAAAAGGCAACTTTCCAGGTGTTTTCCTGTCAGTAACCTCTCTTTTCGGTGCTTCACTTCTTTCCATCAAACAAAGTGATCTTTTCAAGAAACATGGAAGACACGTTGATGAAGCTTTTTTCAATTTGGTAAGCAATTAGAGTCCAAATTTTAAAGTCAATTTCACTAGGGAATTGCTTCAACTAAACATCGATATGGAAAAATAGAAATGTCACCTTGAAATTCTAAGGAATACATGTTTTTTTAGTTTTATATAGCATCAAATTTCGGGAAAAATCCTTGCAAAGTTTGAAAAACGACGCCGCCACGGTATAGGGCTGATTTACTCACCCCAGGCAATCTACTGGATGGTCTAGTGGACAGTCGGCGCGCCGCTGGTCCGAGTCCCCGCGCCTTCCCCCTGGTTCGAATCCACTCACTGACCTTTTGTTTTTCCCTTTTGTTTTTTCGTTCAATAAAACAATTTTTAGGTATTTTAAAGTGTCTATAAACAGTAAGAAGGGAAATAGGCCTATATCCTGAATCCTAGAGTTCTTGGAACATCCATAGTTGGGTACGAACTGTACAAAGATTGAAAAATTGACCCATTTGAAATTTCTAGTATTCAATCTATTACTAAGAAAAGACTTTCAGCATTTCTTCGGTCTCCTCTGCCTTTTCCCATGGTTTTTCCAAATGAAAAAAGCAATGGGCGCAATGATTGATAGCCCGAATTTGAATCTTTTCGATCAATCATTTGGACCAAAACTTGTCATCGAATTGATCACAATGAGTCTATTTCAGTAAGCTTTCAGTAAAGAAAAATTCTCCAATCGTGAAACTCTTGAAACTAGAATCATAGAATTCTATAATTCTATAATTCCTCGCACAGATTTTTCTGTCTCCGATCCGTTTTCCGATTGAACGCTTTGGTGGAACCGTTGACACTGATTTTGGTGCTGACACTGAGGAAATTTCTCTCGCTTATCTTCTCGATCTTTTACTTTCAGGTAAGAGATTTGAGAGTGATTGATAGACGAGGAAGTGGGTGAGTTAAATGAGATGCAAAATGAGTTAAAATTGAGATACATTTCACTTGTTTCACCGTTAAACGGTACTTCCTGTACTTCCCGTACTTCCTAATACTCTGAAAAGCTACATTTGAAAGCTTTTTGTTTAAACGAGATACTTTAAAGGTTGACTAACTCATCATAGAAACAATAAAACCTTTACAGATCTCAGCTACCGTAATCCGTAAGCAAAAGAAAGATCAAGTTAGCTCTGTTCTGATCCGGCTACGGTAGCTAGGGCAAGTTTTAAAAAGCCTACTCAACTAGAAAAGCTCTCAAGTTGAATTAGATTTTTAGTTTTATAGATGGCATTCTTTAGAGCACTTAATTGAAACGGGAAAAGTTCAAAAAATCTCTGCACTGATCAAATTCCTTTCCAGAATCCGTTCACTTTCCTTCACTGGTTTGGGACATTTTTTGTCTTTTCCGGTGCAATTCTTTTTGAGGATGTTCTCGTGAAAAAAATCTACAAAGAAAAAGCGATTGTCAATAAATGCATTATATAAATGGAAATTCTTTATTCTTTACCCGATAGCACACGTATTTTAAAGAAAAATTGATCATCCCCTTACGAGAATCGAAAAGAGCATGATAATCAAAAAGGCGAATTCGATAAAAGTGACAATCGAGATTCCACAGAGGACACCAAGAATTCCGCCGAGATTTCCGAGGAATGTGTTGAACTGGAAATGAAATTTGTAGAACACAAAGAAATTCCCCAAAAATTTAGCTATAGCACTTTTGTCTCTGTACTTTTGTTCTTTATTCTCCAACCAGCGGAAAACGCTGGCGAGACGGGAAACCAATTGAAATGACTAAAACTACCGTAACCCATATTATGCCCCGCTCTCTTTTAACAATGGACCTAAAAGTCAGATTCCCCATAGCCGAAAAGTCCCGGGAGAAAAATATCGCGCGCAAAAGCTGAATACTTTGCCTTTCAATCGATAGAGCAAACGCAATTACGGAGCGTCGTGTTTGCGCATAGACAGACTGACAGACAGACGCTCCTTCTGTTTTATATATAGTAGATTCATTGACAACTTTTACAGCATTTGCGGCTCATTGATACAGCTAAATTTGAGCCAGGAGCGAGCCTTAAAAAGTGGTTGGGGAAATGTCAACTGTGAACAGTCTGGTGAAATTCTGGGACGGTCCTTTTGGCCCCACTATGTGAAATCATTGGCAGGTTAATCATAACCTTAAATTTGGGTGATCAAGCCTAACTTAGGTAATTAAACCCAAATTTTGGGGTCGCTTTCTGGCTAACTATCTGCCCCGTGTGCCAGATGGAGAGCGATTACGCGGCCGCATAAAGGACACCTTGCGGATTTTTCTTTTATCTTGTATATTGCTTAAAAAGAAGGTATTTAGCTTGAAATTTGTGGCCGGGGGTTTTCAGGGTCGGCGAATCGATTGGAGCTTTTCATTTCATTGAGTCAATCAATTGGAACTGATCTATTGGGTTGGGGAGAATGAGTCGGCGCCGAAAATGAAAAAAATGTCTAAAACTTCTATTCGACTTCGTCAAATAATATGCGTTTGATACTCATAGAATGGTTAACTAATTCTCTACAAAATCACATTTAAAAGAAAATTCAAACAGCGCCTCCGCTCAAGAAAAAGCCATTTTTTCACAAAAACTACAAACTGTGATCTAGAAAAAACCATTGGTGGGATCTTCCTGCAAATTTGGCAACTTAAGTAATTGAATGTGCTCTATCTTTTTTATATAAACACCAAAGAAGGTTTATGTGAAAGAAACTGTTCAAATGATGAGACGGACTCTTTGCCATTTTAACCAGCTGCGTTTGGAAGTTCATAAACTCCACGAAAGAAAAGCTTTGTGGAATCTCTCAAAAGGGATTTTGTAGAGAAATAGTGGATCCTTTTGATCAAACCAAACGTATGTTTAAAGAAGGCTTTATGTGTGCAAAAAGTCCCTTTAAAGTTTGGCGCCGACTCATTCTCCCCAACCCAATAATTGGGTCTAATTGGGTCTAATTGGTCTAATTGGTCGAAACTTTTAGAAACTCCCGCCAAAACTCACACTCATCACCGGTGTCTCCACATAGATCAATCTGGTCAACGATTTGAAGTTCACCTGAAAAGTTTCGCTTATAAATTTTGACTAGCTTGGCTAATTTTGGAATTAAACCTCAATTTTCACTGTATCAAGAAAAGTCGTTTCACAAGCCGACACATTTGAGGCCAATGAGCACTCGTAGATCTGTAATGGATAGAGAAATGAATGTAAAAAAAACAATGGATTTCTATCTAATTATCATCAGAATCATCAAAAAATCGATTTTAATCAAATAATCGATCAATTTCTACAATTTACTAGATTAATTACTTCTTTTAGATATGGAGCCGATGACCAAGAGACGTCGAATTGCGAATAGAGACAAGGCTGCGGGCAGGAACAACCTGCAATTGATTTCCTCCTTCTAAAGTATACCCAAGTTACCGTAGCCCCTAACAAGCTATCCCTCTAACATAGGTATTTCATTTTACAGTAATCTACGGAAGAAATTATTCAGATTACTGTAGCTAGTCGGGTCAAATACTACGGATGAGCTTGATTTGAAGGGCTTCAAATCAAGCTCGTCCTTCTGGATACTGGAAAGCCAGTTTTGTGAAATGTAGATCCTCACCAAAATAAGAAATCGAGTGACAAAGTTCGTCAGGTTATTTAAGAAAACATTTGAATTTAGTAAACAGTTAGTAAACAGAAAAAATGACAAATAAACGCGCTCAGAGCTCGAGCAACTCATCAGTTTTGGATGTTCTTTGCACGAAATATTAGGGTGGTGCAAAAGAAACTGCCGATGGGTATCAGCGCTCATTTATCAGAAACGAGCCATGCTAACGGCATTATTTTTTTTATGCTTTTTTCGCATATTTGTTTGCTATTTATTTTGACATTTGAATTTTTTGGTTGTTGTTTTATTTTATTTTAAAATGCATATATTTTTTTATTTAGATCATGGTCGAGCAAAAGTTTGTGCTACGAGCAGCATTACTGTTTAACTTCAAAATTGGAAAGTCTGCTGCCGAATCGCATCGTTCTCTCTGTGCTTCTTTCGGAGATGGCAGTTTGTCTCTCAGGCAGTGTCAGACTTGGTTTCAACGGATCCATGCCAATCTGCTCGAGATCTTGCGAAAATATTCCATTGTGATCATGTCACCATCGAATGCCATCTTTTTTTTTTTGAATAATTTACCGTCAAATCGGCAGTTTCTTTTGCACCACCCTAATAACTCTATTATCTCTCTGTTTCTCATTAAACTGAGTGAGTTTAAAAATCGATAAACCTTATCGATTTTTGAAAACTATTTCAATTTTTAAGCTTTTAGCTTTTAAGCTTAGCTCTTTTATTTTATCGGCCATTTCCTCACCTGGTAACGTTGCCGGATCGTCACCGTATGTCGTTGTGAAATCATTCAAACAACTCCCTGAAAATCAATTTTAATCGTAGCGATTCTGGTTCTACGCCAGTTGGAAGCCACTTTTTTTTTTCTTCAAAACCACTTTTTTTTAAAGGAGTTTTATCTGTAGATTCCGAAAAACACGAAGAAAACTTGGGAAAAAAACGTTTTAAATCGAGTTTCCGCGCTACAAAGTGATGAGTGGGATACGCATAGGGAAAACCTCTAAAAATGATCTCTTAAAACATTTTTTAAACCCAAAAACACTTCTTCTGATAGAATTTAACTTATTGATTATATTTTTTGCAAAAAATCTTGCATTTTGCTTCAATTTCTTGCAAATTAAGCAAAATCAATAAAAAAAAATTTTTCAAAATTTCGACCATGTGGTCCCCCACATGAGTCAAAGTCTTAAAATATTTTTTCAATTTTTTTTTGCCTCTACCAGTCAATTAAAGTCCAAAAATGAATCTTTAGTGATTGAAAATGGTTTTGGCGCTAGTTTTGATCTTGAAAAGTGGCCCAATAGTTGATTTAATGAAGTAAACTATAGAAGCACTTTGAAGCACTCAAAGCTCACTCAAGCACTCAAAATCTGCTCAAACTCAAACGCCTTTTCCGAGGTTTCGTTGTGTTTTTCGGAATCTTTGCATAAAACTAGCCCAGAAAAATTCACTCCCTAGACGGTGAAGAACCTAGATTTTTATTAGAGAGATTATATAGACTATATAGACTACAGGGTGGCTGATAATTACGTGCGCCAAAGAAAACGCCATAATTTAATTTTCTTTCAAAGAAAATGTAAAAATCATTATTTATATAATAGTTGTAACAAAAGCATTTAATAATCACAAGAAATTTTCGAAGTGGCCTCCATCCGCTTTGATACAGGCTTCAATTCGCTTCTTTACAGAATCGACGGTGCGGCGGAGATAATTTGCATCTAAGTCGTTCCAGATTTTGATCAATTCTCGACGTAAATCATTCAAATTGGTGATTTTTCTATTTCTCAATTGTTCTTCCATAAAACCCCAAACCGAAAAGTCCAACGGATTGAGATCCGGGCTGTTTGCAGGCCATTGATCCTTCGTCAAAAAAGAGCCAATTTTGGTTTCGAGAAAGCGAATTGTTGTTTTGGCTCCGTGGGCCGGCGCCCAATCTTGTTGAAGGGTCAAATTGGGATGGCTCCTCTTCCATGGCACCACAGCTTTCTCGAGAATCTCTTTTTGATAGACTTTTGCGTTAATCTTCACATTTTTATCGATAAAAACCAACGGGGTCTTGCCCGAAGCACTGATGCCACCCCAAACCATCAAACTTTTTGGAAACAGACCTTTTGTAGCGACTTTTCGTTTACGAGTGCTCTTGAGAGCTGGACTGAGAAGTTGACGGTGATTTTGTGAGTTTTTAGCCACTTCCAAGGTGAAAATCTTCTCATCTGACCAAAGAACATCGTCAATGCGCCGCACCGTGAAAAAAGCTCGCAATTTCTTGCATTTCTCCTTCCGGTTTTGCTTGGCTTGATCGGTGAGCACTTGCCCGTTTAACAGTCGATAACTTCGAAGTCCGAGCTCCTTTTTCACTATCGATTGAACCGAGAAACGCGAAATTTGAAGCTGTTTTGCCATCTTGTTCAAACTACGATCGTCTTTTCGCTCGATCCTCCTCTTGATGATCCCACGCATCTTTCGGGTGTTGACGGTCCTCTTTGGTCCTCTTCCGGGCTTGGACTGAACATGCCCCTCATCTTTCCATTGCTTTACGATCTTCTGGACGGTCCTCAGAGCCACCCCAAGCCTCGATGCGATCGACGAGTTCTTCATGCCGCTCGTCGCCAGCTGTGCGATTGCGTCCCGACTAGCGCACGTCTTTGTCATGACCTAGAAAACAACTTTTTTAACAAAAAATTATTAGACCACGATAAAAAGAATATTAAAACACAAAAAGATGAGTAGTAATGCTTTATACATTGTTGAAAACTATGATGCTGATGCTGCGCGCACGTAATTGTCAGCCACCCTGTATATAGACTAACGTATTCTCTCTAATAGTAGTGCACCGCACCGAGCCG